CTGGACTGGGATCTGGAGTTCACATAAGAGCGTGCCGGATCAGGCCCATGGCCCATTTAGTCTTGCACCCTGTTCTCGCCGTGACCAACTGGGGTGTCATTATGGGAAACCCCCAAACAGGATCCGAGCCCAAGAGACGTCAGCAGCTGGAATTCTGAAGCCTAGAACAGAGGCATCCTGCCCTGCTTCTGTCTCGGCTAATAATGTGTTTTTCAGATTCCTCCTTGACCTCCTGGCTCTGAGTGGTCAGCGAAAAGGAGCTAGACATCTGTTGTTGTTGTTGTTGTTGTTTAGTCGTGTCCGACTCTTCGTGACCCCATGGAGACAATATACAGCCTTGCCGTACTACTTTCCCAATTTTGAACCAATCAGTTGTTCCATATCCAGTTCTAACTGTAGCTTCTTGTCCCACATAGAGATTTCTCATAGAGATTTCTCAGGAGACAGATGAGGTGATCAGGCACTCCCATTTCTTTAAGAACTTGCCATAGTTTGCTGTGGTCGACACAATCAAAGGCTTTTGCATAGTCAATGAAGCAGAAGTAGAAGTCTTTCTGGAACTCTCTAGCTTTCTCCACAATCCAGCGCATGTTTGCAATTTGGTCTCTGGTTCCTCTGCCCCTTCGAAATCCAGCTTGCACTTCTGGGAGTTCTCGGTCCACATACTGCTTGAGCCTTCCTTGTAGAACTTTAAGCGTAACCTTGCTAGCGTGTGAAATGAGTGCAATTGTGCAGTAGTTGGAGCATTCTTTGGCACTGCCCTTCTTTGGGATTGGGATGTAGACTGATCTTCTCCAATCCTCTGGCCACTGCTGAGTTTTCCAGACTTGCTGGCATATTGAGTGTAGCACCTTAAGAGCATCATCTAAATAGATGATAAATAGTTCAGCTGGACATCCATGGCTCCTTAAATAGGCTTGCAGCCCTCTCTGCCACAACCTAGCATCTATCATGTTGATGCCCCCAGCTTTCCCTCCCTCCAGTCCCTCTGCCCATTTCTTAAAAGCTCATTGGCCGTCTTGCCTTTTGGTCTTAAGTGAGCATCTGTTCCTGGTGTGCTTATCCTCTTCTTAATCCTTCTCTGACCTTAAGAAAGTTGCTGCAGCAAGGCAATTAGATATCTCTTTTCTCTAGGGCATTGTGGCTTTCAAAGAGCTGATTCAAACATTGGGGGGTGGGGTAGCGTATGTGACCCTCTTAATCACCTGTCCATCAGATTCCCTTCTTGTGGAAAGCTAGCAGCTCAGGGAGAATTATATTCAGCCACTTATTATTGAAGGGAAGTGCGTGGAACAGGTCTCGGTGTTTCGGCTTCTGGGAATGGAGTTGAGAGATGACCTAACCTGGGGTAAAGGTAAAGGGACCCCTGACCATTAGGTCCAGTCATGACCGACTCTGGGGTTGCGGCGCTCATCTCGCTTTTCTGGCTGAGGGAGCTGGCGTACAGCTTCCGGGTCATGTGGCCACCATGACTAAGCCGCTTCTGGCGAATCAGAGCAGCGCATGGAAACGCTGTTTACCTTCCCACCGGAGTGGTACTTATTTATCTACTTGCACTTTGACGTGCTTTCGAACTGCTAGGTTGGCAGGAGCAGGGACCGAGCAACTGGAGCTCACACCCGTCGAGGGGATTCAAACCACCGACCTTCTGATCGGCAAGCCCTAGGCTCTGTGGTTTAACCCACAGCAAAAACAGCAAAGACCTGATGAAGAGAGCACAGCAGAGGTTATATTTTCTGAGAATCCTCTGGAAAAACAATCTCTCAAAGGACCTGTTGATGGCATTTTACCATTGTACTGCTGAGAATGTATTAATTTATGGTCTGTGTGTGTGGTTTGGGAGCTGCACGGTCAGGGAAAAAATAATGTTGTCCAGGGTTGTAAAGACTGTGGAGAGAATAATTGGGCATACTCTTCCTTTGATCAAATCTACGCTTCCAGGTGCCATAATAAAGCTGCAGAGATAGCGCAGGATAGTGCGCACCCCAGAAACGATCTCTTTCAGCTTCTGCCTTTTGGAAGAAGGTCCAGGGTTATAAAGACTAGGACTAGCCGCCTGAGAAACAGTTTCTATCCAAATGCGATTTTGGTTTTAAACGCAGTGTAAGGTAGTCTTTAATGGGATGCGGGTGGTGCTGTGGGTTGAACCACAGAGCCTATGACTTGCCAATCAGAAGGTCGGGGGTTCGAATCCCTGCGACGGGGTGAGCTCCTGTTGTTCGGTCCCTGCTCCTGCCAACCTAGCAGTTCAAAAGCACGTCAAAGTGCAAGTAGATAAATAGGTACCGCTCCGGCAGGAAGGTAAACAGTGTTTCCATGCGCTGCTCTGGTTCGCCAGAAGCGGCTTAGTCATGCTGGCCACATGACCTGGAAGCTGTACGCCTAATGGTCATGGGTTCCTTTATCTTTACCTTTATTCAGACCACACCTGGAATATTGTGTCCAGTTCTGGGCACCACAATCTAAGAAGGATATTGATAAACTGGAAGGTGGGCAGAGGAGGGCGGCCAAGATGATCAAGGATCTGGAAGCCAAGCCTGTTGAGGAATGGTTGAAGGAGCTGGGAGGAGGAGGAGACCGAGAGGAGATATATGAGCCATCTTCAAATATCTGAAGGATGGAGCAAGTTTGGTTTCTTCTGCTCCCTAGGGCAGGACTTCAAGTTACAAGAAATGAGATTCCAACTAAATGTTGGGAAGAATTTTCTGGTGGTAAGAACTGCTCAACTCCTTTCTTGGTAGGTTCTTCTTCCTTGGGAGTTTTTAAGCAGAGCTTGGATGGCCACCTGTCGTGGATGACAGCTGCGATTCCTACATTGAGCCAGTGTGGTGTAGTGGTTAAGAGCAGTGGACTCATAATCTGGTGAACTGGGTTCGATTCCCCACTCCTCCACATGCAGCTGCCGGGTGACCTTGGGCCAGTCACACTTCTCTGAAGTCTCTCAGCCTCACTCACCTCACAGAGTGTTTGTTGTGGGGGAGGAAGGGAAAGGAGAAGGTTAGCCGCTTTGAGACTCCTTCGGGTAGTGATAAAGCGGGATATCAAATCCAAACTCTTATTCTACATTGCTTTGGGTGGACTAGATAGAGGTACCTTCCAACTCTGCAATTCTGTGATGGGAATCATAGTGCAAATATCAGGAGGGGCCCCTGATTTGGGCGAGGCCAATTCTGCAGGGTGGCATTGCCAGGCACACTCCGCCCCCCCCCCCCCCGCACTCCATGCAAGATTAGCCTTTTTACTGTGCTGCAAGTGATCTCTGAAAAGTAGCCAGGTTTAATCCTCCCTTGGCAAGGATCCCAAAGGTCTTAATGGGAAGGAGCAGAGCTTGCAACTGTCTTGAGCCGGAGAGAGACCAGATAGCATTTCCCGTAAGCTGCATCCCGTTCCCTGGAGAGTTGAGCCGGATCAATAGCAGCTACAGCAGAGCCCATTAGCTAGACCTTCACCCCAGAAGTGGACAGTCCCGATTCTCAAAGGCATCATATCTGGGCAAGCACAGAGCTGGCAACTTTCCCCTGTTCCCAGTGAGGGTAATAATCAAAGTAGGTAGTACTTATTTTAGTGCTTTGCTGTTCAGAACACTCCACGTTCCATCTCTCTCTCTCTCTTTTTTTTTTTAATAATTTTTTATTAAGGTTTTAAGCAAACAACACATACACACACAAAAATACATAACTTAACAATAAAAACACAAAACATAACAATTAAAAACAAACTCTCGTTTCCATTTCCAATTTTAAATTACTTATTTTCTGGACTTCCTCATACCTCCCTCTTTTGTATTCCAATCCACATTATTTGTCCAGCAGTTTCTTTTCCACTTTTTAATCTCAATCTTTAATTTAATAAAACGTTAATATAGATAACTTCAACTTTTTTAAGCCTAATCCTTGATCTTAATGTCATATAGCTTTAAATTTTTCCCTTTTATTATCAAATTTCCATTTCTTTAAACATCTTTAATCTTGATCTTTAATCTTAATCTATCATTAACTTTAACCTGTACAGCTGGAAACCACTTGTTTTCAGTCCAACATCACTCTAACATTCCTTAATTTTGCAGTGTTTCTGAAGATAGTCTTTGAATTTCTTCCAGTCTTCCTCCATCGACTCTTCTCCTGGTCACGGATTCTACCAGTCATTTCCGCCAATTCCATATAGTCCATAAGTTTCATCTGCCATTCCTCCAGCGTGGGAAGTTCTTGTGTCTTCCAATACTTTGCGATGAGTATTCTTGCTGCTGTTGTTGCATACTCCACGTTCCATCTCTCGGCCATTTGCAAAGCAGGCTTCTCTGTTAAGTGGATCAGTAAATCCTGGGGCATCCATGCCCCGTGGCTCCCGGGCAGAGAATTTGCCCTGCATGCAAGAGGGTTCGGGTTCACTTCCCAGTGGCAAGTCCCAAGGGGGCGGCCCCTTGCTTTAAAAAGGATCTCGTAGAGCTGCAGAACTCCTGCCAACCTAGCAGTTCGAAAGCACGTCAAAAGTGCAAGTAGATAAATAGGTACCGCTCCAGCGGGAAGGTAAACGGCGTTTCTGTGCACTGCTCTGGTTTGCCAGAAGTGGTTTAGTCATGCTGGCCACATGACTGAACAACAGGAGCTCACCCCATCATGGGGATTCGAACCGCCAACCTTCTGATCGGCAAGTCCTAGGCTCTGTGGTTTAGACCACAGCGCCACCCGTGTCCCTGGTAGGGTGATGCAATTTTTCTTTTCTATTTTTCATTCTCATTCACTTTTCCCCCTTCTTTCTCCCCCCTCTACCTTTTTATAAATGAAATTTCCTTAATAAAACATGAATACTTATGTGTGTAAGAGAGAGAGATGGATGAGGCCAATGGCAATCTAGTCGAGCCTTCTGTTCTCACAGTGGCCAACCAGTTGCCTCTGTGGGACAAACTGACAAGCAGGACTCAAGCACAAGCGCTTAGAATTATAGAGTTGAAAGGGACCGCGGGGGTCATCTAGTCCAACCCGCTGCAACGCAGGACACTTTAGCCCAACATGGACCTCGAACCCAGGACCATGAGATTAAGAGTCTCATACTCTACTGTTTGAGCTTCATTGCATATCTTTAGGCGCCAGGCAAAAACATTTCTCCTCAACCAGGTGTTTGGCTGGTTAACATTCTATGCCACGCATACGCAAACTCGGCCCTCCGGATGTTTTGGGACTACAACTCTCCCATCATCCCTGACCACTGGTCCTGTTAGCTAGGGATCATGGGAGTTGTAGTCCTAAAACATCTGGAGGGCCATTTGCCTATGCCTGTTCTATGCCTTTTAAAATGTGTTTCTGAGGCAGAGGATTTCTCGGTTTGCTTTTGTTTTATTACGCATCCTTGTGTTCTCCTTTTGTGGGGTTTTTTTCCTGTTGCGAACTTCCCTGGGATCTTCGGATGAAGGGTGGTCTGCAAATTAAATAAATACAAATAAAACAATAATAGCCAGAGCCCTCTCCCTGCCTGTGGTTTCCAGCATGACTGTGAAAATGCGAGCATAGTTTGTGTGATGAAATACACACACACACACAAACCAAACACACGCACGCAAATTGTGAGAGTGCCACAATTATTTATTTCTAAAAGACAACAGTGGCAATGCGCAAGATCAGCAATTAGCAGCCAGCTGGGAGAAAATAGCCGCCTCCGTCCGAAACTGGACACCATCCCATTTTTCTTTCCACAATGCTCAGCGGCGCCCTAGATTTTTCATCCGGTACGCTGAGCTCAATGCAAAGTCATTCCCGGCCCGCTCTCTCTGGAAGAGACCTGGAGGAAAGCCAACTTGAAAAGGCCATTTGTCAGCGCGCATAAGAGGCCACACGGCAAGCCAGGTGGCCGGGCTCGGAGCCTCCGTCATCCCCACCTACACCCATCCCTGATGAGCTCTTCACGCCCACCCCTGGGAGATGCCCCACTTAATGGACAAGGCTCACGCGCACCTTGCTTGCGGTGGATTTCACAGTGACGTGAACCGGCCCTTAAACCCCTCCAATCCAGTCACTGCCAGCACACACAGAGAAAAGCAAACACCGCAACTAGACAAGTCTGTGTTATTTTGCAATGCCTCCGGGAGCTGGAATATAATAATAATAATAATAATAATAATAATAATGTATTATTTGTACCCCACCCATCTGGCTCGGTTTCCCCAGCCACTCTGGGCGGCTTACAACAAAGATTAAAAATACATCAAAATGTCACACACTAAAAACTTCCCTGAACACGCCTTCAGATGTCTTCTAAATGTCAGGTAGTTGTTCATCTCTTTAACATCTGGTGGGAGGGTGTTCCGCAGGGCGGGCGACACCACCGAGAAGGCCCTCTGCCTGGTTCCCTGTAGCTTTGCTTCTCACATTGAGGGAACCACCAGACGGCCCTTGGCGCTGGACCTCAGTGTCCGGGCAGAACAATAGGGGTGGAGACGCTCCTTCAGGTCTACTGGGCCGAGGCCGTTTAGGGCTTTAAAGGTCAACACCAACACTTTGAACTGTGCTCGGAAATGTACTAGCAGTTTGAAAGCACACCAGTGCAAGTAGATAAATAGGTACCACTACAGCAGGAAGGTAAACAACGTTTCCGTGCGCTTTGGTTTCTTTCACGGTGTTCCGTTGCTCCAGAAGCAGTTTATTCCTGCTGGCCACATGACCCAGAAAGCTGTCTGTGGACAAACACCGGCTCCCTCGGCCAATAAGATGAGTGCTGCAATAAATGAGTGCTGCAACCCCACCTTTGCTAAAGTCGCCTTTGCCTGGACCGTCTGATCGGCAAGTCCTAGGCTCTGTGGTTTAACCCACAGCGCCTCCTGTGTCCCCTTACATTAATATAGAAATGTGTATATTCTTATTATCCCAATACATGTATAATTGTCAGTAACCGAATATATTCTGTGTGAACTCATTCCGAATATCATTCTATTTATCCAAAGAAAGTCTGCATCTATAAGCTGTCCGTTTGTATGTTGCCAATGTTGTGAAGCCATTGATTAAAGGGAATCGTATCTCTATTCTCCCAATTCATCAATATGGCCAAGTTTAGGGTGTGTAGAATCCATTTTCATCGTCCTGTTATCAACTTCCATACAAGGGGTATATAGTTCAAGAGCATATTCACCTCTGAAAAAAATGTATTTTTCCCCCGGGCACGCTTGTATATTACAGTCTCAAACACAGAAAACTTAGACCAGGGCTGGATTTAGGTTTGATGAGGCTCTAAGCTACTGAAGGTAATGGGGCCAATTATATGTCCAGCTGTCCTTTGTCAACAACAAATTTTCGCTTTCTGTGTGTGTTGAATATATGCTATATGTGGGGCCCATTACGTACATCATAGGAGCCTACACAAAAACACTGTTGCTATATGTAGGTTAAATTTTATTTTATTTATTTTTTATCTTATATTTTGGAAATGTACATCCAGTTGTTGTTTTTTTGGGGACCCCCAAGAGAGTGGGGCCCTAAGCTATAGCTTGTTGAGCTTATACGTAAATCCGGCACTGACTTAGACTTTCAGTAAAATGTTGGGCTTTGTGAATTTGCCTCTGTCGTCCAAAACTTGGCAAAGGTAGGGGAATCACCTGGAAAAGTGTGAGCTCTGGCTTCCCATGTGTTGCACACCTGAACGCATGAAGCACCATTGATGGACTTACCTGCCGTGACTTGGTCCAGCCCCTTTTAAGTGTCCTCTCCTGCCATTGGCTCAGCAGGCCAAGGTGTGTCACGGAATGCTGCGAACACTCTAATTGATTCAGAAACTTGCATCACACAAAGCCCAGATAGGGCTGAGGGTGGGATATCTCACTAGCGATGGGCTCAGCGAGGGAGAGGAAGGGCAATACCATCGCAGGATGGGCCAACTCTTAGACCGTACGTATGTGTGTGTGAGAGAGAGTATTGCACACAAGAATTTGTCCATAAGTCATGATTTTTTTGGGGGGGTACCCCTTCTCCTCAAGGGATGTGGGTGGCGCTGTGGGTTAAACCACAGAGCCTAGGATTTGCCGATCAGAAGGTCAGCAGTTCGAGTCCCCACGACGGGTTGATTTCCCTTTGTTCAGTCCCTGCTCCTGCTCCTGCCAACCTAGCAGTTCGAAAGCACATCAAAGTGCAAGTAGATAAATAGGTACCGCTCCGGCGGGAAGGTAAACGGCGTTTCCGTGCGCTGCTCTGGTTCGCCAGAAGTGGCTTAGTCATGCTGGCCACATGACCCGGAAGCTGTACGCCGGCTCCCTCGGCCAATAAAGTGAGATGAGCGCCACAACCCCAGAGTCGGCCACGACTGGACCTAATGATCAGGGGTCCCTTTACCTTTACCTTACCCCATCTCCTCTCCAATAAGCCAGCAAACCTGTAAACGGGATGAGAAAAGACAACTGGTATTTCCCTGCTGGAAAAGCCAAGCATTAGTTGGTGCCAAGAAGGCCTTTTTGGGGAGAGCATTCCACAGTCGGGGGGCCACCACAAAAAGGCCCTTCCTTGTGCTGTCTGGAGGGCCACTGCTACCACATCACAGAATGATGATGATGATGATTTTTTTAGTTTCTTTTTTCAGACATAAAAACCAAGAGGGGAAAAAATACACTAGAAATGTCCCGCCCATAGATAGTTAAAAGCCAGAGGCCTAGTTAAGAAGGAATGTTTTTGCCTGGTGCCTTGAAGATATACAATAATAGTGACAGATATCTCCACCCCCATCGTTTTGCCCAGACACTGAGGTCCAGCTCCAAGGGCCTTCTGGCGGTTCCCTCCCTGTGAGAAGCCAAGTTACAGGGAACCAGGCTGAGGGCCTTCTTGGTGGTGGCACCCACCCTGTGGAACGCCCTCCCACCAGATGTCAAGGAAATAAACAACTATCTGACTTTTAGAAGACATCTGAAGGCAGCCCTGTTTAGGGTGGTTTTTAATGCTTGATGTTTTATTGTATTTTTAATACTTTGTTGGAAAAATAATATTATCCCTGGAGAGAGAATTCCACAAACTGGCAGCCACTACTGGAAAGGCCTGTTCTTTTGCTGCTGCTGCCCTCCGGGCCAAGTACAGTGGTACCTCGGGTTACATACGCTTCAGGTTACAGACTCCGCTAACCCAGAAACAGTACCTCGGGTTAAGAACGTTGCCTCAGGATGAGAACAGAAATCGTGCTCTGGTGACGCAGTGGCAGCAGGAGGCCCCATTAGCTAAAGTGGTGCTTCAGGTTAAGAACAGTTTCAGGTTAAGAACGGACTCCGGAACGAATTAAGTACTTAACCCGAGGTACCACTATACTGAAATGTTGGTGCTAGTTTGTTGTGGAGCGATTTGGATTAATGCTTCTCCCCCAATCTTTCTCTTCTCAATCCCCCATCCCCAGATGTATCCCGGACCACCTCCACGTCCTCCACGCCGAGTAGTGAGGCCCTGACACCGCTGCAGATGTCCCCGGCGGTGACGCCCGACTGCCAGACCGGCCTCCCCATGGACCCCACCCTCTGTGGCAAAGTCGTTCCGGCTTTCCTGCCGGCGAAGAAAGAGGACCGCCCGCAGCCCGAAGGAGCCAGCTGTGACACGGCCGTGGGCAACGCCGCGACCGGCCTGGTAGCCCTCAGTGAGTGCGGGCAGGTCGTGATGGAGCAGGCCCCGAAAGCCGCCAAGGCGGCGCCCAAAGGTCAGGGGGAACCTACGTCGGGCGTGGACATGCTGGACACCCGGATAGTGATGGGCGAGGAGACTCAATGCCTCAGTGAGGATGAGGAAGATGGGGAAGGGGCTGCCTCTGCGCCGCTCACACGGGGCACCTTGGAGGCCAGCTCTGAGGAGGAGGAAACGAGCGACATGGAGGATCCGGACATGGTTGACCTCCAGGCGAGGCCTCCCCACCAGACCCCAAAAGACTTGGCCAGCCGGCAAGCAGGCTTGACCCTCCCCGGCCTCCGGAATCCGCAGGAGGCCAAGAGGGCAGCCAAGACACCTCCACTCTCTCAGGGCGAACATTTGGCGGACCTGCCTTCTCCGCCTCCTGCGCTCACCAAAGACCTCTCCTTGGAGCCTGCCGAGGCCCAGCCCCTGCCTGGCAAGCACACCTGTGGCCTGGACCCAGAACTATACTTCACAGCGCCCTCAACCCCCATCAAGACTGTGTTTTCCCACCTCAGGCACCAACCCTTCTCCAAAGAGAGCCTCAGCGAGGAGCAGAACGACACGGACAATGAAGGCCTTTGCTCCCCACCCACCTCCCCCTCGGGGTCCTATATCACGGCCGAGGGAGGCAGCTGGGCATCTTCAGGCACCGGCAGCACTTCCCCGTCTTGCTCCCCCAACCTGATCGCAGAGTCGGAAGCCATGGAGGCCCCGGCGGCAGACGGTGAGGAGTTTCTCTCGGAGTACGCGGACGGCCGCCCGAGGCTCCCACGGGGACCCAGCCTGTCTCCCGACTTGGAGGGGGAGTTTGCTTTCCAGACCCTCTCCTCCAGCACTTTAGTCCACTCGTCGTTCCCCGAGGACGACGACGACGGGCAGACGACCCCGGAGGAAGATGGCGGCGACTGGGGCGCCGAAGTCGCTCCCTTGAGGCCGGGCCCTCAGAGGTTTGAGCAAGTGGCTCCGTCTTGGCCCGAGAGCAGAGAGGACTCTGGAGACGAAGTGGATCTAAGCCGCGAGCTGTCCAAAGCAGAGGCTCTGCCAGCCTACGAAACGGGAGCCGGAGACTCTGCCGAGTTTGCAGGATCGAAACCCTGCCTCTTGCCTGGTTCACTCGCTGCCTTCCCTTCTGGGACGGACACCTCTGAGGCTGATGCACCCGGCCGGCCGCAGGCCGAAACGGCGGCTTCCGCCCCAGACGACGGCGTGGACGGCGCCGACAGTGACCAGATGATTTCTGCTTTGCTCCTGCCTTTCCGTGGGAGCCTCATATTCGAGGCGGAGTCTGTGGAGATCACGCTGTTCCCCCAAGGGGAGTCGGTGGGGAATGACGCCCTCTACGGCGTGGAGGACGACGACAGCACTTCGGCCTCCTTCCTGCACTCTCTCTCGGAAACCTCCATCAATGAAGGCGTGGACGAGTCCTTTGCTTACCAGGACGACACCTCCCAGTCCTCAGACTCGGCCTCCTACAACGGGGAGGACGACGAACGCCTCTACAGCGTCGAGCAGTACGCTGTGGTCGCGGAAGCTGCCGTCGCCCCTGCTCAGGAAGCGGCCGGGCCTCCAAAGGAAGACATGGAACCCGCGCTGTCCCGATCGGGTAGCGAGAGCGAGATGCAGACCTCATCCGATGCTTACAACACAGATGAGGAAGAGACGGCTTCTGCCGGGGACAATGGGCACCCGAGGGCCGAAAAGGAGGAGCGGGAGGAGAGAGGCTCCTCCCTGGAGAAGGCTGAAGATGAAGAGATACCCCAGGAGGACCAAATCAAAGTTTCGCTCCCCGCTGAAGAAGAAGCGGCTTCCAGGTTGCGGGTTGTGCCTGAGGCTCCCAGCGATTCCTCCGAATGTTCTGGAAGCAGCAGCAGTTCCCCTACCGGGCAAGGATGGGGGTCTCCTATGGAGCAGGGCCCCACAGCTCTTTTCGGAGGCGTAGGTCGCGGAACTGGATGTGAAGAGGGAGAAGAGCCTTCAAGGGAAAGGGGCGCCCCCTGCGCCTCCGTGGAGCGCCAGTCGCTCTCAGACGGGCAAGAGGCTGCTGAGGAAAACATCCCTGACCCCGGAGAATGCCTCATCGCTTGCTTTGATACGGATGAGGAAGCAGACACTTTGCCGCCTCTGGACAACTCCTTGGAGGGCCCTCGGCCTGTGGGACAAACAGCTGCAGAGTGGGTCGACCAGGTGTATGCGGGCCCTGCCATACCCCTGGGATGGACCCCGAAGCCGTATCCTGTGGCGTTTGCAGAGCTGGTGACTCCAGACGTCAACGACTCGTCTTCCTTTGACATCAGTGCCAGGCTGAAGGAGTCGGAGGAGCGGCTTCTGGAGCTCCTTGACCAAGATGGCGCCTCTGGGGGAGGCTTGACTGAAGCAGAGAAGCCTAACGGAGGAGTGTTCAACGTGGATCCAGAGAAGGAGGAGCCTCCATTCGTGTCCCTCCTTGGCTCCTGTGAGGCGGCCATCTTGGACCAGCCTGAAGCGACTCGAGCCGACAACGAGCCGACAGCGGAGTGCCTTATTGCCTGCTTTGAATCGGAGGACGAGCTTGAGGAGGCCTCGTCCCTTGACCAGATGAACAACAACGAGGACCATGTGGTGGCCATTTTTTCTGAGGCAAAACCTGATTCTCAGCCCTTGCTGGGACCAAACAGCATACAGCAGAACACCGCCGTCGTGGACAGTGAGGTCACCTTGATGGCGGCAGCCACACCTCTGCCCCCCACAGATGTTGAAGAGCGTGCTGAAGTCTGTGGGATGCCAAGAGACTCATCTGGGCTGGAGATGGAGGCCTCCACAGGGCCTCTTGCCAGTGTGGTTATAGGAGACGGTGCAGCCCATCTCAAGCTGTGCTTGGAGACTGGCGAGGCCAAAGACCTGAGCGTGAGGGAGCCTCAGCCCGGTGAGAGCCGCCATGAGCCCATGCTGGTAGAAACAGGCGGCCATCTTGAGGAAGCTGGAGAGGACGCCAAGGGCAAAGATCAGCTAGGGGAAGAGGCTTCAGTTGTAGAGGAAGCCACTGGGGCAATGGAGGGGCAAGCGCTATCGGACGAAATTGATGCTGGCCAGGACTGGGAAAGTCCGTCTGAGGGAGAAGAGGATGCTATTTCTGAACTTGAAAGTGATGGAAACAGCAGAGCAGACTCTGTCGCTGAGATCCCACCAGGAGAAGGTTCTGTTTGGCCGGGAGACGGGCTTCAAGCCCAGCGCTTAACCACGCTTCCTGTGGGACTGTGTGGATCAGAAGCCGCCTCATTCCAGGATCCTGGTGCTCAGCCTAGCCTGAGAGACAGCAACATGAATTTGGTTCAGATTCAGAGTAAGGGGGCAGCTCCTGCTTCCGCCAGCAGCGAGACCACAGATGGTCCAGCGTTGGTGGGAAGCTCGGACAAGAAGCCAGGACAGAAAGATGAGAACAAGCTTGTGGTTCCTGCGGCCTTTGAGCAGGTTGTTCGCCAGGCAGGCCTTCCTGAGCCAGCGGGTCGTAAAGAAGGCACTGAATGGCCGCAGCTTGGTGGGGTACAGATTCTGGAGCCCCAGGCAGCAACCAAAGAGACCAAGCTGGCTGTCCAACAGGGGCCTGAGGCTCAGAGGAACAGGGGATGTATGGAGGCGGCTGCATCTCTGCCTCCTTTGAATGATCAGCATCCTTTGGACGTCAAAGCTCAGGTGGACAAAACTGCCCCAGGAACTTCTAAGGCAGGAGATGCAGTTGCAACGCCTTCCACTGGCAGGGTTGAGGGTCTACCCAGGCAACCCTTGCAGGTGCCAAAGAAGACCTTTGCTCAAGCTCTGCTTCAGGGTCTCCAACCACCTGCTTTGGGCGCTGAACCTTCTGTGCAGGAAAAGGATCTGGATTCCAGTCTCTCTTCCCCGGAGTTGGCAGAGGTCTCCATGCCCAACTCGCAGATGGACAGCAGCTTCTTCACGGCAGCTGAGGACATCTCTTGTGGGACGCTTGTGCTGACTTCATCCCCTGGCTCTGAGAGGGAAGGGCTCAGCACCCCTGAGCAGGCATGGGGCAGCCCGGCCGAGGATGTGGAGAAGGGCCCTTCTCCTCTTCCACAAGAACAGCCGGCAGCCGTTTCTGAGCTGGAACACCGAGTGGTCGAGACTGAAGATGCTAAGGTTGAACCCTTGGCTGAGCCGTCGAAGATCCCACCAGCAGAGGGACCTTCCCAGCGGAGCATGGCGTTGTGTCTGCATTCCTCTGCTCTTAACCAGCCGCCTTCTCCAGCCAATGCCCGGCCAAGGGATGCGTCACCCGTGCTTTGCAAAAGCCAGCACCTCTTCTTTGCTTCTGAAGAGGAGATCTATTTGTCGGAGCCTGAAGATGCCCAGCACATCCTTTCCAGTGGAAATGCAGAAACGGAAAGCGTTGGTGCTGCAGAATCGCCGGGGACCAGGAGGACTGGTGCAGCCCTGGATGATTCTGAAGCCGTTGCTGCAGCGACGCCATCTCCAGCCCCCAGCCAACCGGAGCTTCCTGGTGCCTTGTGGCAGAACGCCTCGTTGGTTGCAGAACCTCCAGAGGTCACTGCAGACCAGCAGCAGATCACCGACATGTTGCGAGGCTCCTTCGGCAACCTCAGGGAGCCGGGCTTGGGTGCTGCCCGCCTGGTGAGCAGTCTGCTGGTGGCCGAAGCACAAAGCCTTCTCGGCAGCCTTAAGGAAGACGTCTTGGAGTTCTCCTCCGAAGGCGTCATGCCAGACTTGTCGGAATCGAAGCATTCCAAAGATGAGTTGGAGCCTCAAACCACTTGCAGTCAAGACCAAGTCGCCGGGCAACCTTGCAAGGAGCTGGAGATGGACAGGGTAGCAGTTCCACCACATGTGGAGGTTGTTCCCCTTCGTTCAGAGGCGGTGGAGATGGCGGCTGGGCCGCTGCTGAGTTCTGGGTTGGAAGGAGTGGACCAGGCTGCCGAGGAGGTCGTCTTCACACCTGGTGAAGCCGAAGGGAAGACGTCTGAGAGCGTTGACAGATCTCCACCTCGGAGCTTGCAGGCCAAGCCGACGATCCAGAGTCCAGAAGCCGGTGGGTCAACTGAAGAGATTTCAGAAGAGACGAGACTAGAGGGTGCCACAGCAGAGGCAGTTGGCCACCCAAGAGAGGGGAAAGGACCAGTTCCTTCAAGTGCTTTTGCTGGAAGCACGAAACTCGTGGTCCCTGAAGCTGGTTTGATGAGTGTGGAGACCACCTCTCCTCTATCGCAGGCCCTGCCAGCCTCTGAAGGACCAGCTCAAGAGTCCCTCGCTGTTTCTTTGCAGGCAGAGCAGCCCCCATCGCTTACCTGTGAGGAGGAACCTCCTCTGTCTCCTCCTCCATCTCCACCTTCTGAATCTGAAGAAGTGCCTCCTGTTTCTCCCTCGCCTCCCTCCGACGGCCATTTCCACAGCCCCTCGGCTGCTTCGTGGCTTCCTGCTTCAACAACCAGGCCTGACGAGGAACGAGCTCCTTCCAGAGAGGACCTGATCCTCCTCCGGGACTCGAGGAAGCCTCCTGCGGAAGGTGAGCTTTCATTTCCCCATCTCTCCCATCCAGATAACGGGAGGATGAGGGTTGATTTTATTTATTTCTTCTTCTTATTATTATTAATTTAAAATAAATACATTTATGAGAAAACAGATGTACATACGAGTAAACAAACATACAAACAAACAAACAAATAACAGGAAAATCAAACAAACCACTACACTATAAGATACAAGAAGTTTCCCCATCTCTCCCATCCAGATAACGGGAGGATGAGGATGAGGGTAGATTTTATTTATTTCTTCTTCTTCTTCTTCTTAATTTAAAATAAACACATTTATGAGAAAACAGACGTACATACAAGTAAACAAACATACATACAATCAAACAAACAAACAAATAACAGGAAAATCAAACAAACCACCACACTATAAATATAATTATCATCATATATACTCCTGATACGGAACACAATTATAAAACTTATAGAGAAGAAATTAAAAACTGACTTCCAATTAATCTCACTGTACTTTATCCATTACTTTATACTGCACAGTTACACATTTCTTATATAATTTCTTTTTACCTCCCTACGAACTTATATTTATACAATACAGGGATCTAATTCTGCCAATATGTTTCCTTTTATTCCGTAGTTTTCTAAATAGTCTTTAAAGATCTTTATAGACTTTTTGTTTTGGTTGGCCTCTTACTCTTCCTGTGGCTTTCGCGAGCTGCAGATATTCTACCATTAGGATTTGCCAATCTTCTGGTTCGCCAGAAGCGGCTAAGTCATGCTGGGCACATGACCCGGAAGCTGTACGCCGGCTCCCTCGGCCAGTAAAGCGAGATGAGCGCCGCAACCCCAGAGTCGGTCACGACTGGACCTTATGGTCAGGGGTCCCTTTACCTTTACCTATATACCCCCCTCGGACACGGGTGGCACTGTGGGCTAAACCACAGAGCCTAGGGCTTGCCGATCAGAAGGTCAGTGGTTCGAATCCCCGCGACGGGGTGAGCTCCCGTTGCTCGGTCCCTGCTCCTGCCAACCTAGCAGGTCGAAAGCACACCAAAAAGTGCAAGTAGATAAATAGGTACCGCTCTGGTGGGAAGGTAAATGGCATTTCCATGCGCTGCTCTGGTTCGCCAGAAGCGGCTTAGTCATGCTGGCCACATGACCCGGAAGCTGTACGCTGGCTCCCTCAGCCAATAAAGCGAGATGAGCGCCGCTACCCCAGAGTCGTCCACGACTGGACCTAATAGTCAGGGGTCCCTTTACATTTACTACGAGAATTGGCAGCATAGGTTCATTTCTTCAGGTTTTGATGCCAGGCTGGGTGAAGCTGTTTGGAGTTCCTGGCTTCCAACTGCAAGGGAAAGGACACCCCCCAAACCCCCCCCCGCCCTAACCTACTTCTCTCTGCAGCCGTGGCGAGCGCCAGGCCTGCCAAACCCTCCCAAGAGGACCAGCCTCCCATCAGCAAAGATTCCAGGGGCCGGAACCGGTTGCCTGGCAACAAGGACGCCCGAGAAAAGGACTCCGTCTCTGCAGGGGAGAAGCGTGGGGACCGGGGGCCGGCGCAGCTGGAGTCGAGCTCCTCCAGCGACCGGGAGCTGCTGTACCGCTGCCCGGAGATCGAGAGCCTGAGGGAAGCCACCGGCATGATGCTCCTAGAGGAGAAGAAGGCGTTGGCGGGGAAGAGGAGCCACGAGGCCAACCACAAAGGTGAGAAACCCCCGTTGGCCTTCCAGGGTGGGTCCCGAGGTGTCTGGTTGCGCCAGCTTGTGGGCGGAGGTGGCGGCAAACTCCCTGGCACGGACCCTGTGGCTCTGCCCCAGCGGGGGGTATCACCCCACCTGCTATTTTTTTTTATACGTTTTTATTAGGTTTTCCACAATGATAACAAAAACCACAAAGCAGAGTGATACACAAAAACAAAGAAAGGAAGAAAGGGGGGAGGAACAATAAACAGATAAACAATAACAACAAACTTAATTCTTCACAAATCCAACCTTTTAAGTATCTTGGTTGACTTCCTCAAGTCCCTCCCTTCTGAGTTTCCTTGTAGTTAAAAGTAACAGCTTTCCAATATCATTATTAACTAAAACAATTTCCAATTATTGTTGTTGTTATTTAGTCGTGTCCGCCTCTTCGTGACCCCCTGGACCAGAGCACACCAGGCACTCCTGTCTTCCACTGCCTCCCGCAGTTTGGTCAAACTCATGCTGGTAGCTTCAAAAACACTGTCCAACCATCTCGTCCTCTGTTGTCCTCTTCTCCTTGTGCCCTCCATCTTTCCCAACTTCAGGGTCTTTTCCAGGGAGTCTCATCTTCTCCTGAGGTGGCCAAAGTATTGGAGCCTCAGCTTCAGGATCTGTCCTTCCAGTGAGCACTCAGGGCTGATTTCCTTCAGAATGGATTGATTTGATCTTCTTGCAGTCCATGGGACTCTCAAGAGTCTCCTCCAGCACCATAATTCAAAAGCATCCATTCTTCGGCGATCAGCCTTCTTTATGGTCCAGCTCTCACTTCCATACATCACTACTGGGAAAACCATAGCTTTTACTATACGGACCTTTGTTGGCAAGGTGATGTCTCTACTTTTTAAGTTTAAGCTTGCATTTTGCTATAAGAAGCTGATGATCTGAGCCACAGTCAGCTCCAGGGCTTGTTTTTTGCTGACTGTATAGAGCTTCTCCATCTTTGGCTGCAGAGAATATAATCAATCTGATTTCGATGCTGCCCATCTGGTGATGTCCATGTGTAGAGTCGTCTCTTGTGTTGTTGGAAAAGCGTGTTTGTGATGACAACTTTGTTCTCTTGACCGAACTCTATTATTTCCAATTATAGTCCATCTTATTCACTTTTCTTGACATTCTAAATCCCATTTATTTAATCATAACTTAATTTAATCCTAGGCCTATTTGTTTCTTTCAAGTAATTTCTAATTTTTTATGTTACGATATTTATTCAAATACTCCTTAAATTTCCTCCAGTCCTCTTGGAACTCCTCTTCTTTCTGGTCACGGATTCACCCCACCTGCTATTGAGCCTCTGGTACTGCTGCCTTCGCCAGGTCCTCCCTCAGCCCCTTGCCCAGCAATGGTGCTTCTGGACGGAGAGGAGAGGAGTTCTCACTGGTCTCCAGGTGAAAACGGCAAATGCCGTGCAGGCAATGTTAGAAATTTGTATCCAAACAAACCCATCTTGCAAAGAGAACATCAACAACGTCTAAGCAACACGATGACCATATACATACGTAGTAGACAATCATGGGACACGGGTCATCATGGGACGCGGGTGGCGCTGTGGGTTAAACCACAGAGCCTAGGACTTGTCGATCAGAAGGTCGGCGGTTCGAATCCCCATGACGGGGTGAGCTCCCGTTGCTCGGTCCCTGCTGCTGCCAACCTAGCAGTTCAAAATCACACCAGTGCAAGTAGATAAATAGGTACTGGTCCAGCAGGAAGGTAAACGGCGTTTCCATGCACTGCTCTGGTTCTCCAGAAGTGGCTTAGTCATGCTGGCCACATGACCCGGAAGCTGTACGCAGGCTCCCTCAGCCAATAAAGCGAGATGAGCGCCGCAACCCCAGAGTCGGTCACGACTGGACCTAATGGTCAGGGGTCCCTTTACCCTTTACCTAGACAATCTTTATAGAATTCCTTCACACCATAAAAAGCTCAAAATGAAATCTTTAGTCTCAAAGTCTCTGAAAATCTTTAAATGCCAAACTTTGTACGGTAGAAGACAAGCTGTGAAGCTTTGTGTATTTAGCAAATACGATGTCCAACACTGCACAGTGATTCTGGATACTGACTACTGTTTCGTAGAATTCTTCGTCAGCGTAGTGGGAGGATATAGAATGCTTTGTAAACCCATCTTATTTCGAATGAATGTATGTAAATGAAAATATCAAATGCTGTGGAACAGTGCTCATGGAATAATGTTAGAAATTAGCCAGGCGCCAGGCGCGTTTTGCTACTGGCGTGGAGATCTCTGGGTGCCCGGCTGATTCCTCTAGCTTTCTTAAGCAGGTCAGCAGAAGAGCTCATTTATTGCCTTTATCTCCCACCCTTTACTCCAAGGAGTCCACGGTTCACCCCCCATCTCATCTAATAATAATAATAATAATAATAATAATAATAATAATAATAATAATTTTATTATTTATACCCCACCCATCTGGCTGGGCTTCCCCAGCCACTCTGGGCGGCTTCCAAAAATATTAAAATAATGTAATACATCAAGCATTAAAAGCTTCCCTAAACAGGGCCACCTTCAGATGTCTTCTAAAAGTCTGGTAGTTATTCTTTTCTTTGACATCTGCTGGGAGGGTGTTCCACAGGGTGGGGGCCACCACTGAGAAGGCCCTCTGCCTGGTTCCCTGTAACTTGGCTTCTCCCAGGGAGTGAACTGCCAGAAGGCCCTCGGAGTTGGACCTCAGTGTCCGGGCAGAACGATGGGGGTGGAGACGCTCCTTCAGGTATAGTGGACCGAGGCTGTTTAGGGCTTTCAAGGTCAGCACCAACACTTTGAATTGTGCTCAGAAACGTACTGGGAGCCAATGTAGGTCTTTCAAGACCGGTGTTATGTGGTCTTGGCGGCCGCTCCCAGTCCCCAGTCTGGCTGCCACGTTCTGGATTAATTGCAGTTTCCGGGTCACCTTCAAAGGTAGCCCCACATAGAGCGCATTGCAGTAGTCAAAGCAGGAGATAACCAGAGCATGCACCACTCTGGCAAGACAGTCTGCAGGCAGACAGGGTCTCATCCTGCGTACCAGATGGAGCTGGTAAACAGCTGCCCTGGACACAGAATTGACCTGCGCCTCCATGGACAGCTGTGAGTCCAAAATGACTCCCAGGCTGCGCACCTGGTCCTTCAGGGGCACAGTGACCCCATTCAGGACCAGGGAATCCTCCACACCTGCCCGCCCCCTGTCCCCCCAAAACAGTACTTCTGTCTTGTCAGGATTCAACCTCAATCTGTTAGCTGCCATCCATCCTCCAACCGCCTCCAGACACTCACACAGGACCTTCACCACCTTCACTGGTTCTGATTTGAAAGAGAGGTAAAGCTGGGTAATCTGTACAACGACCCTGTGAGGTAGGAGAAGAGGCTGCGACTGACCACAATGTCGCCCAGGGAACTTCAGGACCGAGTGGGGATTTGAACCCTGATCTCCCAGGTCCTAGTCCAACATGCTAACCACTACACCCCACTGGCTTTCTGTATTTTTGCTATGGGGCAGCTCTATAAATTGAGCAGGTAAATAAAGAATGGGGAAGCCAAATGCCCCTTAGAGAAGGTCCTGTAATATTTTCCTTGAAGCTTGAATTAATATTATTCCACTGTCGAACAGCTCTTACTGTCAGGAAGTTGTTCCTAATGTTTAGGTGGAATCTTCTTTCTTGTAGTTTGGATCCATTGCTCCGTGTCCGCTTCTCTGGAGCAGCAGAAAACAACCTTTCTCCCTCCTCTATGTGACATCCTTTTATATATTTGAACATGGCTATCATATCACCCCTTAACCTCCTCTTCTCCAGGCTAAACATGCCCAGCTCCCTTAGCCGTTCCTCATAAGGCATCGTTTCCAGGCCTTTGACCATTTTGGTTGCCCTCCTCTGGACACGTTCCAGTTTGTCAGTGTCCTTCTTGAACTGTGGTGCCCAGAACTGGACACAGTACTCCAGGTGAGGTCTGACCAGAGCAGAATACAGTGGCACTATTACTTCCCTTGATCTAGATGCTATACTCCTATGGATGCAGCCCAGAATTGCATTGGCTTTTTTAGCTGCCGCATCACACTGTTGGCTCATTTCAAGTTTGTGGTCAACCAAGACTCCTAGATCCTTTTCACATGTACTGCTCTCAAGCCAGGTGTCACCCATCTTGTATTTGTGCCTCTCATTTTTTTTGCCCAAGTGCAATACTTTACATTTCTCCCTGTTAAAATTCATCTTGTTTGTTTTGGCCCAGTTCTCTAATCTGTCAAGGTCGTTTTGAAGTATGATCCTGTCCTCTGGGGTGTTAGCCACCCCTCCCAATTTGGTGTCATCTGCAAATTTGATCAGGATGCCCTTGAGTCCATCATCCAAGTCGTTGATAAAGATGTTGAATAAGACCGGGCCCAAGACAGAACCCTGTGGCACCCCACTAGTCACTCTTCTCCAGGATGAAGAGGAAACATTGATGAGCACCCTTTGGGTTGCATTATAGATGCCTCCAGGCTCACAGAGGCAAACATCTTGGTGCAAAGGAAATACAGTTTTATAAATGGTCTCTTATCTGGGACACGGAAAGGCTCCTTTCACTCCCTGCTTCCTCTCTCTTCCAGGGTCGTCGAATGACTCAGAAAGCAATGAAGGGTCCTTACCTGAGTTGGAGGAAGCAGAAGTTTCAGAACCAAGGACAGCTCAGACGCAGGTGATTTGTTTGAGGCAAAGACGGCTAGATTTGTACGAAGCAGAGATTGCAGGCTCCTGAAAAACTTCTGGCTTCAGGGAGTTGTGCGGGGCAGATATCTTAATCCAGGGGTCAGCAAACTTTTTCAGCAGGGGGCCAGTCCACTGTCCCTCAGACCTTGTGGGGGGCCGGACTATATTTTGAAGGGAAAAAAATGAACGAATTCCTATGCCCCACAAATAACGCAGAGATGCATTTTAAATAAAAGCACACATCCTACTCATGTAAAAACACCAGGCAGGCCCCACAAATAATCCAGAGATGCATTTTAAATAAAAGCACACATTCTACTCCTGTAAAAACATGCTGATTTCCAGACTGTCCACGGGCCGGATTTAGAAGGCGATTGGGCCGGATCCAGCCCCCGGGCCTTAGGTTGCCTACCCCGTCTTAATCCTTCCCCACTGAATGAGTGGGCTGAGCTTTCAGCAGATCACCTAGAGATCTCAGCAGTAGATCTTTCCATATACCGTATTTTTCACTCCATAAGGCGCACCGACCATAGGGCGCACCTAGTTTTTAGAGGGGGAAATCAAGAAAAAAAATCTTATTTCCCCCCCAGCCCCAAAGAGCAGTGTACAGGCTGCGCGCAACCTCTCCCTGCCGGAGGGGCTGCACGCGGCTATCCCTGAAGCCTTCCGAGCACAGCGCAAGTTCCCACTGCGCTCCTCAGGCTTTGGGTTCCTTTTGCTGAAGCCGGGAGAGCAAGACTCTCCTGGCTTCAGCGAAAGGAACCTGAAGCCTCCAGAACGCAGCGGTAACTCGCGCTGTGCTCCGAAGGCTTCAGGCAGCAATCCCTGAAGCCTGGAGAGCGACCGACCCCTCTCGCTCTCCAGGCTTCAGTGAAAGCAACGGGAAGCCTCCAGAGCGTGGAGGGAGCGCTCCTTCTGCGCTTCGGAGGCTTTGCGTTGCTATCGCCGAAGCCAAGGAGCCTGCATTCGCTCCATAGGACGCACACACATTTCCCCTTCATTTTTGGAGGGGGGAAAGTGCGTCCTATAGAGCGAAAAATACGGTACCTTCTGGCCACCTCTGGGCTAAAGGATGTTTCTTGAAGCGGTCTCAGCCTGGGGACTGTACAGCAGCGAGGGTCCTCTGAGCATGTGCAAACTACGCTGCAACGAGGAAGCAACTAGCGGCCGATCTGTTTTGTGAGAATGGAATCGCCTAACAAGGGAAATCGGGAGATTTTTTTCCGGATGTTTGTGAGGCTTGTAAAACTGGAGCGCTGATGAATTATAACGATGCCAATGCATAAGGACAGGCTGATTAAGTTGTATTGGAGGAAATACGATTTTAAATGATGATTAATGATAATGGAAGATTAACGCCATTTGATTAATTAGGAAAATGGGTAAAAGTCTCAGCAAGGATTGAACATGCACAGTCGGTGGAAATAGGAAATGGATGGGGAAGTATTAGAAATTAAGAAAAAGTATTTTACTGTGTGCAGGAAAGAAGGGAGGGAAAAGAAATGTATTGAAAGGGGGGGAAGTCAGCTTTTAAATTAGAGTTAAATTTGAATTAATTCATTTAAAATTTGGAAAACGAATGGAACTTAATTGGCAAAGTACATTGCAATGTGCTGACTTAAAGCCAGCCGCTGTAAACCGTGTTTAGAACTGAAACAATGTTTACTGCTATGTAAACCATGTTTAGACCTGAAACCATGTTTACTGCTATGTAAACCATGTTTAGACCTGAAACCATGTTTACTGCTATGTAAACTTGCATCTTCCAGGCGCAACTAACGCACTCCTTGGGAACCGGCGAAGAATCCATTAGCAGAGCGAAACAGAGCAGAAGCGAGAAAAAAGCACGAAAGGTCAGTAGAGAATCGGGCAGGGAGGGTCTGGGGTGCAGGAAGAGCGAACAAGCAGAAAATTTTCTCAACTCTGTAATTCTTTGAATGGTCTGCTGAGGCATGTGGCATTCCATGAGAGACAACTGGTGTCTACAGTACAGTGGATGGGACGTGGTGGCGCTGTGGTCTAAATCACTGAGCCTCTAGGGCTTGCCAATCGGAAGGTCAGCGGTTCGAATCCCCACGATGGGGATTCGAACAAAACAACCCCTAGAAGAGCAATTGAACATGGATTTTACTATCTAACTAGACTATTGAGCCGTAAAATGAAAGCAATAAACAATGTACTGCAGTCACACAATCAATCCATCAGTTGCTGAACTGCGTTCCAACACAGTCACAAAAACAAAACAAAACAAAAAAGAGCCGCAAAAGCAAAAATGAAAAATAAATAGCAAAAACAGACAGACCTCAGGGTAACACTCAAAGCGGAGCACGTTCAGCTTCTGAAAAAAGTCTGTAAAGTCTGACTTTTAGAAGACATCTGAAGGCACATGGATCACGTTCGCAACCTGAGCGTCCACTGTATTATTATTATTATTATTATTATTAATTCAACTTATACACTGCCCTATACCCGGAGGTCTCAGGGCAGTTCACAACAAGACCACAACATATAAAGTCAAACCAAACGCAATAACTCAATAACCCTCCCTCCAAAAGCCACATTCTAAAAGGGGGTTGGATGTCAAGAAGATCAGCCGAAGGCCTGATTAAAAAGGAACATTTTTGCCTAGCCCCGAAAGGTGTATAAAGAAGGTGCCAGGCGAACTTCCCTGGGGAGAGCATTCCACAGACGGGGAGCCACTGCAGAGAAGGCCCTGTTCTCATGTTGCCACCCTCTGGACCTCTCAAGGAGGCGGCACATGAAGGAGGGCCTCAGAAGATGATCTCAGGGTCCAGGTAGGCTCATATGGAAAGAGGCAGTCCTTGAGGTATCGCGGTCTGAAAGTTTCTGAGCACTTTTCAAAGGCAGTCCCATGCACAGCCCATTATAGCGAGTCCTTGGGATGCAAACAGGACCACCTGAACCCCGCAGGAGTTTTTTCTATCTGTCTCAAGCAAGTGCTAATTAGTTGAGGCAAGGTGCTTTCTGTGTTTAGAACATAGCTGTCAACTTACAGATTTGAAAATAAGGGACCAGCAGCCTTGAAAATAAGGGACCAGCAGCCAAAATAAGGGACCTGCAGCCTCACCTGTTCCAGGCACTCCAGTCTTCCTGTCCTCCTGCAGTCTGGTCAAACTCATGCTGGTAGCTTCGAGAACACTGTCCAGCCAACTTTGTAACCAGAGGTTCAACTGAATAGAATCTGAATCACATGCACCACAAGGCCTATGCAGCCTCAACTTAAGATGGCTCCCCGGCCTGGCTTTGCACTGCAAAGTTTGCAGCAGCACGTGCAACAAAATGGCGTCCAGCGTTCAAAAAACCCCTCAGCTTGCATTAACTAGCCACACACAAGGCATGCAAGCTCCACCCCCCAGTCGTTCTTAGGCTTCTTATTGGGTGAGCAACGCAGCCAAGCAACACAGTTGGAGGCTCCCTCCTCCCTGGCCGGCAGGGAGGGAGGGAGGGAGAGGAGCTGCTTCCTTTGAAATTTAAGGGACATCATTTGAGGGACATTTAAGGGACATCCATCAGTAAGGGACAGCTGCGGGACATGGCGCTGGAATAAGGGACTGTCCCTTCAAATAAGGGACACTTGACAGCTATGGTTTGGAACGGGTTAAGTCCGGAGCCTGCTGAGATTCTTCTTAACGAGCAGCCGAGAATCCCTATTAATTCCTTCCAAAGCCTCTAAGCAAACAGAGTTCTTAATTTTATTTTTAAAGGGAACTTGACTCGGTCAGTGCTGCTCTGGACTCCTGACAACATTGGGTGGGCCAGAGGAGAACCAGACATCTAATCTCTCTGCCTGGAGGCAAACTTCCAGGAAAATCTTGACCTCACAACAATCCCCATGTGCGTGACCCCCTTTCTGAAGCGGGGCATACAGTGGCCAAGCCCCATGGCCTCCCTGTGCCCTTCCTTGCCATCCTTGGAGAGCAAGGGGCTCTCAGAAGCAGGGATAATCCCCCGAGCCAGTGACGAACATAGACAGCCTTATCCAAGCCCTAATCCAGCCCCCCTTGGTTTCAGGGCAGCCTCAGCTAGGGCTTCAAGGACTGAAGTCAGGCGGGGGGCCCTCTTATTCCCCCCCACCCCAGAATATTCATCTGGGTCACAACCACGTTGAACAACACTGGTCAGCAACTGGCAGTGCCTTGGTCAAATCCCTGAAGGACCAGGTGCGCAGCCAGGGAGATGGCAGCTAATGGATTGAGGTTGAATCCCGACAAGACAGAAGTACTGTTCTTAGAGGGTGGGCGGGGGTGGGGGACTCCCTGGTCCTGAATGGGGTCACTGTGCCCCTGAAGGACCAGGTGCGTAGCCTGGGAGTCATTCTGGACTCACAGCTGTTCATGGAGGCGCAGGTCAATTCTGTGTCCAGGGTGGCCGTTTACCAGCTCCATCTGGTACACAGGATGAGACCCTACCTGCCCGCAGACTGTCTCGCCAGAGTGGTGCATGCGCTAGTTATCTCTCACTTGGACTACTGCAATGTGTTCTACGTGGGGCTACCTTTGAAGGTGACCCAGAAACTGCAACTAATCCAGAATGCGGCAGCTAGACTGGTGACTGGGAGCAGCCGCCGAGACCACATAACACCAGTCTTGAAAAACCTACATTGGCTCCCAGTACGTTTCCAAGTGCAATTCAAAGTGTTGGTGCTGACCTTTCAAGCCCTAAATGGCCTCGGTCCAGTGTACCTGAAGGAGTGTCTCCACCTCCATCGTTCAGTCCAGATACTGAGGTTCATTGAGGGCCTTCTGGTGGTTCCCTCCCTGCGAGAAGTGAGGTTACAGGGAACCAGGCAGAGGGCCTTCTCAGTGGTGGCACCTGCCCTGTGGAACACCCTCCCACCAGATGTCAAAGAGAAAAACAACTACCAGACTTTTAGAAGACATCTGAAGGCAGCCCTGTTTAGGGAAGCTTTTAATGTTTAATAGGTTATTGTATTTTAATATTCTGTTGGAAGCCGCCCAGAGTGGCTGGGGAAACCCAGCCAGATAGGCGGGGTATAAATAATAAATTATTATTATTATATTATTATCATACGAACCTGCCTGGGCTGTGAGATCTTCAGGGGAGGCCCTTCTCTCAGTCCCACCTCCCTCAAAGGCACAGTTGGGTTGGGACCCAGGACAGGGCCTTCTTGGTGGTGGCTCCTCCAAGACTCTGGAACTCCCTCCCTGGAGAAGCCAGACTTGACAGGTGAAGACGACCTTTGTTCCCGCAGGCTTTGGGGAACTGACTGTGTTTAAGGAAAGGGCTGGAGCTGCGATGCTTCTGTTGTTATGATCTGTATGTTCTAATAGATCTCGTATAAAAATTTCCCTGCGTGGAAATGGCTAGGCAGGAAAATGGGCGGCGAGGCCTGGAGCTCGTTGGCTAACTGGGCTGGGGCTGATGGGTACAGTGGTACCTCGCAAGACGAATGCCTCGCAAGACGGAAAACTCGCTAGACGAAAGGGTTTTTGGTTTTTTGAGTTGCTTCGCAAGACGATTTTCCCTATGGGCTTGCTTCGCAAGACGGAAACGTCTTGCAAGTTTGTTTCCTTTTTCTTAAAACCGTTAATACAGTTGCGACTTGACTTCGAGGAGCAACTCATAGCACGCGGTGTGGTAGCCTTTTTTGAGGTTTTTGAAGACTTTGGTGGTTTTTGAAGCTTTTCCAAAACTTTTCCGACACCGTGCTTCGCAAGACGAAAAAAACCGCAAGACGAAAAAACTCGCGGAACGAATTAATTTCATCCTGCGAGGCACCACTGTATTGTAGTCCAAAACATCTGGATGGCATCAGTTCGGCGAAGGCTGGGCTAACTAAGAACTACCGTCTTTTTCGCTCCATAAGACGCACCTAGTTTTTAGAGGGGGAATTCAAGAAGAAAAAAAATTCTTTAAAGGGAGCGCTGAGCAAAGCCTGTCTGCTTCCCAGGCTCTGCTCAGCGCTCCCTTTCACGAGCCGCGTGGAGCGTGTCTGCGGCTCTTGCAGGCTTTTCCGCAGGAGGGAGAACGGCAGCCCATCACTGACGGTCTGCCTTTCTCCCTCCTTGGGGAAAAGCCCCCGAGAGCCACACACACGGTCCGCGCTTCTCTTTTTTTTTTTTTTAAAATGATATTTATTAAAGTTTCAAAAAATACAAAAAATACAGAATACAGAAAGAAAAAAAATAAAGTTTTTTAAAATATAGCCAAAAAAATAAAACAAAACAAAAAAAACCATACCAAATAAAACAGTTAAAAAGACATTAATTTTCCATAACCTATCTTCCCTATACTTATTTCCCCGGACCTCCTCATACCTCCCTTTTTTGTATTCCAGTTCAATTTGTTAGTTCAGCAAATCCTTACCATTAAGTTTTTACCCAGTTGCAAACCTTTTTTCATATCTCTTAAGGCATTACAGCTAAAAACCTCTTAGTTTCTATCCAACATCCTTCTAAGATTCCTTAATTTTACAATATTTCTGTAAATAGTCTTTAAATTTCTTCCAGTCTTCTTTCACCGACTCTTCTCTCTGGTCTCGGATTCTGCCAGTCATTTCCGCCAGTTCCATGTAGTCGATCAGGTCCGCGCTTCTCTTTAAAGGAGTGTGGCTCTTGGGGGATTTTGCGGGAGGTGGGGGAAGTAAGAGAGCCTCGCTCTGTCACTTCCCCACCTCCCGCAAAGAGCCACATGCTCTTTAAAGAGAGCGTGGCTATCCCTGGCTTTTCCCCCCACCTCCCACAAAAGCCAGGGGTAGGCGCGCAAAGCCTCTGCAGGGCAGCGGGATGAAGGCTCCCCGCTAAGGCAGAAGCTAAAACAGCTAGAGGGAGCGCTGCACATTGCTCTCTCTAGCTGTTCTGGCTTCTGGGGTAGCCCGCGAAGCCTCTGCAGGGCAGCGGGGAGCCTTCATCCTGCTGCCCTGCGGAGGCTTCACGGGCTACCCCAGAGCTGCTCAGGAGCTTGTCGGGCATGGCGGGGGAAGCCCAGGTACCCCCCCGCCAGCCCCAAAGAGCAGCGGACAGCCCCGCCAGCGCTGACAAGCTCTGGGAGTATTCTCCACCTCCCACAAAAGCCCACAGGAGCCGCGCACCATTTAAGGAGTGTGCGGCTCCTGCGGGCTTTTCTACGAGGAGGGAGAAGGGACTGATGCGGCCAGTTAAGTCCCGTCTCCCTCCTCGCAGAAAAGCCCGCAGGAGCCGCGCAGAGGGGGCTTTTCCCGCCTGCCTCCCCCCTGCATTCGCTCCATAAGACGCACACACATTTCCCCTTACTTTTTAGGAGGGGAAAAGTGTGTCTTATGGAGCGAAAAATACGGTGGTAAAACTAAAAATAAATAAATTTAGGCGCCAGAAAGAGTGCAGTGGCATCAATAGGCAGGGAGTTCCAAAGTGTTGGTGGGGCCACACGAAAAGACCAAGTTCTTACCAATGCCAAGATAATATTATGAGCATCTGTAACGGTGCCAGTTCCACAGATGGAGGCGGCCCCAAACTTTTCAGATCTTTAAGCTTTGGGGCCCTCCTGTGTTGATCGCATTCCTCTTGTACTGGGGGTTCTGTCATTTTTGGCTAAGGAATGGCACTCTTCTCTCTAATGATTTATCCCCTTATGATTTATCAGCTACTTTAAAATGAGGCTGCATTTTAAATTGTATTTTAATCTGTATTTTAAATTGGTTTCCACCCCCTCTATTATGTTATTACTGTGATTTTATTGGTGTTAGCCGCCCTGAGCCCGGGGAGGGCGGGGTATAAATAAAATTTATTATTATTTATTATTATTATTATTATTATTATTATTATTATTATTATTATTATTATTAAATTGGAAATGGTGGGAATGACTTCACTTGACGCAGGAAAGATCTTTTGAACCAGATTATCCCTCCTTAGGACTCTGCTTATCAGACAGAGTCCTGTCTCTCCGTCTGTCTTCTGAGCGTGGCTCTATTCCACGCTTTCAGCTCGGCAGTTCCAACAGGCTGACATCCCCTTGTCTCCCTCCAGGCCATGTCGAAGCTGGGTCTGCGGCAAATCCACGGCGTCACCAGGATCACGATCCGCAAGTCCAAGAACATCTTGTTTGTGATCACCAAGCCGGACGTCTTCAAAAGTCCTGCCTCGGACATCTACATTGTCTTTGGAGAGGCCAAGGTGAGGGGCGAACAACTCCAGCCCTAGCATGAGGCACAGTGAGGCAGCTGCAGTGGCGTAGCGTGGGGGGTGCAGGGGGGGCCGGCCGCACCGGGCGCAACATCTGGGGGTTAGGGCTAGGGGGCGCAAATCCACGGGTTAGGGGGCGCAAATTACTTGCCTTGCCCCGGGTGCTGACAACCCACGCTACGCCACTGGGCAGCTGCCTCAGGTGGCTGAAGCTGAGGGCGTGGAAAGGTGTTGGAGGACAGAGTTCTCTCTCTCTCTCTGTGTGTGTGTGTGTCTGTCTGTCTGTCTGTCTGTCTGTCTGTCTTCTACCCTCCAGTGGCGTAACGTGGGTTGCTAGTGCCCGGGGCAGGCAAGGGCTTCTGTTTTGTTTTGTTTTTTAAATTTTTTTTTATTCAAAGTCATAACAAAACATATTATCCAAAAACATAGCCTTATTTCCCCCCCATTTTTTCTCCCTCCCCCTCTCCCCACAGAACCCCACCCCCACCCCACCCCCCGACCTCCCTCAGTTCCAGTCTTTGGTTTCTCCAATAATGCTATTTTCTGCATGTTACAAAGTTGTATAGATCCTCAAACTGTTTAGCTGATTATTATCAGTAAAAAAAATTGTGAATGTTTATTCAAAACCTGCCAAGGAGTCCAGTTCACTTTGTTGTGTCTTCAGATGCTTTGTGAAAGGTTCCCATTCATCCTTAAAGTCACAGTTATCCTTGTCCCGTAACTTATATGTCAATTTTGCCAGTTCTGCATAGTCCATCCATTTTTCTTGCCATGATTCTTTAGTTGGGGTTTCTTCAGTCCTCCATCCTTGTGCTACCAGAACTCTCGCGGCCGTTGTCGCATACATGAAAATGTTTTTCAACTTTTTTGGCAGGTCTTTCCCTATGATCCCCAACAAAAAGGCCTCGGGTTTTTTAACAAATGTTAAATGGAACATTTTCTTCAATTCATTGTATAGCAAGGGCTTCTGAATCCAGTTAGGGGAGCCCACTTGGCTCACTTGCTGTCCAATAGCATAGGAGAAGGATTTGCTTTGAAGAATCGTAGAGATCCCCAAGGGCCATCTAGTCCAACCCGCTGTAATGCCAGAATAACGGTTGGAGGATTCCCTATGGGGGGGGCTGCTGCTGCTGCCTAGGCACATCCTGTGGGCCATGTCCCTGGCTCACTGCCCTTCCCTGCCTGCCTACCACCGGGGGCCTCTGGGCTCTGGCCCCCAGTGCCAGCAGAGGCTCTGTCCGCCTTTCTTGCATCTCCAAGGCCGGGCCGCCCTTCAATCTCCAGGCTGTTCAAGGAGTCGCGTTGGCAGCTTGCCTGCCCCGGGCACCAGCAGCCCATGTTATGCCACTGGAGGGTGGAAGACAGACACACACACACACAGAGAGAGAGAGAGAGAGAGAGAGAGAGATAACTCTGTCCTCCAACACCTTTCCACACCCTCACCTTCATCCGCCCGAGGCAGCTGCCTCACTGTGCCTCATGCTAGGGCCATAGCTGTCAACCGTCCCTTATTTGGCGGGAAAGTCCCTTATCCCAGCGCCGCGTCCCGCTGCTGTCCCTTATTGATGATGTCCCTTAAATTTCCCGGGTTTCAAAGGAAGCAGCTTCTCTCCCTCCCTCCCTGCCGGCCAGGGAGGAGGGAGGCTCCAACTGTGTTCCTTGGCTGCATTGCTCACCCAATAAGGAGTCTAAGAACAACTGGTGGGGTGGAGCTTGCATGCCTTGTGCCAATCAAATCGGCCACATTGCCTGGGGACTCGCCTTTGCTCAGCGCTTCCCAGCGGAGAGGTGACGGTGGTTTTCCTTGCTGCATCCCCTTTGCCGGGTTGCTGCGCTGTGGGAGCCACTGCTTGAGGCTTCGTTTGGCTGCTGGCTGGGCTTTCTGCCTTTGGCTCGGAGGGGCTCAGAAGTTGAACATACCTGTGCCCGGAAAATCCCTTATTTTGGCTGCTGATCCCTTATTTTCGAGGCTGCTGGTCCCTTATTTTCAAATCTGTAAGTTGACAGCTATGGCTAGGGCCAAAGTTGTCCGGGGAATCCTTTCGCCTCTCGGGGTAACCAAACGGGTGTCGTGAGCAGAGCAGGAAACCCAGAGACTGCGTGAGGCCTTTTCGCCAGGTCTCTTGTGCACGTCCAGAGTGGCGAAAAGACTGGGGGTGCGTGTGCCCTCATCGTATTTATTCCCATGCCCTCTTGTCTTCCACAGATCGAAGACCTCTCTCAGCAGGTACACAAAGCTGCTGCGGAGAAGTTCAAGGTCCCCATGGAGCACTCGCCGTTGATCACCGAAGCGGCTCCCACCCTCACGATCAAGGAGGAGAGCGAGGAGGAAGAGGAGGTACGGTGGTTTGGTGCGGGAAGGCCAGGAACGAGATCTTGGGGTCATGAAATAGGGCTGGATAAGCTGCCGTTGAGCAGAGACATCACCTTGCCAACAAAGGTCCGTATAGTTAAAGCCGTGGTTTTCCCAGTAGTGATGTATGGAAGTGAGAGCTGGACCATAAAGAAGGCTGATCGCCAAAGAATTGATGCTTTTGAATTCTGGTGCTGGAGGAGACTCTTGAGAGTCCCATGGACTGCAAGAAGATCAAATCTATCCATTCTGAAGGAGAAGACTCCCTGGAAAAGACCCTGATGCTGGGAAAGATGGAGGGCACAAGGAGAAGGGGACGACAGAGGACAAGATAGTTGGACAGTGTTCTCAAAGCTACCAGCATGAGTTTGACCAAACTGCGGGAGGCAGTGGAAGACAGGAGTGCCTGGCGTGCTCTGGTCCAGGGGGTCACGAAGAGCCGGACACGACTAAACTACTAAACAACAACAAGCTGCCGTTTAAAATGGCAGATTCCACACTAGTAGGGATCACGAGGAAAGGAATAGGAAATAATACTGTCGATATAATACTGATACACAAAACCACGGTGCGGCCACATTTGGGATCCTGTCTACAGTTCTGTTCGCCTCACCGCAAAAAGGCAGTCTTCGAAATTAGCCAGGCGCATTTTGCTCCCAGCAACTTGCGACCGAGTGAAGATGTCTGGGTGCTAGGATACTGCCCGAAATCACCATCTGGGGATCCCTGGATCTGGACTGCTTTCACACACTAACACCCCACCCTGTAGAATTCTGTCAGTTCTATTTTATCTGCACAATTGGAATGGATTTCAGGAACCAAAATGCTTTTTCTGTGCAGCCCGAACATCATTATGAAATGCAATAGCTCAGTGAGAGATGATCGGCTTTGCGTGCAGAAAGCCCCGGGTTCATTCCCTAACATCATTTCCAGGGAGGGCTGGGAGGTGATGATGATGATGATGATTTGTTACTCATATTATTATTTATTTAATGTATTTATATCTTGCCTTTCTCCCAAGCTGGGATTCAAGGCAGCTTCCAACATTAAAAATTAGTGCTATACAGTGGTACCTCAGGTTACATACACTTCAGGTTACAGACTCTGCTAACCCAGAAATAGTGCTTCAGGTTAAGAACTTTGCTTCAGGATGAGAACAGAAATCGTGCTCCGGCGGCGTGGCAGTGGCGGGAGGCCCCATTAGCTAAAGTGGTGCTTCAGGTTAAGAACAGTTTCAGGTTAAGTACGGACCTCTGGAACGAATTAAGTACTTAACCTGAGGTACCACTGTAAAAGACAAAGGGATACAAAGCGAACGAGCCAAGAACAGTAATTAACGCCTTCCCTTTTAACAGTAATTAACACCAGAACGCCTTAAAATCCAGTTTGCCCTGACAGCAGCATCCTCTGCACTTTCGTTTCCAAAGGCCTGCGTGAACAGGAAGGTGTTAACCTGTTGGCGGAAGGATAACCGGGAGGGAGCCAGTCTGACCTCTCTTGGGAGGGAATTCCGCAATATGGGAGCCACCACAAAAAAGACTCTGTCTCTCGGGTCCCCCCCAGCCTTGCCTCTGATGCTGGTGGGACCGAGAGGAGGTGAGATTTTGGCACCCAGGCTGGTTCATGTGGGGAGATACTCTCCATCCCAAACCCTGGAGAGATGCTGCCAGTCCGTGTAGTCTGCACTGAGTAAGATGGACCAGTGTGCTGACTCGGTCCTCTGTTAGGGAGGTAGATAAACACAGGAGCGGATCTGCTAGCACCTGGATGGGATCTTCTAAGTTCCCTTCATCTCTCCTGGCAGGTTGACGAAACGGGTCTGGAGGTGAGGGATATCGAGCTGGTCATGGCTCAAGCCAACGTGTCTCACCCCAAAGCGGTGCGCGCCTTGCGTCACAACAACAACGACATTGTGAACGCCATCATGGTGAGTCTCGAATGTGCAGGGAAGTGGGGTGCGTGTGCGAAATCTGAATGACGAAATCCTTGGGTTTTCGGTCCCCGGATGGGGCATGGCGACAGTTCTCTCTGCCTTAGCTGTTTCTCCTTTGGGGGTCTGGACCCCCTTGATTCAAAACATGTGCTTAGGTCAGGAATGGTGGGAGGGATTCTTTAGTTGCACTTCCTGCATTGCACGGGGTTGGACTAGATGACCATCGGGGTCCCTTCCAACTCTGTAATTCTCACCTCTAGGGTGGGCATCTATAGCTGAGAAAGGCCTCACCTCTGGGCAAAAGGGTCTCTGGATCTGGCCCCCGGGGCCGGATCTTCGCCTCCCTTCATCCCCTGCGGGGGTGCCCACCTATCAGTCAGGTAGTATCACAATCACCTGGACATCAGCTGGTTGCTAGGGCTTGCAAAGCACCACCAGCTGGTTGCTAGGGCTTGCAAAGCACCATCAGCTGCTTGTTAGGGCTTGCAAAGCACCATCAGCTGGTTGCTAGGGCTTGCAAAGCACCATCAGTTGGTTGTTAGGGCTTGCAAAGCACCACCAGCTGGTTGCTAGGGCTTGCAAAGTACCACCAGCTGGTTGCTAGGGCTTGCAAAACACCATCAGCTGGTTGCTAGGGCTTGCAAAGCACCATCAGTTGGTTGTTAGGGCTTGCAAAGCACCATGTGTGGCGCCATGCAAACTCCCCAACGAGAGGCTGCTGAAATTTGAGAGACCAAAGTCTGCCGCTGCAGTGAACAGGAGGCACTGCTGTCGTCTCCCACCCATAGGGTGGAAATGGCGAGGGCTGCACTCTGGGGTCTCATGGGCTCTGCACCGACCCAGTGTCAGAGCAGGCCCCATAGCCTTTGATTCCAACTTCAAGTTGATTTGATCCTTCCCCTGCCCCCTGCCTGTTTAGGGTAATATAATTTATTACTTATACCCCATCCATCTGCCTGGGCCTCCTAAACAGGGCTGCTTTCAGATGTCTTCTAAAAGTCAGATAGTTGTTTATTTCCTTGACATCTGGTGGGAGGGCGTTCCACAGCGCAGGCGCCACCACCGAGAAGGCCCTCTGCCTCGTTCCCTGTAACCTCACTTCTCGCAGGGAGGGAACCACCAGAAGGCCCTCGGAGCTGGACCTCAGTGCCCGGGCAGAACGACGGAGGTGGAGATGCTCCTTCAGGTCTACTGGGCCTTTGAGGCTGTTTAGGGCTTGAAAAATAATCACCAACACTTTGAATTAGGCTCAGAAATGTAGTGGGAGCCAATGTAGGTCTTTCAGGACCGGTGTTATATGGTCTCGGCAGCCACTCCCAGTCCCCAGTATAGCTGCCGCATTCTGGATTAGTTGTAGTTTCTGGGTCACCTTCAAAGGTAGCCCCATGTAGAGCGCATTGCAGTAGTGCAAGCGGGAGATAACCAGAGCATGCACCACTCTGGCGAGACAGTCTGCAGGGAGGGAGGGTCTCATCCTGCATACCAGATGGAGCTGGTAGATAGCTGCCCTGGACACAGAATTGACCTGCGCCTCCATTGACAGCTGTGAGTCCAGAATGACTCCCAGGCTGCGCACCTGGTCCTTCAGGGGCACAGTTACCCCATTCAGGACCAGGGAGTCCTCCACACCCGCCCGCCTCCTGTCCCCCCAAAACAGTACTTCTGTCTTGTCAGGATTCAACCTCAATCTCCTCCTTGCTCCTGATGTAGATCTTCACTCACCCCTTCTCCCCAGGGTAGGAGGCATTCGTGCCAACATGTCTTGGACCAGACCTGGTCTCTGTGTTCTGCCAAGGCCAGATTAAATGGGGGAAATAAATGTGGATGGATATTTAGATGTGGATAACCTTGTATGCCGGGACACGGGTGGCGTTGTAGGTTAAACCACAGAGCCTAGAACTTGCCGATTGGAAGGTCGGCGGTTCAAATCCCCGCGACTCTGGGGTTGCGGCGCTCATCCTGCTTTACTGGCCGAGGGAGCCGGTGTACAGCTTCTGGGTCATGTGGCCAGCAGGACTAAGCCGCTTCTGGCGAACCAGAGCAGCGCACGGAAACACCGTTTACCTTCCTGCCGGAGCGGTACCTATTTATCTACTTGGACTTTGACGTACTTTTGAGCTGCTAGGTGGGAAGGAGCAGGGACCGAGCAACGGGAGCTCACCCCGTCGTGGGGATTCAAACCGCCGACCTTCTGATTGGCAAGTCCTAGGCTCTGTCGTTTAACCCACAGCGCCAGCCGCGAGGTATGCTTGGTTGAGGGGCAGTGAAATGTTTGTGCGTTAGCCAAGCCACCTGGAAAGTACTGTGTGCGACAGAGCTGTTTAAAATATGTGGCGCTCAATCCAGGAGGATCCTACGAACACGAGGAGCTGTCCCAACTCAACCCTGCAAAGGGGCGACACGGAGGAAATAGGCTTTGCCACTTTTACATTTGCAATATCTCTCTCTCCTTTTTCTTTTTGTGCAGGAGCTGACGATGTAGCGACCGGTTTTGGCAAGCCCACCCAAGCCTCTGCTGCCCACCCCTTCTGTATAGATGCACAGTTAACTCATATCCAATACAGCTGTTGTTTGTTAGGACTGCAAATAATTAGTCCCAACTATTCTGCATTGAAAATGCTGCTCAATAAACGGTATATTCACTTGAACTGCACACGGGTTTCCAGAGTGTCTTCCTTCCGAAGGGCTCAAAGCTGCTTTGGGAACTGCAGTCTGTTTGTGGTTGTTTTTACATTGTGTTCAGCCTTGCTGGCATTCTCTTCAGAAGAATGGGCAGACTCACCGTATTTTTCGCTCTATAAGAAGCACCAGACCGTAAGGCGCACCTAGTTTTTGGAGGAGGAAAACAAGAAAAAAAATATTCTGAATCCCAGAAGCTGTGCAGCGATCCCTCTTGCTGTTCTGGCTTCTGAGATAGCTGCGCAGCCTGCATTCACTCCATAAGACAAACACACATGTCCGCTTACTGGGGGGGGGGTGCGTCTTATAGAGCGGAAAATACGGTAGGTCACTTTCTTTGTAACGCCTCCCCAAAATGCAGTAGTTTGGTATTTGTGGGTATACTGTTAGCCATGAGAGCTAAACCTTTGTCTCCGCAGTTGGAAGAAGCAATGCTTTTGAATACCAGTTGCTCACGTGCTTGAATCCTGATTAGCCATCTGGCTGGGGGATGAGCATCCAGCCGCCTTTCTCCAGCCATTGTAGAGAATGGGTCGTAAAGTAGGCACAATCCCGATTTATAGGAAGGGGAGCTGGCCAACTTTAGTTTACTCAGCTCTGGTAATAAACTGAATTGCCCTGTTGTTCCTTTGCCACCCTTCTGGCAGGTAGGCACGTCCTGTCTCCTGAACTAGGTAAGCTGGTCGAATTTTCTTTCAATTTCTTGTTGAGTTTAGTCACAACCGCCTTAAGCTGTCTAAAGAACTGGGGTTATGTGCTGTTGACATGGGTAAGATGCTGAGGGCTTTTAGAGGGCTTAAGAACTGGTGCCAGAGCTTGATTTTTTCCTCTGCCCTCCCCATACCTTTCCCCTTGTATGCCATGGCTACAATCTAGCAGAAGTTGGATCTCTCGTGGATGCTTTGATTGAGATTCCTGCAAGGCAAGGGGGTTGGACTAGATCTCCTTTCCAACTCTGCAATCCTATTCAAAAAGTAGGATTTGGGGAAGTCTTGTAGCAAGAGCGACCCACAACTGTAATGCGGAAGATAGGGAGCCTCTCTTACAAAATGAAGAGTTTAAGAGGTGGCCAGGGAGGGAGAAAGAGGAGAGGAGAACATCTCTGGGGATTAAGGAGTGCTGGTTACAGCTTTGCTGATGTAATACGAAGCAAGAGCAACTCAATTTGCTGAGTGGGCTGCAGGTGGCTGTTTCAGCTGCAACTCGCAAGGGAAGGAAAAGAAAAAAGAAAATGTCATTTTCCATTGTGGCTGTAAACCCCCCCCCCAAAAAAAGAAACCCAAACACAGTCAGGATCCCCATTCAAAGAGCTAAAATAGTATACAGGTCAGTTTATAGTAGCCAGCAGAGTTCTTGTGGCATGAAATACATTTACAAAAATAACTGTGCATTTATATGTATAATATATACAACACATATACATTATGTATATTTTTCTTCCACTTCTGGTTCCTTTTAAAAAAACAAAACACACACAAACAAACCTCCAAAAATCAAGAAATCTACCCCACACTTTAGGCTTGCTGTCAAACTCTCGCACTTGAAGAACCACCAGACTCCCGTCTGTGAGGATCTTGAATGCCCAAGTTACTATTGTCTCAAAAAATAATAATGGAAGAATCTACGGTAGGCTGGCACTGGCCCAAACCCCATGTCCAGCTGCAGGGGTCCAAGACCACTGCTTTGCCAGCCAGGACTCCACTGCGCCCAGAAAACTATCCTCCCTCCGCAACCTACGCATCCCAGGTAGAAATGATAGCACCAAATTCGTGGCACCATTTCGAGGGTGGGGGGTTCGTGTATCCGTGTCCTTCGACCAGGGTAAGGAAATGTCACAACCTGGTGCAGTCAGAAGTCAGGATGAGAGCTGTTTGCCCAGATGTGGGCAGCCTGACTCGGCTGATGGCTTTGCTTGAGGGCCAGCCGAGCTAGAAGACCTGCGGGCGCTGCTCTTGACTGGAGTTATCACATTCAAGTTAAGCTCGCCTGGCCCAGTGGCGAGTGCCGAGGTGACAGTCCATTTCAGCCAGGCTGCTATAATACACAAATGGAAATACCGTGAAAATCCCTGATACCGTGAAAATCCCTGAAACGAGAAGTAATCAACTAGAAATATTACCTTATAAAAGGTAAAGGGACCCCTGACCATTAGGTCCAGTCGTGGCCGACTCTGGGGTTGCGGTGCCCATCTCACTTTATTGGCCGGGTCATGTGGCCAGCAGGACTAAGCCGCTTCTGGCGAACCAGAGCAGCGCACGGAAATGCCGTTTACCTTCCTGCCGGAGCGGTACCTATTTATCTACTTGCACTTTGACGTGCTTTCGAACTGCTAGGTTGGCAGGAGCAGGGACCGAGCAACGGGAGCTCACCCTGTCGCGGGGATTCGAACTGCTGACCTTCTGATCGGCAAGTCCTAGGCTCTGTGGTTTAACCCACAGCGCCACCCGCGTCCCTTAATTATCTTATAGAATTAAACTAAATAATACAAATCAAAAAGTTGAAGGAAAAAATCAGAAAAACCTAGAATTGAACAAAGTCTTAACGGGATGCCGGCTACAAACCTCGTGTCACTGAACTATTCAGTTTCCTCAGAAGGAAGTAGAGAAATCGTAAACCTTAAATGACCAAATTCAAAGAAAGGGGGTAAAACTCCCCCAAAATTCTGAAGTATGATAATTAAGAAATTTAAGAGAGACCAAAGGGACTATGACACAGGTAGAGTTTATAATTGGTGGTTGGATTCTGGTAATAATAGGTTTTTCTCATTTTTTCCTTCAACTCTTTGATTTTTATTATTTAGTTTAATTCTAGAAGATAATATTTCTAGTTGATTACTTATCGTTTCAGGGATTTTCACGGTATTTTGTTTGTTTTGTGTAATTTCTTGGTTCCGTGACTGTCTCTTTTCTATAGGCTGCTATAATATGGCCGAGCTGCAATTGCCAATGTTCTGGTTTCGGAGGAGGAGGCAAGGCAGCTGGCTAAGGTTTGGGGGCAAGGGAAGATCATCTCTTGCCGATGCCTTTGCCCGCAACCAAACAGGCAAAGGGCTCGGGCTTGGCGCAACCAAGGCCACCTTCTGGTCTGGAACAGAAATGTTAGGACGAAACACCTGGGATGTTCAGTTAATTCACATTGCAATGAACTTCATTGGAAAGTAACAAACAAACACACACGCACTCGCCCCCTGGGAAAAAACAAAAAGGTTAGAAATGTCATGTGCAAAAAACCGTAAACCGGCTTGTCGAGTTCTTGCGGACGGGCCGTCCTGGGCAAAAGCCCGCGCTGCTTTCGCGTCGGATTCATGGCTCTCCAAGGATTCCCAACCTGCAAGCGCTCTCCATCCTGCGAGGGGCTGATCCTGCCAAGCCCCCTCTCCATGGCTTGCTCCTTCACAGAAGAGACCGCTGAGGGCCACGAGGTCAAGAGCCCCTCTTTCAAAAGGGCCCCGGAAGGAAGGAAGGGGAGTCGTAAGGGAAATCCCCCCTTTCCACTTCTCCCGGAACCAAAAACGTTCCTATTATTCCCAGGAGGGAAGAGGAGAGTGTGTGCACGACTGAGCGAGCAACAGGGCCTGGATATTCCTGGCAGGGGGAAAATGCCTCTTCCTTTTTCTCTTTCTCTCTCCCCCCGACCCTTTCAGGAAGAATCGTGGTCCATACTGCAGCCCAGAGCCTCGATGTCGTTGCTGATGTCAGAGATCATGCGGTCCCACTCGTCTCCCTCCGAGGGGGCGGACTGGTCGTCCGAGCTCCCCGCGGCGCCGTTGCCGTTGGTGGTGGAGTTGGAGGTCGTGCTGACCGTCCGCCGGTACCTCCCAAAGCTGTCGGTGATGATGCCTCGCCCGTCCTTCACGCCAATCGTCTCCAGGAAGTTCTCAAAGTATTGGCTGTCCTTCTCCGGGATAAATGGTCTAAGGCCTTTTTGGGGGGGGAGAAGGGAATGGAACAAGGAATAATAATAATAATAATAAAAATTATTTATACCTCGCCCTCCCCGGCCAGAACCGGGCTCAGGGCGGCTAACACCAGTAAAATTACAGTAAAAACATAATGGGGGGGGACCCCAATTTAAAATACAGGTTAAAATGCAATTTAAAATGCAGCCTCATTTTAAAAGTCAAAACCATAAGGGGAGGGAAACATAAGGGACAGACTGAGTCCAAACCAAAGGCCAGGCGGAACAGCTCTGTCTTGCAGGCACTGCGGAAAGATGTCAAGTCCCACAGGGCCCTAGTCTCTTGGGACAGAGCGTTCCACCAAGTCGGGGCCAGTACTGAAAAGGTCCTGGGCCCAGTTGAGACTAATCTAATCACCTTGCGACCTGGGACCTCCAAAATGTTGTCATTTGTGGACCTTAAGGTCCTCCGCGGGGCATCTCAGGAGAGGCGGTGCCAGAGGAAGAGACGGCGGTACAGTGGCTTCCAACAAAATATTAAAATGCCGTAATGCATCAAACATTAAAAGCTTCCCTAAACAGGGCCACCTTCAGATGTCTTCTAAAGGCTGGTAGTTGTTGTTCTCTTTGACGTCTGGTGGGAGGGAGTTCCACAGGGTGGGTGCCACTACCAAGAAGGCCCTCTGCCTGGTTCCCTGTAACTTGGCTTCTTGCAGTAAGGGAACTGCCAGAAGGCCCTTGGCGCTGGACCTCAGTGTCCGGGCAGATGGGGGCGGAGATGCTCCTTCAGGTCTACTGGACCAAGGCCGTTTAGGGCTTTCAAGGTCAGCACCAACACTTTGAATTGTGCTCGGAAACGTACTGGGTAGGTCTTTCAAGACCAGTGTTATGTGGTCACCAGTCTAGTTGCCGCTTTCTGGATTAGTTGCAGTTTCCGGGTCACCTTCAAAGGTAGCCCCATGTAGAGTGCATTGCAGTAGTCCAAGTGGGAGATAACCAGAGCATGCACCACTCTGGAGAGACCGTCCGTGGGCAGGTAGGGTCTCATCCTGCATACCAGATGGAACTGATAAAGAGCTGCCCTGGACACAGAATTGACCTGTGCGTCCATGGACAGCTGTGAGCCCAAAATGACTCCCAGGCTGCGCACCTGGTACTTCAGGGGCACAGTGACCGCATTCAGGACCAGGGTGTCCTCCACACCCGCCCGCCTCCTGTCCCTCAAAAACAGTACTTCTGTCCTGTCAGGATTCAACCTCAATCTGTTAGCCGCCACCCAACCGCCTTAGGGATTTGTGTAGCGTTTACTCCATAGCCTTTTCTTCTCTCAAAGATATCCAGCCAAGTTTAGAATCAGCGTCTTTCTTCTCTTAGATCAGGCAGCCCCAAACTCAGCCCTCCAGATGTTTTGAGACTACAATTCCCATCATCCCTGACCCCTGGTCCTGCTAGGGATGATGGGAGTTGTAGTCCCAAAACATCTGGAGGGCCGTGTTTGCCTATGCCTGTCCTAGATGGAATCCCTTTCTAGGCTGACAAGCCCCACCTGCCCCTCAACTTGCCCTCAACAAATGGGATATATGGACACCAGCAACTTCCATTCATTCAATCTCGGGGGGGGGGGGGTCAGGTGGGGACACTCACCTAGCAGAAGGAACTTCCGGCTATCCCCATAGAGCTGTCGCAGGCTGACGCAGAACTCATGTATGGACGCCCCGTTACGGTATTCGCGCAGAAGCATGGCAAACTGCTGGATCTCATGAGAGGAGAGTTTTGTTCGTAGCTGGGAAAGAAAGGGGTGGGAAGAATAAAAGCTAAATCAGCGTAGGAAGAAAAGGCTGTTGAAACGGAAGACGCAGTTTCTTTTGTTCGATTTCCCACGTAACGTTAGGAAAGATCCGCAGCGAAGGTTTACGTCCCAGGAGGATGATGGGAGTTGTAGTCCCGGCACCAACCAGAGGCCACAGCATTCCCACCACTGTTCTACAGGAAGAGAAAGGAACTTGCATATTCCAATGACCCCCCCCCCAGCTAAGTGTGTGACTAGCCCCTTGGTCCCACCCCTACCCCCCCCAAAGGGGACCAAGATTTCCCTGGGGAAAGCCTTCCTCCCTGCCCCTACCGTCATCATGTAGTCCTGGAGCAGCTCTGTCGCGGTGGTGCTCAGCTCGCTCTCGCTGGCCGCCTTGGCGTGGGGTGAAGGCTGTGCCGACAAGGAAGAAGGGGAGTTGCCACCGGTCTCCAAGGACTCGGGGAAAGAACTGGAAATGCACAACAGGTCCATGCGTCACCCTCACTGAGCCAAGGGGCCTTCCATCTCCTCCTCCCTCCCCGTCAGTTCTCCTTTCGTGCTGCGTCCGTCGGGTTGTAAGCCTGAGGGTTCGGGACTGAACTGATACCTGCCCCCTTTTTGCCTGTTCTGGGAGCCTTCTTTTGGTTGAAGGTTTGGGAGGAGGGGGAACTGTTTGATAAAGAATGGAGGCGCACTCCATTGTCTCTTACCGCATGGGACGGCACCAACTACTTTGGGAACCCAGCAGATGTTTTACTTACAATTAAGCAGTATACGGATTTTGTGAAATACCGTATTTTTCGCTCTATAGGGCGCACCTAGTTTTTTTTATTCCTCCCCCCAGCCCCAAAGAGCAAAGAAGCCAAGACAGTGAGCGGGATGGATCCCGCTCACTGTCTTGGCTTCGTTTTTAGCCGTGGGGCTGGGGTGGGGGAAGCCCGAGTCTGGGAGCAGAGGCTTCGCTCCCAGAGCTTGCTGCTATCTGCAAGCCTTCTGAGCCCAGCGGGAACTCCTGCCGGGCTCCGAAGGCTTGCGGATAGCTGCCCAAAGCCCGGGGTGTGCAACACTGCACTCCCCGTGCTTCGGGCTGCAGGCTGCTATCCGCAAGCCTTTGGAGCCCGGCAGGCACTCCCGCCGCACTCCGAAGGCTTGCGGATAGCTTCTTGAAGCCCGGAGAGCAAGAGGGATCGGTGCGCACCGACCCCTCTTGCTCTCCAGGCTTCAGTGAAAGCCTGCATTCGCTCCATAGGACGCACACACATTTCCCCTTCATTTTTGGAGGGAAAAAAGTGTGTCCTATAGAGCAAAAAATACGGTAAATACACACACACACACACACACACACACACACGCCCACTGCTATTTTTCTAGAAAAAGAGGTGCCGGAACTCACCATGAACGCCTGCCTTGTTCTGTAATAATAGCAGTGGTGCCTACCTGGGAGGCGTCAGAACTGAGTTCCAGCTGAAAAAAAGCTCTGCAGATGCCCCAGTCTTCCCTGCTGCCCTAAGTATACTCACAAAGTGCTTGCTTCCGTTTCGTAGGAATCTTTAACGTCCACTTTTGTAGAAGAGTCATCTGCAAGGAAGTAGCCAGAGAAAGGCGATATGCAAATTAAAAGGGAAATGAAAAAACAAATTGAAATATCTGGGCTAGATAGACACTACATGGAAGCCTCCTCTGTTCAAGCTAGAGGAGATGAGGGAAGCCACTTCAGCCCAGTTTGCCGCCGGTGGATATTATTATTATTAATTTTAATTATTTTTCCCTCTCCCTATATATATTACATTACATTACGGTCTTCAAACAAAAACATCCTGGAGGTCCCAGGCCGCAGAAAGGTTAGGCTGGCCTCAACTAGAGCCAGGGCTTTTTCGGCTGTGGCTCCGATCTGGTGGAACGCTCTGTCACAAGAGACCAGGGCCCTGCGGGACTTGACATCTTTCCGCAGGGCCTGCAAGAAAGAGCTGTTCCACCAAGCCTTTGGCCAGGGCACAGCCTGACTCCCTCCTTTGGCAATCTTCACAGAACTCTAGCCCAATGGTTGCCATCAATTTGATTTGAATTAATTTTATAATGAAATGATTTGAGAATGCTGTATTATTTTATTGTTGTTAGCCGCCCTGAGCCCGGCTACGGCTGGGGAAGGCGGGATATAAAAAATATTATTATTATTATTATTATTATTATTACATTACATGATGAAACAAGAAAAAATGCCCCACGAACCAATGACCCCCTTCCCCCACCCAAACAGCGAGTTTAGAGCTGCCTTTGCCAACTTGGTGCTCTCCCCATGCATTGGACTACAACTCCCATCATCTCTGGGGGATGCCAGGTAGGCAAAGGCGAGATCACATGACCGCCGAGTCGTGCAGGTGGAACTGGAGCAGTCTGGCCCTGCTCGCTTCCCCTCTGCAACAGCCGCTTGCAAGAGGAACCCAAACCGCGGCTGCTTCTCCTACCGCTGTGCAGGGAGAGGTGTCGCGTTGGCGTGGAGGCCCCGTCGAATATTGCTCTGTCGAGGAAGTCTATGGTGGACTCCGTGTAAACAATGTGGAAGACTTGGCTGAGAAGCGAGCAGAGTTCCTCTGCAGTTACCTGGAGAAAGATGGAACAGGGCGGGATATAAATAAATAATAATAATAATAATAATAATAATAATAATAATAATAATAATTACAGGTCGGATGGGCTTTGGGGGAGAAGCAGAGAACTTCCAACTTGCCCCATCTTAAGCCCATCAGACATGCATTATTCAGCATACATCAGGCCAAAAGAAAAACATGTCTTCTCTCCTTCATGTCCAAAGCAAGCAGCATAAGCAAAGCTATACAGAAACGGAAGCTCCCAGCAAGCTGTGCTGGAATGTAAACAGACATGTGACACACAACAACCATGCCTGTTCTTAAGGTGGAACAGAATATTCTAACAGTAAGGCGACCCAGAGCTCTGAAGAGGGTCTCCTTGCGAGCGGGAGGCCCCTCCTGCCTAACAGCTGATGTGCAGGGTAGCTCAGCAGCAGCCACATCTACAGCTGCGCACACTGTGCAAGCCAGGAAGGCAGTAGAGCTCCGTGGACCGGACAACGCATGGGGAAAGAAGCTTTCTTGTATGTCAGCTGAGCTGGTGGGGCAGCACAGCCTGCCCATCTGGGGAAGCTTCTCCCCGGCACATCAGCTGATCTGATATAGGCGGCACCCCCATTTTATGCGACTTCACTGATGTGCGCGGAGGTTCGGAATGTAACCCCCGAGGAAACGGGGAGTCGCGTGTACTTGAGAGACTGCCTTCCCCTACACGCCCAGCAGATCGCTGCAGATGCGCTCCTCCTTCAAGTTCCTAAAACAGGAGTGGGAGACCTTTGGCCTCCGGAGGTTGCTGTACTGCAATGGTGTCTCTGAAAATTTTTGCACATCACTTGGGAAGACAAGCGAACTAATGTTCTGGAAGAAGCAAAGATCACCAGTGTGGAAGCAACGATTCTTCAACATCCACTTCGTTGGACTGGTCATGTTGTCCGGATGCCTGATTATCGTCTTGCAAAGCAACTACTCTATTCCGAACTTAAAAATGGAAAGCGTAATGATGGCGGTCAGCAAAAGAGGTTTAAAGACTCTCTCAAGGCAAATCTAAAAAAATGTAGTATAAACACCAACAATTGGGAAACACTGGCCTGCGAGCGCTCCAGTTGGAGAACAGCCTTGACCAAAGGTGTCATGGGCTTTGAAGACACTCGAACTCAGGACGCAAGGGAGAAACGTGCTAGGAGGAAGGCACGCTTGGCAAATCCACACCGTGATCAACTCCCGCCCGGAAACCAATGTCCCCACTGTGGAAGGACGTGTGGATCCAGAACTGGCCTCCACAACCACTTAATGACTCACTGTTAAAACCATGTTTATGGAAGACAATCTTACTCGGCTACAAGTGATTGCCAAAGTAGAATGCAGCTCCCATCAGTCCCAAGCAGGATGGTCAATGATGGGAGTTGGAGTCCAGCAATCTCTGTAGAAACACAGGATCCCTAATCTTGCCATAAGGTATCAGAAGTCCACTCCACAGTTAACGCAGAGCAAGGGTTTCAGCGAGGCTGCCTGTGTTCTGCTGAACAGCATCCCTGCTGATATACGACAGGCACCTGATATCTGCGCCTTCGAGAAACACTTCAAGGTTACAGGGAACCAGGCAGAGGGCCTTCTTGGTAGTGGCGCCCGCCCTGTGAATCATAGAATCATAGAGTTGGAAGAGACCACAAGGGCCATCGAGTCCAACCCCCTGCCAAGCAGGAAACACCATCAGAGCACTCCTGACATATGGTTGTCAAGCCTCTGCTTAAAGACCTCCAAAGAAGGAGACTCCACCACACTCCTTGGCAGCAAATTCCACTGTCGAACAGCTCTTACTGTCAGGAAGTTCTTCCTAATGTTTAGGTGGAATCTTCTTTCTTGTAGTTTGGATCCATTGCTCCGTGTCCGCTTCTCTGGAGCAGCAGCAAACAACCTTTCTCCCTCCTCTATGTGACATCCTTTTATATATTTGAACATGGCTATCATATCACCCCTTAACCTCCTCTTCTCCAGGCTAAACATGCCCAGCTCCCTTAGCCGTTCCTCATAAGGCATCGTGTGGAACACCCTCCCATCAGATGTCAAAGAGATAAATAACTACCTGACAGTCAGAAGACATCTGAAGGCAGCCTTGTTCAGGGAAGTTTTTAATGTGTGACATTGTTGGAAACCACCCAGAGTGGCTGGGGAAGCCCAGCCAGATGGGTGGGGTATAAATAATAAATTGTTCTTGTTGTTGTTGTTATTATTATTATTATTATTATTATTTGTTTCAGTTTCCCACCAGCTAGGTGGAAGGTGCTTATTAGCCACGGGTTTTATTAACCTATCTTCAGTCGTGTTTTGCCCCGCTTTTAAAAAACTGTCTCAGCTGTTCTTATGGTATGTTGGCAAATTGTCATGAGATGCATGTAATTCATAAAGTAATGATAACACTTCAGATATTAATAATAATACTTCAGAGGAACGATTCAGGCAGCAGCAAAATTTCCTGGCATTCTATGAAAAGGAAAAAAAATACTGGAACATTTCTATCTACAGTGCACGTTTTTGACAGGGTCACCATTTCCAGTCGCCGCTGACAAATGATTTCTGGTGGGCAGAATTATTACTGGGCACAGGTCTCAAATAAAACAAAATGCTCTGGGCCTTTAAGTTGCAGGAAGGTGATCGTTTAAACATCCATTCCACAGATACTATTTTTTCCTAGCTGGAAATATCCTGTTTCGCTCTATCTGTGAGAGAAGGCTGCCTTATTAGACCACAAGAGAGCGTAATATGACCCAGAGTGGATGCCTCTTCGCAGTTCAAGAGCATCTCTTTCACCTGCGTAGCTGCACCTGTCCAAGGTGAAGGCAAGATCTTTCCTGGCAAAGGGAAGTCTTGTTGTCAAAAACGGACCTGCCTGAGGAAGGGGAGGGGAGAGAGGCAGAGACATCTTACTTTATTCTCCGTAGCCAGGACCACCAGGCAGCAAGCTTCGACAGGAACCGCTCCGCTCTCCGAGAGAGACCCTGACGTAAGAGCTTTCAAGCTTTCGGCACAAAGACTCTGGTTGGGGGAAATCCCGGGGTCCTGAGCTGAGAAAAACCAGAGGCCATTAGTGGAACCAGGAGGCAAGCTGCTAGGCCTGCGTGATTCTGCATAACCCCACACCCACGGGGAAAAAAGGGTATTTCTTCTGTAATGCTCTGGAACGACGAGCTCAGTGGTAATGCCCAACTTTATGCTGCTTTCAAGCTGCTGTGACAGTATTTATTTATGCGCTTTTTTTTTGGTTTCTTTTATTAATAAAGTAATTTTTAAAACGAACACTGTGCATTTGCTTAACAGTAGGGAAAGCACTTGTTTAGGAACATAGAAAGTTGCTTTATCCGGAATCAGACTATTGAATTGAACGGTGGCTGACGGGATTCGTACCACTGAGCGTTTGGGGTAAATTCGACCAGAACTGAGTACAGTGGACACTTGGGTTGTGAACGTGATCTGTGCGGGATGCACGTTCACAACCTGCAGCGTTCGCAACCCGTGTTTGTGCAAGCGCAGGTTGCGATTCGGTGCTTCTGCGCATGCACAACCGCCGAAACCTGGAAGTAACCCGTTCCGCGTTTTGGCAGTCCGCAACCTGAAGTGTCTGTAACCCGAGGTATGACCGTACAGTGGTACCTCTGGTTGTGAACGGGATCCGTTCCGGAGGCCCGTTCGCAACATGAAAAGCCCACAACATGAAGCGCCGTATCTGTGCAAGCGAGGGTTTGTTCTCAGGCAAAATCAGTCTTTCTCAGACGCAGCAGAGTCCTACCGCAGATGGGCCACCCCCCACTTAGGTGCCCCCCAGGAGAGATGCACAAGACTGATGGACAAAGCAGGCTCTCGTGGCTACCAAGACCCCCCCAAAAAACAACAACAACAACTGGAAGGCAACCCCTTTGCCAGCCTACCTGTTTTCAACACCACCAGGTGCGAGGAGTCGTCGCGGATGTAGGAAACCGACGCGATGTCATGGATTGGGACCCTGAGTATGATATCTTCGCCATCCCGCCACACCAGTTTGACGTTGTAGGCGGAGAGGCTGATCACAGCGTCATGTTCCTGCGTCAGCTGCCCTGGAAGCTTATGAGCCCTCTAGGATGAAGGCGGGAGGGGAAGAAGAGGCAGGGTATTAAACGACCACGAGGAGGGATAGCTCAGCTGGTAAAGCACGGGACTCTCGGGGTCTTGGGTTCAAATCTCAAGATTTTCGAGCACAATTCAAAGTGTTGGTGCTGACCTCTCAAGCCCTAAATGGCCTCGGTCCAGTATACCTGAAGGAGCGTCTCCACCCCCATCATTCAGCCCGGACACTCAGCTCCGAGGGCCTTCTGGCGGTTCCCTCCCTGCGAGAAGCCAAGTTACAGGGGAGCAGGCAGAGGGCCTTCTCGGTGGTGGCGCCTGCCCTGTGGAACACCCTCCCAGCAGATGTCAAAAAGAAGAACTACAGTGGTACCTCTGGATGCAAACGGGATCCGTTCCGGAGCCCTGTTTGCATCCTGAAGCGAACGCAACCCGCATCTGCGCATGGGCAGGGGCCTTCTGGTGATTCCCTCACTGCGAGAAGCCAAGTTACAGGGAACCAGGCAGAGGGCCTTCTCGGTGGTGGCACCCGCCCTGTGGAACGCCCTCCCATCAAATGTCAAAGAGAAGAACAACTACCAGACTTTTATAATAATAATAATTTTTATTTATACCCCACCCTCCCCAGCCAAGACCGGGCTCAGGGCGGCTAACAAGCAATAATATAAACAAGTTGAATGAATACAACTTAAAAACAAGATTAAAATACAACATTAAAACCTTACAATGAAGCCTTATCACAGGAGGAGAAAGGAAAAAGAAAGAGGGGGAGGGAATCAAATTGGCTCCAAGCCGAAGGCCAGGTGGAACAACTCTATCTTACAGGCCCTGCGGAAAGAAATCAGATCCTGCAGGGTCCTGGTCTCATGAGACAGAGCGTTCCACCAGGCCGGGGTCAGTGTTGAAAAGGCCCTGGCTCTGGTTGAGGCTAATCCGACTTCCTTAGGGCCCGGGACCTCTAGGGTGTTGCTGTTTATGGACCTTAAGGTCCTCCGTGGGGCATAGCAGGAGAGGCGGTCCCGTAGGTACGAGGGTCCTAGGCCATGAAGACATCTGAAGGCAGCCCTCTTTAGGGAAGCTTTTAATGTTTAACAGACCACTGTATTTTCATACTCTGTTGGAGGCCACCCAGAGTGGATGGGGAGGGCCGGCCAGATGGGCGGGGTATAAATAATAAATTCTATTCTATTCTAAATCCCACGATTCCCACATTGCAGGGGTTGGATCAGATGATCTTCATGGTCCCTCTGCATTTCTCTGATTCTATGAAATCTTCTCCCCAGGTGGGAATGCTTCTCAGAGAAGGGTAACACGCCAGAACTGGGGGAAGAGAGAAACTCGAAACAAGCTGGTACGCACCTTTGCATTGTCTATCAAATGCAGTACTTCTGTTCGGCTGGAGGGGTTCAGGTACCCTGGGACCGATGCTAATTGACCTAAATACTGGAAAGCAATGAAGAATTGTCAGGGGGAATGGTTAAGTAAACTCTGTGAGTACCTGGAGTTAGCAAATTTGACGGATTTAATAAGGCATAAGTCAAAAAATTTAATTTCAATTCAGAAACAATGGAAATGTTTAAATGATTATTTACACAAGCAGGGCTCAAATACGAAAGTTTGGTTGTGTCTAGACTGACCTTGTGAAGAATACAGAGAACATAAAGATTTGATTGGTTATGAAAGAACCTATGGAAGGGAAATGATTGAAGAACAGATGTAAATGCGAGCAAGACAACTAAGAGACGTGTGGTGAATGCAGTGGAAGTCTTTTATAATATTTTAACTAGGATTTATATATTGCAGGATTTGAAGCAAGAATGTCGTAATATTTCAGGTTATGAAAAGTATTTTTCCCCTTTTATTTTGTCTTTTTTATTATCTTCTATTTTTCCTTTTTTATTAGTTTTCATTTTGGAAAATATGTATATAAGTGTATTTACAGTGTTCTTTGTTTTTCTTTGTTTAATTTCTATTTCTTGAAAAACTTAATAGAAATTAAAGAAGAAAATAAAAGAAAAGAAGAATTGTCAGACACCAACTGCCCCTCGGCCCTCTGGAGGCCAGTGCGATTCTCAACATGCCCCGGGGAAGAAAGAAGGCCTCTCCGCAGAACCCCGCTAACGCATCTAGCAGGAATGAATAAGGCCCGGCTCTTAAAAACAGGAGACCACCTTTGAGGGGAGTATGACAGAGGAAGGAGCACAGGTGACACACTCCATCCAGAAACCTCCACCTAAACCAGTGTTTCTAAAACTTGGGTCCCCAACTGTTGTGGAACTACAACTCCCACCATCCCTAGCTAGCACGGCCAGTAAATCGGAAGCAATATACTTGGCCTTCATGTTTAAGCAGTGTTATCGGAAGAAGTGTGTATGCACACAAAAGCTCATACCAATAACAAACTTAGTTGGTCTCTAAGGTGCTACTGGAAGGAATTCTTTTATTTTGTTTCGACTACGGCAGACCAACACGGCTACCTACCTGTAACCAGTATTTTAATGTAATCAGTGTACCAAATAAGCTTTTATTATTTGCAGAATGCTTTCCCCAGGGAGCTTTGCCTGGGGCCTTTAGGCACCAGGCGAAAACGTTTCTCTTCCTCTGGGCATTTGGCTGAATATCATTCCCTGGCTTTTAAAATGTGTTTGTGGGAAGGAGGTTATCGGTTTGTTTTTGTTTTTATTAGGCATTTGGTCTCTCGTTTTTAATTTTTCTGTTGCAAAGTGCCCTGGGATCTTTGGATGAAAAGAGAGGTATGCTAATTTACGACAACGACAACCCCGGTGACTCTTTGGCGGGGCAGCTACCAGAGCCTTGCAGAGCCAGGAAGAGGCCCGGGCCAGGTAGATAATGTGCCCCCCCCCTTTTTTTACCCTGGGGATAACTGAAGTCTTATAAATAAGTAAGTATACAAATAATTTTAGTAAAAGCCAGTAGTGAAGTATGGAAGTGAGAGCTGGACCATAAAGAAGGCTGATCGCTGAAGAATGGATGCTTTTGAATTCTGGTGCTGGAGGAGACTCTTGAGAGTCCCATGGACTGCAAGAAGATCAAACCTCTCCATTCTGAAGGAAATCAGCCCTGAGTGCTCACTGGAAGGACAGATCCTGAAGCTGAGGCTCCAAGACTTGGGCCACCTCATGAGAAGAGAAGACTCCCTGGAAAAGACCCTGATGTTGGGAAAGAGTGAGGGCACAAGGAGAAGGGGACGACAGAGGACGAGATGGTTGGACAGTGTTCTCAAAGCAACCAGCATGAGTTTGACCAAACTGCGGGAGGCAGTGGAAGACAGGAGTGCCTGGCGTGCTCTGGTCCAGGGGGTCACCAAGAGTCGGACACGACTAAACGACTAAACAACAAGAACAACATAAATAATTTTCACAAAAGTTATGCTGACAAATAATTTTATTTCAAGGCTTGAACCGAATCTGAATATAAAGACAAAACGATTGTGAATATTCTGACCGAGGCCCCCTTTGGAATCGGAGGCCCGGGCCGAGTGGCCCATATGCCCCCCCCCCCCCAATCTGGGCCTGGCGGCTACAGCTCCTTCACTGAAACAGGCCAGGCCGCCCCTGCGGATGGGGAAGAGGCTAAGCGGCCAAAGCCGGGAGCAGGCTGAGGTTACCTTCACTTCCTTTTCAATGTAGTCGTTCAAGAGGATGTCAGGATCCACCCGGTCAGGCAAAGGGACGGAGACTGTGTGCAGCGGCCGCCTTTCTGTCACCTTCTCTTGGGTCTTCTTGTCCCGACCCACCTTTTCGCCTTTCAGGAAGACCCGCTTGAAAGGGGAGACTATGCCAGGCTGGGGGGCAGAAAGGGGTGGGAGGAAAAGAGAGAGAGAGACACTTTAGGATCAGTACTTGGCCGACCTGACTGCTATGCCCACAGCGCTACCTTGTTCGTGCCAAAGCGGAGCACTGTCTGTCAGATATGAATCAATTAAGGTAGCTATTTTTTGATGGAGGAGGGACAAAAAAGAGACGGAACAGAGCAGTGTGTTCCCAGTTTCAATGAGCTGAGCAGCCATTATATTAATTGCAGCTTGCTTCGCCCTGCTTTTTGAAAGGGCTCATTATTCACCTGTTCCTATATAACTTTCCCCCCAAATGAATGGCTGGTTCTCCGCCAGGTGCAGAGCTTTATTAGCTAAAAAAGAATTATAGGCAGCAGGGTACTTTCCTTTAACAACCCTCACCCCAACCAACCCCAGCTGGAAACCACACTGGTCTAGGTCTCCTGCTGCTCTACCTTGCAAGATCGAAGGAGAAGAGAGAATAGATCTTTTGAAACATCAGAGATCATTGGCTGTGACACTACAAGGGATTCTGGGGCAAAAGGATACTGCTGCTGGGACCCCAAGCAACAGCATGGGCTTCTGGTGTGGCCGGGCCGGGCCTCCCCACCACTAAAAAGGCAAACTGACCCTGAACTAATTCCATGCCTTTCCAATGGTGGTATTTTTGTTAAGTTCCCTACGTACAAGCAATTGCAGTCATACCTCGGGTTACAGATGCTTCAGGTTGTGCTTTTTCAGGTTATGGACCACTGAAACCTGGAAGTACCAGAACAGGTTACTTCTGGGTTTGGGCGGTCGCGCATGCGCAGAAGCACTAAACCGTGCTTTGCGCATGCACCGAATTGCAACCCGCGCATGTGCAGACGCGCCGCTGCGGGTTGCGGACGCTGCAGGTTGCGAACGTGCATCCTGCACGGATCACGTTCGCAACCCAAGCACCCACTGTATAGGGTATTCATTGGGCAGCTGTAAAGACCACCTCGTACACATTACAGGAGCAGGCAGACTTGGCATGCACAAACAGTCATTTCCACTCTTCCTCAGTAATCAGACTTTTGCTGGTTTATTGGTAAGACTTCAGTACGTTTCAGAAGAACCCCATCGACAGAACAGGCACAAGCAGAATGTGATCTAGCCCACTGCCACAACCCTGCAAAAGATGGACCACCTCACAGTTCCAGTGTTCACAGCTGTATTTTGGATTGGCTGCAGTTTCTGAGCAGTCTTCAAAGGCAGCCCCATGTATAACGCACGGCAGTAGTCTAATCTGAAGGTTTAGCTCTCCTAGTCAAAAACTGCTGAAAGGCACTCTGCACCGTGGTGGCAACCTGCGCCTCCAGTGGCAAAGTTAGATCAATGAGCACCCCCCAAAAAAACCTCCACCCTGTAAGAACTTGTTATAGTAAGAGAAAAAGAGGTGGACGTCAAGCATTCCAGAATGCAGCAGCTAGACTGGTGACTGGGAATGGCTGCCAAGACCATATAACACCAGTCCTGAAAGACCTACATTGGCTCCCAGTACGTTTCTGGGCACAATTCAAAGTTTTGGTGCTGACCTTGAAAGCCCTAAACGGCCTCGGTCCAGTATACCTGAAGGAGCGTCTCCACCCCCATCGCTCTGCCCGGACGCTGAGGTCCAGCGCCGAGGGCCTCCTGGTGGTTCCCTCCCTGAGAGAAGTGAAGCTACAGGGAACCAGGGAGAGGGCCTTCTTGGTGGTGACGCCCACCCTGTGGAATGCCCTCCCATAAGATGTCAAGGAGATAAATAACTTTTAGAAGACATTTGAAGGCAGCCCTGTTTAGGGAAGTTTTTAATGTTTGATGTTTTATCGTGTTTTTAATATTATGTTGGGGACCGCCCAGAGTGGGTGGGGTATAAATATAATCATCATCAGGGGTCAAAGGAGTCAAGAAGCAGAGTTTCAAGGATCAGGAAGCAAGAAGCCAAACGCAGCAAGGCAGGGAGCGTATTGCTGTGGCAAAGAGCCAAAGGGAAATGCTGACCTTATATCCCTTCCCGGCTCTTGCCACCAGGTGCTGTGAGTTACCAATCGGCCTCACCTGTGCGGACGCGCCTTGCCTCTCCAGAACAAACTTAGGAAGGCCTCAGTCCTGCAAAGTCCTATTGGTCACAGGGCCTGGCTCCTGCACGCACTCCTGACATTCTAGCTCTCAGGAACATCAGCAACAGTGTAGGAAGCTGCAGCAGCAGGTTCGAGTCTTGTTATAGCTAGAAGGAGGCTGCAGAGTGGAGACTTTTCCCAGCCGGGAACTTGAAGCAGATGGACCAAAGAGGTCTGCCAGGAGCCCCAGGTAGCTACTGCTTCTGCCTCCCGCAACCCAGTGCCCTTCAGACTGCAATCTACGCATGGCGGCTCTGCTGTGGTTGTGATTCAAAAGCGGCTGAGGAAAGCCAGGAGATACGATTCTACCTATGATAAGGTACGCGGGTGGCGCTGTGGGTTAAACCACAGAGCCTAGGACTTGCCGATCAGAAGGTCAGCGGATAGAATCCCCGCGACGGGGTGAGCTCCCGTTGCTCGGTCCCTGCTCCTGCCAACCTAGCAGGTCGAAAGCAAGTCAAAGTGCAAGTAGATAAATAGGTACCGCTTCGGCGGGAAGGTAAACGGCGTTTCCGTGCGCTGCTCTGGTTCGCCAGAAGCGGCTTAGTCCTGCTGGCCACATGATCCGGAAGCTGTACACCGGCTCCCTCTGCCAAGAAAGCGAGATGAGCACCGCAACCCCAGAGTCGGCCACGACTGGACGTAATGGTCAGGGGTCCCTTTACCTTTTTATGATGGGGCCGGAAACCATTTGAGCGAGTCTGGCAAGCAATGCAGGGTCAGGGGAGCCTCTGGAGGTTTAATCATAGAATCATAGAGTTGGAAGAGACCACAAGGGCCATCGAGTCCAACCCCCTGCCAAGCAGGAAACACCATCAGAGCACTCCTGACATATGGTTGTCAAGCCTCTGCTTAAAGACCTCCAAAGAAGGAGACTCCACCACACTCCTTGGCAGCAAATTCCACTGTTGAACAGCTCTTACTGTCAGGAAGTTCTTCCTAATGTTTAGGTGGAATCTTCTTTCTTGTAGTTTGGATCCATTGCTCCGTGTCCTCTTCTCTGGAGCAGCAGAAAACAACCTTTCTCCCTCCTCTATGTGACATCCTTTTATATATTTGAACATGGCTATCATATCACCTCTTAACCCCCCCTCCTCAGGCTAAACATGCCCAGCTCCCTTAGCCGTTCCTCATAAGGCATCGTTTCCAGGCCTTTGACCATTTTGGTTGCCCTCCTCTGGACACGTTCCAGTTTGTCAGTGTGCTTCTTGAACTGTGGTGCCCAGAACTGGACACAGTACTCCAGGTGAGGTCTGACCAGAGCAGAATACAGTGGCACTATTACTTCCCTTGATCTAGATGCTATACTCCTATTGATGCAGCCCAGAACTACTAGGTTTGCTGAACTACAACTCCCATCATCCCCAGCAAGCATGGCCAATGGCCAGGAATGATGGGAGGTGCAGTTCGGCAAGCCTCCAGAGGTCCACAGGTTGCCCACGCCTGCAAGAAAGCAAATAAAGGCTTGCAAGCAGCTCCACCCTTCCGTAAAGAAATGCAGAAGTAGGCAGCCCCAACGCTCTTGAGGGGAAGCCATCCACATCTGGCCTGATAATAAATAATTTTTTATTTATACCCCGCCCTTTCCGGTTCAGAAAACCGGGCTCAGGACAGCCAACAACAAATTTAAAACACTTAATTGATGCAACAAAAAACAGCATAAAATACAGTATAAAATGTGAATAATAATAAATTCAGAATTCAAAAATCAATTTAAGGGGAAAATCCATCCAATAAACATCAGACGATCACCAGGGCTAGCTGGCTAAATTGGTCCTATTTGGGCCAGCGAGGAGACCAGGGGAGAATTAGCTGTGGGATCCCAGAGCGGGTAATCTTCATAAAAAGGTGAGGGGGACGGAAGGAAGGAAGGGGAATAAGAGATCAGGCTAAGTTCAAATTGAAAGCCAGGCAGAATAGCTCTGTCTTACAGGCCCTGCGGAAGGAGGTTAAATCCTGCAGGGCCCTGGTCTCATGGGACAGAGCATTCCACCAGGTTGGGGCCATCACTGAGAAGGCCCTGGCGGAGGATAATCTGGCTTCCTTAGGGCCCAGGACCTCTAAACTATGATTATTCATGGACCTTAAGGTCCTCTGCGGGGCAGACCAGGAGAGGCGGTCCTGTAAATACGAGGGCCCTAAGCCACAAAGGGCTGATGAGGCCAGCTTGCTGTCCTGGGCAAGGCTTGCTGGCCAAAGTGGGTGGGGCTGTAGCCGTGCCACCCCAGCGCTGCCAGGGGGTGGGCTCAGCTTGCCATTCTTTGCAGAGCCCTCCCGCAGATCCCGGTGCCTAGCCACAACAATCACCAAGGGAGCCTTTCAAATTGGACAACAAGGAAGCCTTTGTGGCTGCTATGCGACCCGGGAAGACACGCTTGCTATTATCGGGCAATATAGAGCGAAGCGGGTTTGGGGGGTGGTGGTGAGGAGGGGAGATGGGAGGAATGCAGCTGCTCACAAAACAGGTACAGAGCTGGAACAAAATGGGTAGAAAACTGGAAAAAGCTACCCACAAAAGGTACACCTGCCTGGTTGGCAAACAGCTCAAAAAGAGACCCTGGAATCTCTAGATGCTCCACTGAATTACCCAAGAGATATATAGCAGCTGTTGAGAACAGAAACTTATTGTTTGTTTAAGTTTGTACACCACACTATACCCATAGATCTCAGGGCAGCTCGTAACATAAACTTGCAATATTTAAAAAACCACCAAATACATAATAAAAAGAACAGAAGCAAACCAATAATCTCCTCTTCCACAACACATTTTAAAGGGCACTGGATGTCAATCAGCTAAAGGCCTGGTGGAAGAGGAACATTTTCGCTTGGTGCCTAAAATATATATAATGGGAGAACACTCCAAATGGGGAGCCACTGCAGAAAAGGCCTTGCTCTTCTTTTGCCCACCCACCCCCCGACCTCTTGTGGGGAGGACACACGAGAAAGGGCCTTGCAGGAGGAGGGCAGGGGCCGGGTCAGTTCATCTGGAGAGAGGGGGTCCTTCAGGTATTGGGGTCCCAAGCCCTTTAAGGCTTTATAGGTCAAAACCAGCACTTTGATTTGGGCCTGGAAACTAACTGGCAGCCGTCAGGGCAGGATTGGCGTTATATGAACCAACATTCCTTCCAAGACACAGAGAAGACATTGGGTTGGGAATGTTTCTCGGCTGACCCACCAATTCGCAAGCTCAAGAAACATTTCCACACATCTGCCCCCTTGGCGGCTTCCGCGCACCTTTCTCCTGCGCACAGAGATGTGGAAAAAACCCACAGGCAAGTTCTGGAGATCCCCCCAAAAGGTGGGAGGTTCTGTTTTATTTATTTGCCAAGTAGCTCATGGTGCAAAGTCCCCCCTCCCCCCAAAAAAGAGGTAGTAGAGAGAGATGGTTTGACGGACACTGGAAGGGGATAAAACCGCTGGGCAGACAAGACAGAAGACGGAGAGGTAGGGCTGAGAACCCGGGTGCCCCTGAGCACGTGCAGAGGTGAAAGGGAGGTGTTTTAGGGATAAATAGAGAGAGAGGGAAGCTTTGCTTACTGGAAGAGCTTTACAGTGGTACCTCGGGTTAAGTACTTAATTCCTTCCGGAGGTCCGTTCTTCACCTGAAACTGTTCTTAACCTGAAGCACCACTTTAGCTAATGGGGCCTCCTGCTGCTGCCGTGCCGCTGGAGCACAATTTCTGTTCTCATCCTGAAGCAAAGTTCTTAACCTGAAGCACTATTTCTGGGTTAGCGGAGTCTGTAACCTGAAGCGTATGTAACCTGAAGTGTATGTAACCTGAGGTACCACTATATTAGAACTACTGGGAGGCTATCAGGACACGGAACCGCAGATTCCTACCTCATTCTCCATGAAGCATCCAGTTCTTCAGAGGGAGGGTTTGAGAAGGCTGCCTCGAATTCAAAAGGGTCCCACTGCACTCCACCCACCCTACTGGGCTCCTCCGGGTTGCCGGCTAATGGCTGCCGTTGCCGAAGGGCGAGGCACAACTGTCAGCTTCTGCTCTTGAGCAAGAAGGCGCACAGGACGCAGGGAGACCACAGCTTCCTCCTGCTTGGCTCACTCAGGGCTGAGAGGCGGCTGTGGGCGAAAAAGTAGAAAGTCCCACGGGGGGGTGGGGTGGACTAGCAACCGAAAGAGGGGCAAAGAGGCTCACCTGCTGTGGGGCTCTCCAACCCATCAAGGCAGGCTTCCCTAGAATCATAGAATTGTAGAGTTCGAAGGGAACCCAAAGGTCATCCAGTCCAACCCTCTGCAATGCACCTGCTTCTCTCGCTCTTCAGATGACCCAAGATTTCCTTAACATGCTATGCACCTGCATATTTTGATGTGCGGGTGCCATTTGCTCACCCGTTTTTGTTACAACCTCCTGACAAGATCTCACCGGTGTAACGTAAGAGTTCAGATTTGATGGGCGCTAACTGTCTGCAATGACAAACCTAGACCGCATCTTAAAAAGCAGAGACATCACCTTGCCAACAAAGGTCTGTATAGTTAAAGCTATGGTTTTCCCAGTAGCGATGTATGGAAGTGAGAGCTGGACCATAAAGAAGGCTGATCGCCAAAGAATGGATGCTTTTGAATTCTGGTGCTGGAGGAGACTCTTGAGAGTCCCATGGACTGCAAGAAGATCAAACCTCTCCACTCTGAAGGAAATCAGCCCTGAGTGCTCACTGGAAGGATAGATCCTGAAGCTGAGGCTCCAAGACTTTGGCCACCTCATGAGAAGAGAAGACTCCCTGGAAAAGACCCTGATGTTGGGAAAGATGGAGGGCACAAGGAGAAGGGGACGACAGAGGACAAGATGGTTGGACAGTGTTCTCGAAGAGACCAGCATGAGTTTGACCAAACTGCGGGAGGCAGCGGAAGACAGGAGTGCCTGGCGTGATCTGGTCCAGGGGGTCACGAAGAGTCGGACACGACTAAACAACAACTCTCTGCCACTTTAAAAAAACAACAACTTAAATTGTCATAGGTATTAAATAATTCGCTTGCAGAAATTTGAAACACAAACTGTTACAGTGAGGCTAAGAAGATGCAAGGAGCTTCTCGAAAAAAGTTTTCCTCCAATGTCCAGCTTCTCAAACTCAGTTTCTCCCCTCCAAAACAAACATGCCAGAAGGGTGGGGAAAGCTTCCTTCGGGATTCTGAATAAAGCTGTCTTTTTTGCTTCAGGCTTTTGCTTCCTGGAATGCCAGGGCAGAGACTGTCAAAGCTTTGATGCCCCTGCTGGTCATGTCATGCCTCTTTTGTTCCACTCCTGCAAGGTCCGTGAATCTGGGAGGGAGGTGGGTTTTTTTCTTAAACAGCACACAGCCAGGCCCCGAGGCTCCAGATGCAAACATTGGTCCCTCCTCCTTCCTCTCCCTGACATTATTTTAAAACATTAAAACAGGGTTGGCTCTCGGGCGTGTTAAGTGCGTGCAGTTGCAGGTGTGCTACTTATTTATCCGATTCCCAAAATACCTGGAAGCGCTTTCGCTGCAAAAACATCAACAACAGGAAACAATCCCGTGTGCAAAACAGTTTCAAATCCAGTACAGATGCAGACGGAATTTGAGTTTAAACAGACGTCTTATAAACAGTGTTGGAAACTCAGATGTATAAGCTAGGTGCCAAATCCTAGGTTACGGTCGCCACAGCGTAATGTCTATTGGCCAGAGGGTTGCACGAGAGGACCCTCTTTCAAGGCTACAATTCTAGAATCTCAACTGCATTGCTTGACAGGTCGGCGGTTCAAATCCCCGTGACGGGGTGAGCTCCCGTTGCTCTGTCCCTGCTGCTGCCAACCTAGCAGTTCAAAAGCACGTCAATGTGCAAGCAGATAAATAGGTACCGCTCCGGCGGGAAGGTAAATGGCGTTTCCGTGCACTGCTCTGGTTCGCCAGAAGCAGTTTAGTCATGCTGGCCACATGACCCGGAAAAACTGCGGAAGTGGACAAACGCCGGCTCCCTCGGCCTGTAAAGCAAGATGAGCGCCACAACCCCAGAGTCGTCTGCGAGTGGACTTAACTGTCAGCAGTCCTTTATGAATGAACTGATTTTAGAATGCATTTCAATTGATCGATTGTGATTTTATGTGAACTGTGTTGCTTCTGCAGTGGTACCTCGGGTTAAGAACTTAATTTGTTCCAGAGGTCTGTTCTTAACCTGAAACTGTTCTTAACCTGAAGCACCACTTTAGCTAATGGGGCCTCCTGCTGCTGCCGCGCCGCCGGAGCACGGTTTCTGTTCTCATCCTGAAGCAAAGTTCTTAACCCGAGGTACTATTTCTGTGTTAGCAGAGTCTGTAACCTGAAGCGTCTATAACCCGAGGTACCACTGTATTGTTGTTAGCCGCTCTGAGCCCGGCTTCGGCTGGGGAGGGCGGGATATAAATAAAAATGTAATATTATTATTATTATTATTATTATTATTATTATTAACCTTTACCTTTTTACCACGAGGCCCGTGGAGATTCGCATACGCACCAAGCCCAGTAGCTGACTCCCAGCCTGTGGGGAAATGCCTGCTTTTTTCTCTTTCTTTATTATTAGAATGTTTCACAAAGTTGATGAATGATAGAAAAATGTTGGAAGAAATTACCTGGCTTTAGTAAAGATGCATAAAGAATTATGAAAGAATATTATGATTATAAGAAGCTGGTAAGGTCAAGACTTAAGTTTTAAACTTTAAGGTTTATATCATTATAGAAAGATAGGATTAAATTAGTCGAGGGTAATGTAATGATAGAATTTTATGAAACATGGAAAGGAAAGGACTTGCTGGGATAATTAATAACTAGAATACAAAGGAAGGGAGGAGGAGGAGGTCTAAGAAAGAAGGCAATGACAGTTAAGGGTCTGAAAATAATGAACTTGTTTTGTTTTGTTTTTATTCTTTTTTCTGTATTTTTTATTTTCTTGTATTTTTACTTTTTGTATTTTTACTTTTTGTTTTTGTGTAATTTTTGTATCCTTTGAAATTTTAATAAATATCATTTAAAAAAAGAAAAAGAAAGAAATGCCTGCTTCAGGAGCTGGGTCAGTTTTGCTTGAACATGGGGGGCGGCCAACTCCTTCCTGGCGTACATCAAAAGCAACCTACCCGCTCTCCTCAAGTCCAGATGGCTGCAAGCTTTCATTTTTATGTTTACATCAGCTTCGTCGGCTTACATTCAAGGGAAAAGGAAAGGAATTTTCCTCGAGTGCTATTTTTAGGTCTGCCTCGCTTGTTCCAGTCACAGGGGTTGGGGGAATCCCTGAACCCTGACTTAGTCCTGCAAGGAGAGCTTTCCTTCACCTCCAGATTTATTAGGTCTTTCGGAGGGAAAGTGAACCGTTCTGCGGATGAGGCAGAAGGTGGAATCCCTGCCACAGAGACTGCGGCTTGAAACGTAATGCAGAACAAACTTTTGCCAACTCCGTCAACCGTCCAGAACAAGGGCTGTGTGTCAGTGTGAATGCACACAAACATTTGCACCAGGACTGTGCACTTGCTCTTCTTTAACGCTAATGGGCTTTGGCGCACACAAGAAGAGCTTGTTATGAAAATTGTAAGGTCTAAGATACAAAATAAATGTACTGAGCAAAAACATACATAAATATATAAACCGCATGTCTGAAACAGTACAGGAAAAAGACCTGAAACCATTTTGTCTCCTCCAAACTGACCTCAAATGTTTCTCTGCAAGGAGGGAGGAAATGAGAAAAACCTCCCCATTGTCTCTTTGCTCACAAATCCTGCCTTAAGGGCACATTTAAGATATGAATAGGGCGAGCCTGTGACCTGGACTCGGGAATTAAATATTTCTCATCACAAAAGAATAGCAAGGCTGTCCAGGTAAACCCATTAACAGCCAGGTAAACCCATTAACTGGGTGGCACTGTGGTCTAAACCACAGAGTCTAGAACTCGCTGATCAGAAGGTTGGTGGTTCAAATCCCCGCGACGGGGTGAGCTCCCGTTGCTCGGTCCCTGCTCCTGCCCACCTAGCAGTTTGAAAGCACGTCAAAGTGCAAGTAGATAAATAGGTACCACTCTGGTGGGAAGGTAAACAGCGTTTCCGTGTGCTGCTCTGGTTTGCCAGAAGCGGCTTAGTCATGCTGGCCACATGACCCGGAAGCTGAACGTCAGCTCCCTCGGCCTCTAAAGCGAGATGAGCGCCACAACCCCAGAGTCATCCGCAACTGGACCTAAAGGTCAGGGGTCCCTTTACCTTTAAACCCATCAACAGGTTTCCTGCCAGACAGGATTCTGTTGTAGACTGCCCCTTCTCTATGTATGATGTATGGGAGGGGTGGTCTTGGGCTCCAGGGTGGGCAACTCCAGATGTCTATACAGTGGTACCTCGGGTTACAGACACTTCAGGTTATGTGATTTCGGATTGTGCACCACGCCGAACCCGGAACTACCGGAACAGGTTACTTCTGGGTTTCGGCGCTCGCCCAGAAGCACTAAATCATGCCTTGTGCATGCGCAGGAGTGCTGAATCGCGCCCCGCGTGTGCGCAGACGAGGCACTGCGGGTTGCCAACGTGCCTTCCACACGGATCACGTTTGCAAGCTGAGGTTCCACTGTATAAGGGTTTGCACGCCATTGTTTGAGGTCCCTCCTGCCTCCTGCGTGTGGCTGTGAGCTCCTTGTTGCAACAGAACCATAAAGATCAGGCTTACGAGCTGCTTTGCTTCTCAATATTCTCTGGTTGGCCTCTGTTATTTTCTCCTACCGATAAGGAACCTACAAAAGAACTCTATATGGGCTCTTGGGTAACCTGTAAGGGAAAGGAGCTGTTTCTTCTTATAACAAGCACAAAGCCTGCACTCCTGCTAATTGGCTCGCAAGCAGATTAACTTCCTCCCTAACCACAGTAAAGGCTAGGAAAAAGTCTTCCCGTGCGTTACCAGCCAGTTTTGTCTGTTCAAATAGTTTTACCTGCTTCCGTCTTGTTCTGTCTCTTATTTATTTGCTTTGTGCTGCACAGCAAGCAGCCTTCGCCGCCTTGGCAGCTCTCCCAAGGCTTTGGACTGAGACTCCCATCTGCCCCAGCCAGTGCTGGGATCAGGGCCCTGGGTCTGGTTTCCAGGGGCGAGGCTTGCACAACCTTAGAAACCAACAAATTACACTATCCATTTATAAACCTCACTATTCTTTGGAGCTTGGGAGAAAAGCAATGACAAACCTAGACAGCATCTTAAAAAGCAGAGACATCACCTTGCCAACAAAGGTCCGTATAGTTAAAGCTATGGTTTTCCCAGTAGTGATGTATGGAAGTGAGAGCCGGACCATAAAGAAGGCTGATCGCCGAAGAATGGATGCTTTTGAATTCTGGTGCTGGAGGAGACTCTTGAGAGTCCAATGGACTGCAAGAAGATCAAACCTCTCCATTCTGAAGGAAATCAGCCCTGAGTGCTCACTGGAAGGACAGATCCTGAAGCTGAGGCTCCAAGACTTTGGCCACCTCATGAGAAGAGAAGACTCCCTGGAAAAGACCCTGATGTTGGGAAAGATGGAGGGCGCAAGGAGAAGGGGATGACAGAGGACGAGATGGTTGGACAGTGTTCTCGAAGCTACCAGCATGAGTTTGACTAAACTGCGGGAGGTAGTGGAAGACAGAAGTGCCTGGCGTGCTCTGGTCCAGGGGGTCACGAAGACTCGGACACAACTAAACAACAACAACAACATTCTTTCGAGGGTTTTTTAAAATAAACAAAACGCGAAGCACTCTCTGCTAATCTACCAAGTTTTGGAAAGTTGTTTGCCTGTTCTCTAAGCACTTGGACACCTCGTAAATTAGCTGAACCAAGTTTTGCACGGCGTTTCTCAAGTTCCAGGTTTTCGTCAATGTTTGCAGACCGTTTTGAATCAAGAGGGCGGGCTGAGCCTTTCAAAACTGCTCTGATTTAAAGCCCCGATTTCAAAACAGCACAGAATTTTTTGGATTCTTGGAATTCCCAAGCAGTGCTGGGTCCGAGGCTGCTGGCTTCGCTGCCTCCTGCTCTTCAGCGTGACATTCACGGATAATGTGGTACCTCACAGCGATCCTTGCAAGGTAGGACAGCCTGTGTGTGAGAGACTAAGGGCCCGAAGTCATCCACTGAGCCTCACAGTCCAAGAGAAGATTCAAACACAGACCTTCCACAATTCCCCACTTTCAGAACAGATGAATCACGCTGACAATTTTTACCCTGGCATCGATGCTCAGTGTACTCTCGTTTCCGACTGATGCATAACGTCCACAGACATTTCCAGAAGGTAGGGAATTTTCCACGCGTTTCAGAACGTGCTGGTCTTTGAAAACGGCAAGGCAGCTGGTGTGCAAGAAACCAGGCTTGCTTTGTTGTGTGTTTTTTGTTAATTTTGGCCTTCTGTTCTTCCCCCATTTATCTGCTCCATCCATCTGCGGTGAGTTGTCAAAGAAGCAGGTGTCAGCCATCTGGGTTAAGGCGCTGTTTATAATAATATATATATATATATCTGGTGACAAGCAATGGAAAAGGAGGGAAAGAGGTCTTTCTGCGGAGGGAAAGAGGTCTGGCAGCACACAACATGGAATAGAGATATTACGGTCCTTGCATGAACTATGTTGCGTGGTTCCAAGAAGACTTCCGGAGCAAATTTCAGTTAAAATTCTGAGAGATATGCATTGCAAGCCAATGCCACACTATTGTTCTGAAGATGAGGGGGAGCGCCCAAATTCCTCACCGCTCCCCTTGTATTGCAACCCAGGTGGGTGGGGCTTGCTGCCATGCCCCTACTTTTGGAAAGAGCCCCGCCCACTCTGGCAGGAGGCTCAGGAACCGCCCCCCTGCTCTCTAACAGGCCTCATTTACCCATCGACTGCTGCAGAGCAGATTTCCGCGCTTAAGCCAAGGGCACTTGGGGAATTGCTAAATTAATTTTAAGACCCATGCAGGGCTATTGAGAAGACATATGCCATCAGGCTCAGCTGTAAGCTTGTCCGCAGAGGATTTCTTTATGGTTTGGGAGTACAAAGGCATGGCTTTTAAGCCATCTCTGCAGTAATCCACTCAGAGGAAATGTGGATCAGGAACACTCAGCAGATGCAGAGCTGTTCCTACTTCCCAGGCCTGCGCCTCATGCCTTCTCTTCAAGACCTACTGCATGATCCCCTGAGCAAATCTACAGAGACATCACCTTGCCAACAAAGGTCCGTATAGTTAAAGCTCTGGTTTTCCCAGTAGTGATGTATGGAAGTGAGAGCTGGACCATAAAGAAGGCTGATCGCCGGAGAATGGATGCTTTTGAATTCTGGTGCTGGAGGAGACTCTTGAGAGTCCCATGGACTGCAAGGAGATCAAACCTCTCCATTCTGAAGGAAATCAGCCCTGAGTGCTCACTGGAAGGACAGATCCTGAAGCTGAGGCTCCAATACTTTGGCTACCTCATGAGAAGAGAAGACTCCCTGGAAAAGACCCTGATGTTGGGAAAGATGGAGGGCACAAGGAGAAGGGGATCGACAGAGGATGAGATGGTTGGATAGTGTTCTCGAAGCTACCAGCATGAGTTTGACCAAACTGCGGGAGGCAGTGGGAGACAGGAGTGCCTGGCGTGCTCTGGTCCAGGGGGTCACGAAGAGTCGGACACGACTAAACAACAACAGAGGGAGCTTGCTTCCTAATAAGAATTCATGGGTGATAAATTGAGAAACTGGGTGATCCAGGCAGCTCTCCCAAATCAGCCTCCTGCCCCCACATCCAGGTGTTTTGCATTATAACCCCCAGTATCATACAGCTGAGCTTGCTAAGGCTGATGGGAGTTGTAGTCCAAAAAAACACAGAGCAGGGTTTCCCAACCTTGGCCCTCCAGCTGTTGTTGGACTACAACTCCCATCATCCCTACCTACCAGGACCTAGAGAAGCATCCCCAACCTTCAGCCCTCCAGATGTTTTCGACTACAATTCCCATCATCCCTGACCACTGGTCCTGTTAGCTAGGGATCAGGGGAGTTGTAGTCCCAAAACATCTGGAGGGCCACAGGTTGGGGATGCCTGACCTAGAGGGAGCCAGGCTGGAGAAGGCCATGCTATGTCCTTTGACTGTTTTATTGGAAAAGAAAATCTCAAGTTGTCCAGTTTAAGCCATAAAGCGGACAGCCAAGGAGCCAGAACAAGATGGCGGCCTTTTAGATCGTCCTTCCTGCTGTGCCATTCAGACATGCCCAAATCACTCTCGCTTGACCCAGGGTTCCCATGCTATCCCACACATCTTGGCACCAGAGCTTGAGAGATAATAATAATAATAATCAATTTTTATTTATACCCCGCGCTCCCCAGCCGAGACCAGGCTCAGGGCAGCTAACACCAAATATAAATACAATTTATTAGAATACAGCTTAAAAAACAAATTTAAAATACAACATTAAAACATTAAAACGCAGCCTCTTTTCAATGGAAACTCAATCAAAAACTTTTTTGGGGATGAAAACGTCAAGTCTTCACCAAGGCTAACTTTCCAGACTGGTCCTACATGGGCCAGAAAAAAGCCAGGGAAGTCCCCAAGAAGGAGTTCCATCACAGAAGGAGAAAGGAAAAAAGAAAGAGGGGGAGGGAATCAAATTGATTCCAAGCCAAAGGCCAGGCGGAACAACTCTGTCTTACAGGCCCTGCGGAAAGAAATAAGATCCCGCAGGGCCCTGGTCTCATGAGACAGAGCGTTCCACCAGGCCGGAGCCAGTGTTGAAAAGGCCCTGGCTCTGGTTGAGGCTAATCTGACTTCCTTAGGACCCGGGACCTCTAGGGTGTTGCTATTTATGGACCTTAAGATGCTCTGGTCGTGCCACTCCACAAACCGTCCTAACATTAAAAAGGAAAGCAACAGGCTGCCTGTTTTGAGGATGAAGAAGATCAGCACAGGAAGGCCAGTCACACCTTACCGTTGCTGCACCATGCAACAATTGTGTTTGTAGGATGGCAGAGAGGGGGAAGCTGTGTCAGCCAACAACAGTCACGCCCCATTGCAGCCATTCTGGATTAAGCGCCTGGTTATGGGTATATTTTTATCCACCTATTTCTGCACATTTGGGAGCAAAAATAAAAAGGAGGCAGCTGCAACTGGATACGGCAAATGGCCATTGAAAGCCATGTGCTGCCCTTTCATCAAATCCAGCTGTTGCCCAGGCAAGACTAATCCGGAAGGGAGCATCACTTTTTGGACTGCAGAAAGAAAAAAAGTTCCAGAATTGCAGGAACATGGCCCAGCTGCCCAATTTTCTGCCAGAACTGCCTCCGAGTCAAAGCCAGAACGGTGGAGGTTCTTTGGGAAACAAACCGTGTTGCCTGGAGCCTTCGTCAACCTGGTGATGCCCAGCTGCTCTGGACTGAAGGGAATTTTAATACAGAACAGCTATACTGCACTGGGCTGACGATGGCTGGGCCGAGAGGTTAACAATACAATTTGCGTTAAGGCAGCAAACATCTGAAAGGAATAATAATAATAATAATAATAATAATAATAATAATTTATTATTTATACCCCGCCCATCTGGTATTTTAAAATATTAAAATACCGTAATACACCAAACATTAAAAGCTTCCCTAAACAGGGCTGCCTTCAGATGTCTTCTAAAAGTCTGGTAGTTGTTGTTCTCTTTGACATCTGGTGGGAGGGCGTTCCACAGGGCGGGTGCCACTACCGAGAAGGCCCTCTGCCTGGTTCCCTGTAACTTGGCTTCTAGCAGTGAGGGAACCACCGGAAGGCCCTTGGCGCTGGACCTCAGTGTCCGGGTAGAACGATGGAGGTTATTACCTTATTACCTTGTTCTGGCAGTTGGTGTCCAACTGTCCTAATAAAGCAGCCTTTCTCAAGCTGTGGGTCTCCAGATGTTGTTGAACTACAACTCCCATCACCCCTAGCTAGCAAGTACAGAGCTCAGGGATGATGGGAGTTGCAGTCCAACAGCATCTGGGGACCCACAGGTTGAGATCCGCTGGAATAAAGGAATCTCCCTATTGTTCCACACTCAAAACATACCAACTTGCTTGTCTCCGCTGTCCATGTGATCTCTGCATCACCTTGCTGCATCACCTACAGCAAAGTACCGTATTGGCCTGAATATAAGCCTCACTCCCCACCCCCCAAAAAATTCCAACCATGAAAACTTAAAGTGCAGCTTAAATTCGCAACCTTACAAAAATCGGCTTTTGCGATATTGCTGCTGAAACAGACATACGGCAAAACGGAATGGGTGCGAGGGCCTGAGGAATTTTAAGAGAGCGGCTTATGTTCCGTATGGTCTTTTTTCCTCCCCGACCCCTATGAATTTTAAAGGTGTGGCTTATATTTGGGTGTGGCTTATATTTGGGCCAATACGGTAATTTGGAAGGACAAGGTTTGGTGGCCTGCAAGATGCTACAGGACATACAGAAAACAAAGAACTGGAATTAAGCGCCTGCGAGGCCACAAAACTCAGCCGAGCACAGAAGATTAAAAACATGTCCAAAGCGCGACTTAAAAGGTCCTGGAACTGAACTGCGCCTAGGGCCCAAATGACTGTCGTCCTACGAGTAAAGCTGCCGGCCTGTTTAGAATTACTTTGTCTGCACCGTCACTAAGCGAAGTGTCTGGGGCGGCTCTGCCTTCTGAAATCGTGGTGGCTGCAGATTTCTGCGGTGGGAAAGGCTCCACTAAAAATAGCTCATTTCCCACAGTTATGTCCCAGGCGGGAGGGTGGGGAGCGGACGGGATGCCAAGCTTTCATGTGCAGTTAAATGGGGATGAGCTCAGAGGCTGGCGCCTCCTGCAATGAGGATCCTGGAATGAAGCGAGTGAGTGTATACACAGAGAAACACATGTTTTGGTTCTCAATCTCGCCCTGTAAGCACGATCCAAGAGAACGTTGCTTTTTTAAACAAGGAGCAGAGAGCGGTGATTTCATGTATACTTGGGAGGAGGCTCTCCCGAGAAGGCGAGACTTGAAGCGCTTTGGGATCCGTGTCATTGGCAGTTCAGTTCTCTTTATTTACGTTTCCGAGTACAATCCAAAGTGTTGGTGCTGACCTTTAAAGCCCTAAGCGGTCCCAGCCCAGTATCCCTGAAGGAGCGTCTCCACCCCCATCGTTCTGCCCGGACACTGAGGTCCAGCTCCGAGGGCCTTCTGACGGTTCCCTCCCTGCGAGAAGTGAGGTTACAGGGAACCAGTAGAGGGCCTTCTCGGTGGTGGCACCCGCCCTGTGGAACGCCCTCCAATCAGATGTCAAGGAAATAAACAACTATCTGACTTTTAGAAGACATCTGAATGCAGTTCTGTTTAGGGAATCTTTTAATGTTTGATATTTTATTCTGTTTTTAATATTATGCTGGGAGCCGCCCAGAGCGGCTGGGGAAACCCAGCCAGATGGGGCGGCGTATAAATAATAAATTTATTATTATTATTATTATGGACGCGGGTGGTGCTGTGGGTTAAACCACAGACCTTGGACTTGCCGATCAGAAGGTTGGCGGTTCGAATCCCCGCGACGGGGTGAGCTCCCGTTGCTCGGTCCCTGCTCCTGCCAACCTAGCAGTTCGAAAGCACGTCAAAGTGCAAGTAGATAAAGAGGTACCACTCTGGCAGGAAGGTAAACGGCGTTTCCGTGCGCTGCTCTGGTTCGCCAGAAGTGGCTTAGTCATGCTGGCCACATGACCCGGAAGCTGCACGCCGGCTCCCTCGGCCAAGAAAGCGAGATGAGCGCCGCAACCCCAGAGTTGGCCTTTACCTGTTGTTGTTGTCATTATGCCGCCTTTCTGACACTTCATTATGCCGCCTTTCGAACACAGAGCTCAAAGCAGCCCTACCAGAGTTCTCTCCTGCTCCCTTTTCCAATCCTTACAAAAAGCCTGAGAGGTAGGCTAGGCCGAGAGACGGAGACAGGCCCAAGGTCCTCAGGAATTCTGTGGCAGAACCTGGCTCTCCCTACATCTGGCTTGCTCTAACCACGACTGGAACTCACAGTGTTTTATCAAGGTGGATAAAGGGGGGTGAAGAATCATCTTTGATCCAGATGCACAGGCCCTCAAGGCAAGGGCAGATATTCCGCTGGAGGAAATGAGATAAGGTCACCACGCCTGTCTCTTTCACCAAGTAAGCTCAAGGTGGAGTTTGTGGTTCTCCCCTTCTTCATTTAATACCCCCAACCACCCTGTGAGGTAGGTTAAGCTGAGAGGCAGTGACCCGTCACACTCTAACTGCTATTCTATTTATTGTGCTTGTGAAATACAGCAGCCCAGCATTGGGGTGGGGGGTGATGTTGTTGTTGTTTAGTCGTTTAGTCGTATCCGCCTCTTCGTGACCCCCTGGACCAGAGCACGCCAGGCACTCCTGTCTTCCACTGCCTCCCGCAGTTTGGTCAAACTCATGCTGGTAGCTTCCAGAACACTGTCCCACCATCTCGTCCTCTGCCGTCCCCTTCTCCTTGTGCCCTCCATCTTTCCCAACATCAGGGTCTTTTCCAGCGAGTCTTCTCTTCTCGTGAGGTGGCCAAAGTCTTGGAGCCTCAGCTTCAGGATCTGTCCTTCCAGTGAGCACTCAGGGCTGATTTCCTTCAGAATGGATACATTTGATCTTCTTGCAGTCCATGGGACTCTCAAGAGTCTCCTCCAGCACCAGAATTCAAAAGCACCCATTCTTCGGCGATCAGCCTTCTTTATGGTCCAGCTCTCAATTCCATACATCACTACATCACTACTGGGGGGGGTGATAAAGGACTTTAAACATTCAGAGTCAGTAATTAGTTCTACGGCCATCTCCGTACGAGATGTTTTATAAGCAAGTTGTTCTCTTCCACCCACTAAAAAAAAAAGATTCAGGGCCCAATTTCTCTTCCAGAATTAAAACTGAACTAAAATTAGCTTCAAATATTAATTAGAACACGACTCTTGGGAAGGGGCCCAAAGAACATTTGTGAGCAAGTCAGGCTGAAACCTAGGCCATTGCCATCCTTTCATGGCGTTTCATTCATGTGTAATAAATGCCCTCTAAACAATTTCCATTTAACATTATACAGCATTCTTTCTGAGAAAATCCTGGGTCAGATAAACCGCTCCCATGCCAGTTCCTTTGCGAATCAGTTTGGTTGTGTACTCACAAACATGAACCCCAGAAATACACACAGTCACAGCAGGCCAGCCTCCCCAAGAAAAAAAAATTTCAGGACAACGGGAAAATTGCAACCACCTTCTGGAGGAAAATGCACCAATTCCCTCCATAAAGTCCCTATCTAACCACACCGCAGTTGAACAGGAAGCACAGAGGAAGGGCGGAAAGCCAAAAGCTACCATCAGCTCGACCCAGCCCTGGAAGGAGTGACTTTTAGGAGATCTGAACGCACCAGTCTTGCGGCCACACTGGAACATCACTTGAATACCCAGGGGCAGGAATCAAGGGGTTTTCCAGTCCAGGAATCACATGCCAAGAGAAGAATGCCCGGCCTTACATCAGGCTGACGACACAAATTGCTGAGCCAGTCTCATACTTTGACATCCAGGAAAGGTTTATCTCCTTTCTATCTTGTCTATCAGGTCTTTGGCTAACTGAACAATCTGTGCATGGCGGTGGTGGGTAATTGTTTTTGTTCGTTCCTATGTTATATACATATTTTAGGGACATGGGTGGTGCTGTGGGTTAAACCACAGAGCCTAGGGCTTGCCAATCGGAAGGTTGACAACTTGAATCCCCGCGACGGGGTGAGCTCCCGTTGCTCGGTCCCTGCTCCTGCCAACCTAGCAGTTCAAAAGCACGTCAAAGTGCAAGTAGATCAATAGGTACCGCTCCGGCGGGAAGGTAAACGGCATTTCTGTGCGCTGCTCTGGTTTGCCAGAAGCGGCTTAGTCATGCTGGCCACATGACCCGGAAGCTGTACGCCAGCTCCCTCGGCCAGTAAAGCGAGATGAGCGCCGCAACCCCAGAGTCGGTCACGACTGGACCTAATGGTTAGGGGTCCCTTTACCTTTACGTTATATATTTTGGGGGTTTTTTTCTATTGTAAACTATCCTATGGTCCTTGAATGAAGGGCGGTATAGAAATTTTTAACAACAACAACATCATCAACTTGTGGATTTCAATCCTATAGAAATAAAGAGCTTGGGCCATCAAAACACTCATAGAATCATAGAATCATAGAGTTGGAAGAGACCACAAGGGCCATCGAGTCCAACCCCCCGCCAAGCAGGAAACACCATCAGAGCACTCCTGACATATGGTTGTCAAGCCTCTGCTTAAAGACCTCCAAAGAAGGAGACTCCACCACACTCCTTGGCAGCAAATTCCACTGTCAAACAGCTCTTACTGTCAGGAAGTTCTTCCTAATGTTTAGGTGGAATCTTCTTTCTTGTAGTTTGGATCCATTGCTCCGTGTCCGCTTCTCTGGAGCAGCAGAAAACAACCTTTCTCCCTCCTCTATGTGACATCCTTTTATATATTTGAACATGGCTATCATATCACCCCTTAACCTCCTCTTCTCCAGGCTAAACATGCCCAGCTCCCTTAGCCGTTCCTCATAAGGCATCGTTTCCAGGCCTTTGACCATTTTGGTTGCCCTCCTCTGGACACGTTCCAGTTTGTCAGTGTCCTTCTTGAACTGTGGTGCCCAGAACTGGACACAGTGCTCCAGGTGAGGTCTGACCAGAGCAGAATACAGTGGCACTATTACTTCCCTTGATCTAGATGCTATACTCCTATGGATGCAGCCCAGAATTGCATTGGCTTTTTTAGCTGCCGTGTCACTCGTTTGTAAGATTCCAGCTGATGCCCCTATGTGGTTTCTTCCAAATTCTTCAAACCTTTACATGTACTCTGCCAGGAATCCGTTCCCCCAGCCCAGCTCCCTCTGTCAAAACCCACCAAACCAACCATGACGTTTGCCATTCAATTGCACACATCGCACCAGGAGAGCCCGGCCCATCCAGACCAGCTCCCTGTTCCACAGTGGCCAACCAGATGCCTGTGGAACAAACTGACAAGCGAGACCTGAGCACAAGAGCATCATTCTCCCCTTCTGAGGTTTCCAGCAACTGGGATCCAGAAGCATTGCTGCTTCCAGCCATAGAGGCAAAGCAGAGCCTCAATAGCCCTCTCCCAGCTAAGGCCCGGGGGTCGGATCCGACCCAATCGCCTTCTAAATCCAGCCCACGGACGGTCCGGGAATCGGCGTGCTTTTACATGAGTAGAATGTGTCCTTTTATTTAAAATGCATCTCTGGGTTATTTGTGGGACATAGGAATTCATTCATATTTTTTCCCCAAAGTATAGTCCAACCCCCCACGAAGTCTGAGGGATGGTGGACTGGCCCCCTGCTGAAAAAGTTTGCTGACCCCTGAGATAGGGGCTCAGCTGGGCCACGGAAATTAGAAGCCAGAGGATGGTATTCCTCCAGATTCTTAAGGATTATGGGGGTTCTCTCGTGGAGGGGGCAGGAAAGTCCCTCGCTCAGCGGTACAGATTTAGAACACTCAATTGAATACACCAACAACTGCTGAGACTAGAGGGGCTGCTCTCATTTCAAGCCCTCCCAAACCCCAGGCTGAATTTTCTGCATTCTGCTGGCCCATTTGCTTTGCTTCATTCTGGCTCCCTCGCTATTTCAGCTTCCTTTTGCATGTACTGTAGATCTCCACCCACCTATTCCATTTCCTTCAAGTGCCCGAGGTGAGCTGTCAGAGCTGCCTCCTTCATCCCCATGTAATCAACCAGACAAAAAAAATAAAATGCCTTGGTACTTTGCGGGATTTTTATTTTTTGGAGCAGGGTGGGTATGGTTTGCTTTGTTTGAAACTAAAACTGCTAACTGCCTGAAATCCACTCACCCCCCAAGAGGTCTTTTAAAAAGCCAGGTAGTTCAACACCTCTCATGTCCAAATAGGCTCACCGTGGGGTTCACCTGGGAAGGTAGGAGAAGGAAAACTCTGATCCTAAACCACCACTGCCTCGCGGATATACTCATTTGTCAGAAAGGCCGCCAAGACCACATAACACCGGTCTTGAAAGACCTACATTGGCTCCCAGTACATTTCCGAGCACAATTCAAAGTGTTGGTGCTGACCTTTCAAGCCCTAAACGGCCTCAGTCCAGTATATCTGAAGGAGCGTCTCCACCCCCATCGTTCAGCCCAGACACTGAGATCCAGCTTCGAGGGCCTTTTGGCGGTTCCCTCCCTGTGAGAAGTGAGGTTACAGGGAACCAGGCAGAGGGCCTTCTCGGTGGTGGCACCCGCCCTGTGGAACACCCTCCCACCAGATGTCAAAGAGAACAACAACTACCAGACTTTTAGAAGACATCCGCTCCCTGTTTAGGGAAGCTTTTAATGTTGATGTATTATGGTATTTTAATCTTTTGTTGGAAACCGCCCAGAGTGGCTGGGGAAGCCCAGCCAGATGGGCAGGGTATAAATAATAAACTATTATTATTATTGGGGATGCGGGTGGCGCTGTGGGTAAAACCTCAGTGCCTAGGACTTGCCGATCGTATGGTTGGCGGTTCGAATCCCCGCGGCGGGGTGAGCTCCCATCTTTCGGTCCCAGCTCCTGCCCACCTAGCAGTTCGAAAGCACCCCTAAGTGCAAGTAGATAAATAGGTACCGCTTTATAGCGGGAAGGTAAATGGCGTTTCCGTGTGCTGCGCTGGTGCTGGCTCGCCAGAGCAGCTTCCTCACGCTGGCCACGTGACCCGGAAGTGTCTCCAGACAGCGCTGGCCCCCAGCCTCTTAAGTGAGATGGGCGCACAACCCTAGAGTTGGACACGACTGGCCCGTACGGGCAGGGGTACCTTTATCCTTTATTATTATTATTATTATTATTATTATTATTATAAAGGCTTTGGGAGGAAACCCTGGGAAGCAATCTGTACCTGCTGCCTTGCGGGACACATTCGAATGTGTCCTTTTATTTAAAATGCATCTCTGGGTTATTTGTGGGGCATAGGAATTCGTTCATTTGCAACCCCAAAAAATATAGTCTGCCCCCCCCAAGGTCTGAGGGACAGTGGACCGGCCCCCTGCTGAAAAAGTTTGCTGGCCTCTGTCTAGCCCCGTGTGCACATCCCTCTCCATATAAGCAGGCAAAAGGCTTTGTCAAGGACACATTCCAGGTGGGCAAAAGGTGCAAGACATGAGTTGGGGCTGGGTAAAATGGGTCATGGGTTTGGGAGAGGCCCACAAGCTGGACAGAGGAGCTTGGAGAGTGTGCTCTCTTCCCTCGACCCCCGCCCCCGGTCTTCACAAGTCAAAAAGTAAAAATTAATCCTAAATTCACTAAATTCAGAAACATGCTGAGGACCTCTGAACAAGAAAGCAAGAGCCTTTCTTGACCATAGTGCACATAAATGGGACACACAGACATATCTCATGCACCTGTACTTGCCAGGCCAGAGCAAAAATGTTGCTGAATCCCCAGAAGTCAGCCCGATTCGAGTACCAGATGGAATTTACTCCAAGGCAAATAGAGAGATAGAGGCACAGCACACGGCTCAAACACAACCAGTACCATATTTTTCGCTCTGTAAGAAGCACCGGACCATAAGACGCACCTAGTTTTTGGAGGAGGAAAACAAGAAAAAAATATTCTGAATCTCAGAAGCCAGAACAGCAAGAGGGATCGCTGCTTTCGCTGCTTTCAAAAGCAGCAATCCCTCTTGCTGTTCTGGCTTCTGGGATAGCTGTGCAGCCTGCATCCGCTCCATAAGACGCACACACATTTCCCCTTACTTTTTAAGAGGGAAAAAGTGAGTCTTATAGAGCAAAAAATACGGTAATTCTATTCCGAGACTACGCTTCCCATTAAGTTTTCCAGAGGGGTTGACTAACACAACTTGTTCTTAAGTGACCTAGGGTTCAGGGGTCAGGTGGCCAAGTTAGCTGAAGGCACAGGATTATTTGGGATAGGAAAAAAAAAATAGTGTGATGAAGAGCTCTAAAAGAATCTTTCTGAAAACGAGTGACTAAGCAAGAAAATAGCAAATGTGGTTCTCTGCAAGCAGGTGCAGACTGATGCATATTAGGACAAATAAATACCGTATTTTTTGTTCTATAAGACTCACCTTTTCCCTCCTAAAAAGTAAGGGGAAATGGGTGTGCGTCGTATGGAGCGAATGCAGGCTGCGCAGCTATCCCAGAAGCCAGAACAGCAAGAGGGATTGCTGCTTTCACTGCGCAGCGATCCTTCTTGCTGTTCTGGCTTCTGAGATTCAGAATATTTTTTTTCTTGTTTTCCTCCTCCAAAAACTAGGTGCGTCTTGTGGTCTGGTGCTTCTTATAGAGCGAAAAATACGATACATAAATCCTCACTTCCTGTGGGGTCCGAGCTGGCAGTGGCTGATTTCTGAGGATAGCGCAATGAAAACGTCATCTAGCTGTGAAAGTGGATGAACTTTGTGCCAGGGATCATTAGGAAAGGGACTGAAAGCCAAAGCGTCAAAATCTTTGGGCTTTTATATAACTCTGTGATGCAATTGCACCAGAAATATTGTGTACAGTTCAGGACACCAGCCTTCAAAATAAAAATATATTGCCGAGTTGAAAAGGATGAAGGAAACGGCAACAAAAGAGATCTGAGGGTCAGATTGACGCATCTGTGATGAATATAATTCTAGAAACTGAGCGTTGGGAGACACTGGAAAGACTAAAGACTTCTTCGCAGTCACATACCTTCGGCTATGGAATTTGCTTCCACAAGGAGCGGTGACAGCCACCAGACTGAACAGCTTTTAAATGGGATTAGATAAATTAATGGAGAACAGTACCAGTCACAACGGCAGTGTCCTAAATGTATATTCAGAGGCGATAGGTCTCTAAAGACCAGTCACCGGGGAACAACAAAAAGAGAAGCCCTTATGTCCTGATTATGAGCTTCCTACAGCGAACTGATTAAGCCTTGTGGGATGAGGCCATGGGTAGGCAAACTAAGGCCCGGGGGCCAGATCCGGCCCAATTGCCTTCTCAATCCGGCTCGTGGTCGGTCCGGGAATCAGCATGTTTTTACATGATTGTGCCCTTTTATTTAAAATGCATCTCTGGGTTATTTGTGGGGCATAGGAATCCGTTCATCCCCCCCCCCAAATATAGTCCGGCCTCCCACAAGGTCGGAGGGACAGTGGACCGGCCCCCTGCTGAAAACGTTTGCTGACCCAGGACTAGGCAGACCTTCAGTATGATCCAGAAACTATGAGCTCTCTCCTTAAGTCCTTAACTCATTGAATACGTTAGTACAGAGCAGGCTGCTGAGGAGCAAAGGAATTCATCACACAGCAAGCAAAAACAAAATACCGTATTTTTCGCTCTATAGGACACACTTTTTCCCCTCCAAAAATGAAGGGGAAATGTGTGTGCGTCCTATGGAGCGAAAGCAGGCTTTCGCTGAAGCCTGGAGAGCGAGAGGGGTCGGTGCACACCAACCCGTCTCACTCTCCAGGCTTCAGGCAGCTATCTCCCGGGTGGAGAGGTTGCGCATGACTAAAGAGGAAGCCAAGACAGCCAGCGGGATGGATCCTGCTCGCTGTCTTGGCTTCTTTGCTCTTTGGGGCTGGGGGGGGATAATTTTTTTTCTTTATTCCCCCCCCCTCTAAAAACTAAGTGCGCCCTATGGAGCGAAAAATACTGTATTCAACAACGGATGAGGCTGGTCCGGCACAGATCTTTCCCCCCTCCACTGCCAAATATTACCTGGTGACAGCAGAATCACAAGACCTCCCCCAAGGGAAAGATTTCACAAGGTGCCTAATGGAAGCCTTTTGGGTTTGACAATACTCCCTCTACCCCAATACTTGCCACCCATGAAATACTGAGAGAGGGTGGGATGGAAAGGAAGACTGCAAATGTAAAACTCTCTGGTAATTGGGGGAACGGGACAAGGAGCAGGAGGATATCACGATTCGTATCATCTAAATATTTCAAACATAATATTCCCCCTGTCCAATTATTGCCAGCTGTGAAATATTTGAAGTGGGTGGGGTGGAAAGGAGTCCTGCAAATGTAGAACTATTTGGAAATTGGGAGGGGGAGCAGGGAGTAGAAAAACATTAAACTTGATATGATGTAAACGTTTTAAAGATACCAACCAAGACCTTCTTTATTATTGGCATACGTGAAATGCGAGGTGTGGGGAGAGGAAGAGGAAAATTCTGAGGATTTACCTCTGATGAAATTGAGGAGAGAGAGAGAAAAACAAGAGCAGGACTGCAAATCGATCATGTTTTATTTCATAAAAAAAAAGAAAAATCTCTCCCCCACACACACACCTGGCAAGTTCTTATGAGCTGTGCAACAACCCAACTCCAATTCTTATTTGGGGTGATCTGGTTTTTAAAAGAAAAAGTGGGGATAACAGGACTTCAGTTTGATCTTATTCTATTTAATTAAAACATCCGCACCCCGCAATTTTTATGGGTTGTGTGAACACCCCCAACTCCAATTCTTATTCGGGGTGATCTGGTTTTAAAAGTGGGGATAACAGGACTTCAATTTGATCTTGCTTTATGTAATTAAAACAACTGCAATTTTTATGGGTTGTGTGAACACCCCCCACTCCAATTCTTATGGGGGGTGTTCTGGTAAAAAAGGGGGGCAGCAGGACTTCAATTTGATCTTGTTTTATTTAATGAAAACATCTGCACCCCACAATTCTTATGGGTTGTGTGAAGACTCCCCCAACTCCAGTTCTTATGGGAAGGTATTCTGGTAAAAAAGCGGGGCAGCAGAACTTTCAATTTGATCTTGTTTTATTTAATTAAAGCCTCCCCACCCCCCAATTTTTATAGGTTGTGTGATAACCCCCAACTCCAATTCTTATTGGGGTGATCTGGTTTTAGAAACAAAAAGTGGGGATAGCAGGACTTCAATTTGATCTTCTTTTATTTAATTAAAGCATCTCTAAGCACCCCCAACTCCAATTCTTACTTGGGGTGATCTGGTTTTTAAAAGAAAAAGTGGGGATAACAGGACTTCAATTTGATCTTGTTCTATTTAATTAAAACATCTGAACCCCCAATTTTTATGGGTTGTGTGAATATTCCCAACTCCAATTCTTATGGATTCTTATGTATTCTGGTAAAAAGGGGGGCAGCAGAACTTCAATTTGATCTTGTTCTATTTAATTAAAACATCTGAACCCCCAATCCCTATGGATTGTGTGAATATTCCCAACTCCAATTCTTATGGGGGGGATATTCTGGTAAAAAAGGGGGGCAGCAGGACTTCAAATTGATCTTTTAAAACATCCCCACCCACCCCAATTTTTATAGGTTGTGTGAATATTCCCAACTCCAATTCTCATGGGGGGAATCAGCCCCCCACCTGCCCCCCCAGTGTATCTGCCCCTCCCCCACCCTTCCCCACAGGCCCCGCCCTCCTCCCAGGCCCCGCCCCCTCTCCCCCCCGGCGCCCCCGCCCTCCCCGCCTCACCTTTTTGCCCCTCTTGCCTTCCTCCTCCATGTCTCAGGCGGGGCCCGGAGGCATCTCCCCGCCCGGGCCGCGCGCTCCCTTCACTGCGCCGCCATCCCGGAAGAGCAGGCGCCTCAAGCCGAGCCAGAAGAGCCGCCGCCGCCGCCGCCGCCGCGGCAACAACTTTTCAATCCTGCCGCCATCTTGGGCGTCGGCGTTCCCGGCGTGCCCCGCGCCAGCGCTCGCCTTCATTCAGGCCTCGCCGAGAGGCGCCCGACGGCCCGGCGCGGGAGGACTGACGTCAGTCCTCCGGGAAGGAGGAGCGGAGAGGGGGAGGCGGGAGACAGAGGGACTCAGTTGACCAAAGAGGGAGGGGGAAAATGTATGAGTTCCGGTCCGCCCTCAGTTCCGGTTCTGATGGGGTGGTCAAAGAGGGTGGAAGAGTGGGTGTTGCGCCTGAAAAAAGAAGCGCCTTAAAGACATATTATATTATATTATATTATATTATATTATATTATATTATATTATATTATATTATATTATATTATATTATATTATATTATATTATATTATATTATATTATATTATATTATATTATATTTTATATTATATTATTATAATTCCTGAGTAATCTCTATGTGGGACAAGAAGCTACAGTTAAAACTGGATATGGAACAACTGTTTGGTTCAAAATTGGGAAAGGAGTACGGCAAGGCTGTATATTGTCTCCCTGCTTATTTAACTTATATGCAGAATTTACCATGTGAAAGGCTGGGCTGGATGAATCCCGAGCCGGAATTAAGATCGCCGGAAGAAATATCAACAGCCTCAGATATGCAGATGACACAACCTGGATGGCAGAAAGTGAGGAGGAATTAAAGATCCTTTTAATGAGGGTGAAAGTGGAGAGCGCAAAATATGGTCTGAAGCTCAACATCAAAAAAATGAAGATCATGGCCACGGGGCCCATCACCTTCTGGCAAATAGAAGAGGAAGAAATGGAGGCAGTGAGAGATTTTAGTTTCTTGGGCTCCATGATCACTGCAGATGGTGACAGCAGCCACGAAATTAAAAGACGCCTGCTTCTTGGGAGAAAAGCAATGACAAACCTAGACAGCATCTTAAAAAGCAGAGACATCACCTTGCCAACAAAGGTCCGTATAGTTCAAGCTCTGGTTTTCCCAGTAGTGATGTATGGAAGGGAGAGCTGGACCATAAAGAAGGCTGATCGCCGAAGAATGGATGCTTTTGAATTCTGGTGCTGGAGGAGACTCTTGAGAGTCCCATGGACTGCAAGGAGATCAAACCTCTCCATTCTGAAGGAAATCAGCCCTGAGTGCTCACTGGAAGGACAGATCCGGAAGCTGAGGCTCCAAGACTTTGGCCACCTCATGAGAAGAGAAGACTCCCTGGAAAAGACCCTGATGTTGGGAAAGATGGAGGGCACAAGGAGAAGGGGACAAAAGAGGACAAGATGGTTGGACAGTGTTCTTGAAGCTACCAGCATGAATTTGACCAAACTGGGGGAGGCAGTGGAAGACAGGAGTGCCTGGCGTGCTCTGGTCCAGGGGGTCACAAAGAGGCGGACAGGACTACACGACTAAACAACAACAACAAAAGAGCCCAGTGACCCCTTACAGCAGAACATGGAGGTGGCAACACAGGGATCATATTGTTCTGTAATAAAATCTGCCATCCTTTGAGGTGCCACAAGGCTTTTCCACTCTACATGAATTTCTCTATATTTCCACTCTTCTTAATCCGGATTCCCACCAACTACAACTGACGACCGAAAGTCGCTGTAGAGAACCAGTTAGACTGCATCCCCTTGGCTCCTCTGCCCCGCCCGCTGCACGCAAGGCAAGGCCCATCGCCGCCACCTGCTGGCGAGCGGCGCGATTGCAGTTCTATTGAAACCATTAATATAGAGAGGCTCGTAAACCGTAAGGCCTGTGAGCCGCTAGGGGGCGAAGGAGAGACTTCGGGGAAGGAGGAGGCGGGGTTTTGACGCGGTGGCGTCACACGCACGGAGCAGGCGGGTCTTACGAAGCAGAGCGAAGCAGATGGCGGTTTCTGCTTCTGGGCCGCAAGGAAAATGGATCTGTCGCCATCCGCGGCGACCGAGTCCAGTCCGCGGCCTGGAGGGGTGCAGGTAGGTACTTTAGTCTCTGGTGTCTTGTGGGGATGCGGCCTTTAACCCGGGTTGTTGAGTCTCGGCGCTAAACGGGCTCTTGTGTCGGTCTTTATTTTCTGGGTGGACTACAGTTCCCAGAAAGCAGCGCGGACCTTTCTCCCTAGTCTACATATAAGAGGAGGAATGGGGGATACTGGGAGTTGTAGTTTAGCTGTTTCTTTATATGCTGGTTTTCCATTTACAATCCTCTGCTGCGTTTTCGAGCCTGTTTTCCCCTTGGGATAGATCTGGCGTTAGGAAAATGCATTCTTTCTCAGCTGTAGACTGGAATGCACGTGGTGTGGACTAGAAACTTGACTCTTTTGGAAAAATGAGGGCCAGGGGTGCTTAGAAACAGCGTTTTCGTTTTTTAAAAAAGTCATTTTTATTGATTTTCCAATCAAAAACATCCAATTAATATATCCAATCATAACACTCCAATTAAAATAAAAAACACCAAATTATAGTCCAAATTATATTTATTAATTTTTCGGAGCTCCCCACGGTTTGGGGAGCAAATCTGCACATCTTAGTCCTGCTTCTCCTCGTGGTTTCAGAAACAGCCTTTTTGAATCTGCTTTTACTTTTATTTTTCTGTGCGTTCTCCCAATGCCCTGGAAGGAAGATTGTGGTTAATCACGAAGTTCTCCTTCCATTTTGTACTGTGGTCTTGGACCCAAAGCCTTGCATTGCATTCACCCGTGATCTTTCCAATTCCTCTCCTTTTTTAGAAAATATTTTTGTTAGTTTTTTAACATATCATTTTCAACAATTATTAAACATACTTTTATATCTTGTTCAATTTTTTTTACCTCAGTCACATCTGAAAATGTTCCAATCTTTTCCACTTAATTTACATTTCATACTTCCACTATTACATTTAAATATCATAACTAATATCTCTCTCTTCTTTGCAATATTTCATATATTCTTCCTTACAAAACTTCTTGTAGTCCTACTAGCGTAGGTCCTGCTTGCTGGAGGTGTCCGATTGGCTGCTGCGACGACAAAATGGTGGAGCGGAGGAGCCTTTGTCCTGATCCATTAAGTCCTTTGGGAGCTGGAGAAACTTAACGCTACCTTGGAGAGGTAACAAAGAGTTTCTCTGAAAAGATCTAGAAACAACAATCCCTGCAGCACATCTCAGGATAGCGGACAGAAAAAGTTGTAGTTCAAGAACATCGTATGAGCTTCGAAGCGATTCTGTTACTTAGTTTATTCTTTGTTATATCGCCGCAACACATTGGTCTTTGACTGTGGCCGCACCGTATGTTTAAAGCACATGACTCCCCCCAGAGAATCCTGGGAACTGTAGTTCTGTGGTGGGGTGAACTATAGTTCCCACAGTTCTTTTGGGGGGGAAGCCATGCGCTTTAAATGCAGGCATGTATGTAGTCTTACACGCTGTGGGTTTTGCTACCCTAGTTTAACACCATTAGCAGCACTGTTAGAAACTTGGATATTCAACGGATGACTCCTGAAGTGATACGATACGATATCTTTATTGTCATTGTCCCATACAGAACAATGAAATTGAAAAATCTACATAAGACATTCAAAAAACCTAAAAACTCTGAAACCCCATTTTAAACTACAATATACTCCTATAGAGACTCCTTATACCGTTCTGCGTTTAAAACCAGAATTGCATTTGGGTAGAAACTGTTTCTCAGACGGCTAGTCCTAGTCTTTATAACCCTGGACCTTCTTCCAGAAGGCAGAAGCTGAAAGAGATCATTTCCGGGGTGCGCACTATCCTGCGCTATCTCTGCAGCTTTCTTATGGCACCTGGAAGCGTAGATTTGATCTAAGGTGGGAAGAGTGCACCCAATTATTCTCTCTGCAGTCTTTAAAACCCTGAACGGCATTGTTTTTCCCCTGACCGTGCGACTCCCAAAACACACAGACCATACGTTAATACACTCTCCACAGTACAATGGTAAAATGCCATCAGCAGGTCCTTTGAGAGATTGTTACGAGCCCCACAACAGACCGTCTAGTCGCTCTTTTTTCCAGTCGCACTATTTGTGTCCCCCCCCCAAAAATGCAAGAACTAATAGACAATTCGCATCAGGGACACGTCGTTAATATCACATTTCTAATAACAATTCTTCATCAGATACCACAAACAAAAGGGGCTTAGCCCCTGCGATAGTGGCCAAAACCATAATAGTTGCAGATACCTCTGTGTGTGTGTGTGTATGTAAAGTGTTGTACTAGATTTGAACTTGCATGTCTGGGGTGGGGAAGGGAGGCAAAGCAGCAAACTTACCCGACTCGGGAGCTGGGCTGGAAGACATTTTTTCTCCTGAGCCTCCGGCACCAAGCAATGTTAACCCTGAATCTCAGTCACATACATGGTAACCGATTTTATGAACTGATTTTATAATGAATTGATTTTAGAATGCTGTATTATTTTACTGTTGTTAGCCGCTCTGAGCCCGGCTTCGGCTGGGGAGGGCGGGATATAAATAAAATTTTATTATTATTATTATTATTATTATTAACCGGACTTCTCAAATTGCTCGCAATTGGACCATTCCCAGTCACAAATGCACCTGTCTTCTGCCTGATATTAGACGCTGCTTAGCAGAAAACAGTACAGTCATATTTCGGGTTACAGATGCTTTAGGTTGCGTGCTTTCGGGTTGCGCACCGCACCAAACCCAGAAGTACTGGACGGGTTACTTCCGGGTTTCGGCGCTTGCGCATGTGCAGAACCACTAAATTGTGCTATGCGCAGAAGTGCTGAATCGCGACCCGCACATGCGCAGACGCGGCGCTGCGGGTTGCGAATGTGCCTCTTGCACGGATCACGTTCCCAACCCGAGCGTCCGCTGTACTAGGCCAGAGAGAGAGACATGCACGGTGCACATCATAACCGTCCATTGTTGGTGCATTTGATCCAGAACTTCCATTTCTTACCCTCCGGTGCAAAGGATAGAGACCTCGAAAGCAAAGATCGGGCTGCACTCGTAAGACAACCTTTCCCAACCTATTGTCCCACCAGAAGATGTTGATCTCCAATGCCCATGAGTTCAAGTCAGCGCCACTCAGTAGGTCTAGACAATGTGGTCTTGCTGGTGGGAGTCCAGCGTCCTCTGAGTGGCGAAATGTTGGGGAGGTTGTTGTAGCAAGATTGTGGGCCTTTCACTTTAGGAGGGTTGTGTGCTGCTGAGATCTTCCCCTGCCTGTTGCACTAGGTCTAAATAGTAACACAACGAAAAGGGGGCATTTATTTATTTCGTAAAATTCATACACTGCTTGCTGGATTTGTTAAAACCCGAACCCTCAAAGTGGTTTACAAAAAAATAAAGCAATGAAATACAGTTGTACCTTGGAAGTCGAACAGAATCCATTCCAGAAGTCCGTTCGACTTGCAAAACGTTCAACTTCCAAAGCGCGGCTTCTGATTCAGTCGGAAGCCCCGTCGGATGTTCAGCTTCCAAAAGAACGTTCAAAAACCAAAACGCTCACTTCCAGTTTGCGATCGTTTGGGAGCCAGAACGTTCGACTCCTGAGGCGTTCGGGAACCGAGGTAGGACTGTAATAAGAATTAGTAACAATAATTGAAGACTTTGGCAAAGTTAAAAGAAGAACAGTAGGCTAGAAACAGATTAAAACTCGCACCAGCTTTCTAAACACAGGAATAGGGAATGCTGAACCATTCTATATTATTTTTGTCCCCCTCCCCTTTGCAGATTCTCTTTGTGATGATGTCATTTAGAGAGGAACTTGGCTAAGAAGACTGCGATGTTCCGCATGCGTACAAGAAAATCCAGTTAGGCTTCCTGACGAAGGTGCCAGGCTGTAAGTCTCCTGCTCGAAATGGTTCTGAAATATGGGCCGCCCGTTTCTCCTCGCAAGCCTTCCAGCATGGCTGGGTCTGCGCTGTGACCCTGATCATTCCTGCAGTGCTTGCCAGAGCAGTTGTGAGATGGTTTGAGGCCTCCCTCTGCCCCAACTTCGGAGGGAGGTTATAGAAATCTCGGCCAAGCCCTTTCCTGGGAGGCAGCTGAGTTGCAGGCTTCCCGTTTCACTCCTCACCCCTGGTCTCCCAGAACCAAGAGAGGCGTGAAGAGGGCAGCGGAGAAGTTAGCTTTGTGCAGGCGCAGTCTCTGATTGCTTGGGGAAAACCCTGGAGAGGAGGGGAATTTGTGGTGAGGCAGGGACCTTCAGTTTCCTGCAGCTGCTTCATGGAGGCAAGACTGCCAGAGATGAGTCGCTGTGCTCACTAGGCACTCTTGTGCGGATCCTGGTTTCGGTAATAAAAAGTTAATAGTAAATAGTAACGCAACGAAAAGGAAGCATTTATTTATTTCATAAAATTCATACATTGCTTGCTTGGAAAAAACCCCGAACCCTCAAAGTGATTTTCAAAAATAATGCAATGAAATACAGTCGTACCTCAGAAGTCGAACAGAATCCGTTCTGGAAGTCCGTTTGACTTGCAAAACGTTCAACTTCCAAAGCGCGGCTTCTGATTCAGTCGGAAGCCCCGTCGGATGTTCAGCTTCCAAAAGAACGTTCAAAAACCAAAACGCTCACTTCCAGTTTGCGATCGTTTGGGAGCCAGAACGTTTGACTCCTGAGGCGTTCGGGAGCCGAGGTAGGACTGTAATAAGAACTAGTAACAATAATTTAAGACTTTGGCAAAGTTAAAAGAAGAACAGTAGGCTAGAAACAGATTAAAACTCGCACCAGCTTTCTAAACACAGGAGTAGGGAATGCTGAACCATTCTATATTATTTTTGTCCCCCTCCCCTTTGCAGATTCTCTTTGTGATGATGTCATTTAGAGAGGAACTTGGCTAAGAAGACTGCGATGTTCCGCATGCTTACAAGAAAATCCAGTTGGGCTTCCTGACGAAGGTGCCAGGCTGTAAGTCTCCTGCTCGAAATGGTTCTGAAATATGGGCCGCCCATTTCTCCTCGCAAGCCTTCCAGCATGGCTGGGTCTGCGCTGTGACCCTGATCATTCCTGCAGTGCTTGCCAGAGCAGTTGTGAGATGGTTTGAGGCCTCCCTCTGCCCCAACTTCGGAGGGAGGTTATAGAAATCTCGGCCAAGCCCTTTCCTGGCAGGCTGCTGTGTTGCAGGCTTCCTGTTTCACTCCTCACCCCTGGTCTCCCAGAACCAATAGAGGTGTGAAGAGGGCAGAGGAGAAGTTAGCTTTGTGCAGGCGTAGTCTCCGATTTCTTGGGGAAAACCCTGGAGTGGAGGGGAATTAGGCAGATGTGGTGAGGCAATTAAAAAGTTAACTCCAACTTGCTCAGTATTATTTACTGCTGTTGCGCTCCTGTCAGAAGGGGAGGGAGTTAAAAAGGAAATTGATAGCTTTCTCTGTCTCTTTAGTTCAGGATGTGAGCTCGGATCACGTTGGATCCAGCAGTGCCGAGTGAAGTGGATCCTTCCGTAGTGACCTTCTCAGACCACACCGCCTGGCAATTAACCCACCTGACGGACTTGAGTCCCAGTTCCGAACAGTGTTTCAGCTCCGCGAAAGGTGAACAATTCACTCTTGGGACTCGGCTAGATTGGTAAAGGAAAACCGTTTTATATGCGATACAACACCGTGGCACCAGATGACGCTGTGGCGTTCTGTTTTTGCCAACCTGATTTCTCCTTGTAAAAGTCATTTTTTCTGAAACCCTTTTTTGATGTGTCTAAATCCCGCCTTGGCTTGAGTCTTTTCAAAGTTTGAGAACTCGTTCAGGCTGTAGTATACAAATTTAATAAATAATCCTTGATCTCTGGGGCTTTTCAGTGGCAGCTTGCGTTGGTCTGACTGCAACTGTCCAGTCTCCCAAGATGGTGCAAGATTTCCCAGTTAAAAAAGTGTTGTAAACAATAAAAATGTGCCCTTATTCCCTTATGGGGGACACAAGAGCCCTTATAGAGTCCTTTGCAGGTTCTCCATTGGTCGAAGAAAAGAACAGAGGCCAACCAGAGAATATTGAGAAGCAAAGCAGCTCGTAAGCCTGATCTTTATTGATCTGTTGCAACAGGGTGCTCCCCTCTCACACAGGAAAGGAGAAGGACCTCGAACAGTGGCGCGCAAGGCCTTATATAGACATTTGAAATTCCCTGCCCTGGAGCTCATGACCACCCCTTCATACATCATACATACATCACAGAAGGGGTGTAACCCAACCCCCCCCCGATACATCATACCTACATCACGGAAAAGGTGATCTACAACAGAAATTTGAATGCTGTTGTTTTTCCTGTCTGCCAGGTTATCTGATAATGCCTTATTTGGTTGCCTTTCCTGGTAGTCTTTTCCTGGTACAGTGGTACCTTGGGTTAAGTACTTAATTCGTTCCGGAGGTCCGTTCTTAACCTGAAACTGTTCTTAACCTGAAGCACCACTTTAGCTAATGGGGCCTCCTGCTGCTGCCATGCCACTGGAGCACGATTTCTGTTCTCATCCTGAAGCAAAGTTCTTAACCTGAAGCACTATTTCTGGGTTAGCGGAGTCTGTGACCTGAAGCGTATGTAACCCGAGGTACCACTGTAGTCTGTCACCCTTTGAAATGGTGATGACTAAATTCCTGTGACAAGGAAGGTTTTTCCCCACCGTGTTTGCTTGGTACATTTATGAGCATTTATTATATATCTAGAATCATAGAGTTGGAAGAGACCACAAGGGCCATCGAGTCCAACCCCCTGCCAAGCAGGAAACACCGTCATAGAATCATAGAGTTGGAAGAGACCACAAGGGCCATTGAGTCCAACCCCCTGCCAAGCAGGAAACGAGACCTTAAAATTCTTATTACAAAAGCTTGAAGCTTCTGCATCTGTATATCAAGGCTGGTGGACCTCTGCCTTTCCAGATATGTTTGCACTACATATCCCAGCATCCCTGAGCAGTGGCCATGTTGTCTGGGGGCTGATGGGAGTTTGACAGCAGCTGGAGGACCTTTGCTTGGTCAGCCCTAGCCCAAGGCAGATGGGGATTCTTCACGCCAGAAGAATACTGACCTAACAGCAGCTCTTGGGACAGAGGTTGTGTGCCTGTCTTTGCCTTCTCATTCTTCTCCTCCCGCAAGCCTTCCAGCGTGGCTCGGTCATACCCGTGACCCTGATCATTCCTGCAGCGCTTGCAAGAGCAAATCTGTGACGTTTGAGGCCTCCCTCTGCTCTGTCTTCGGGGTGAGGTTATAGAAATCTCAGACAAGCGTTTCCCAGGAGAATCGGGTGCCAAAGAAGGCTCAGCTGCTGCAGTGAGAACAGGGCAAGCTGAGGGCACTGAGACTTTTAAAACCATCTTGGAGTCAGTCTTAAGGGGTCTCGTCAGCCGCAGGGCTGTCTAATCTGGAAATCTGTTGCCAGTGGAAATGAAAACGAGTTCATACATCTCTTTCAAAAAGCAAACTAGCAAAACCCTTTTTGTTTTGAACGGGTGCTTTTGTCGGACGAGAGAATCTTCCTTTAGTTGCTGTCCTGGGTGCATTCATTTGAACCGAGTGGAATTTGCTTCTGAGTAGGGAGTGCATCTGCTCAGACTTTGCGTTTGGTTTGGAGAGGCTTGGGTCGACAGTCATTTCAGAGGGGTGTCAAAATCGAGGACTCCTGAGATCCTGAATGGGGTAACTGTGCCCCTGAAGGACCAGGTGCGCAGCCTGGGAGTCATTCTGGACTCATAGCTGTCCATGGAGGCGCAGGTAAAGTCTGTGTCCAGGGCAGCAGTCTACCAGCTCCATCTGGTACGCAGGATGAGACCCTCCCTGCCTGCAGACTGTCTCACCAGAGTGGTGCGTGCTCTGGTTATCTCCCACTTGGGCTACTGCAATGCGCTCTATGTGGAGCTACCTTTGAAGGTGACCCGGAAACTACAACTAATCCAAAATGCGGGAGCTAGACTGGTGACTGGGAGCGGCCGCCAAGACCACATAACACCGGTCTTGAAAGATCTACACTGGCTCCCAGTCCTTTTCCGAGCACAATTCAAAGTGTTGGTGCTGACCTTTCAAGCCCTAAACAGCCTCGGAGGTGGAGCGTCTCCACCTCCATCGTTCTCCCCGGATGCTGAGGTCCAGCTCCGAGAGCCTTCTGGTGGTTCCCTCACTGCGAGAAGCCAAGTTACAGGGAACCAGGCAGAGGGCCTTCTCGGTAGTGGCACCCGCCCTGTGAAACGCCCTCCCACCAGATGTCAAAGAGAAAAACAACTACCAGATTTTTAGAAGACATCTGAAGGCAGCCCTGTTTAGGGAAGATTTTAATGTTTAATAGACTATTGTATTGTAATATTCTGTTGGAAGCCGCCCAGAGTGGCTGGGGAATCCCACCCAGATGGACAGGGTATAAATTATTATTATTAGAGTGACCTTTCTCAGCTAGATCTTTCAGATTTTAAAGCTCCTGCCTGTTTTGTCTTCCAGATCCCTGGAGAAAGAGGTGCTGAGCAGAGCAGTGCAGCTGCTAGGATAAGTGACCATCCCTGCTGGACAACTGCTGTTGCCTTAATACCTGAGCCCGACCAGCCGGCTGTTGCGTTTAACTCGTGGGTGTGGCGTTGCACTTTCCCCCGGCTCACCCGTCCCGTTCTGAGTCATTTCGCTGGGTGACAGAATCTGGGCAAGATGTCAAACCTGAAAGAGGAAGTCTCTGGGCATAGCACAAGATTCTTTTAATAAATAAGCAAATACAGTAAATCGTGCGACATTTTGTCTCTTGTGGGGGGGCGGGGTTTGGCTTTTTTCCTCTGCTCTGAAAAGGAAGTGCTTTTGCAAAGGGCTTCTGGGCTGAGCTCTGTGCAACGGGGTGCGGGCAGGTAATCGGGCATCTTGCTAAGCTGTTTCCTGAGTGTGTGTGTGTTTGCCTCGCCACTTCCTCTATTCCAAGGAAGAATGAAGTTCGCTCACCCTGAAAAACATTTGTCATTTTTTCCCCACCTGCTTTACGTACTGGACTTTGTTGTTTAGTCGTGTCCGACTCTTTGTGCCCCCCTGGACCAGAGCACGCCAGGCACTCCTGTCTTCCACTGCCTCCCGCAGTTTGGTCAAATTCATGCTGGTAGCCTGGAGAACACTGTCCAATCATCTCGTCCTCTGTCGTCCCCTTCTCCTTGTGCCCTCCATCTTTCCCAACATCAGGGTCTTTTCCAGGGAGTCTTCTCTCATGAGGTGGCCAAAGTATTGGAGCCTCAGCTTCAGGATCTGTCCTTCCAGTGAGCACTCAGGGCTGATTTCCTTCAGAATGGAAAGGTTTGATCTTCTTGCAGTCCATGGGACTCTCCAGAGTCTCCTCCAGCACCAGAATTCAAAAGCATCCATCCTTCGGCGATCAGCCTTCTTTATGGTCCAGCTCTCACTTCCATACATCACTACTGGGAAAACCATAGCTTGAACTATACGGACCTTTGTTGGCAAGGTGATGTCTCTGCTTTTTAAGATTCTGTCTAGTGGACTAGTTAGCTGCAAAGTGGGACGCTGCAGTTGTTTAGAAGCTGGAGGGCTAAGGCTGATGGACTGGCGAAAGCAGGAATAAATTCAGGACACACAAAACAGTTGTTTTATGCAGCCCATAGTTAAACTGTGGAACTCACTCCTGCAGCGATTGTGGGGAATTTTAGGATCATGGCCACATTTTTCCTGGTTGTGGGTTCCCCATCACCCTCTTGTTAATTGGAGCTCCCTTTCCAAGCTGTTCACAGATGCAAAATTGGATCACAACGTTATCGCACCGCTTCTGCAGAATTCACTTGCAGCAAAGGAGTGTATTCTTATAGCTGTATATTTACTTGCACCCCACGTTTCTCCCAGACTAAAGGTGGCTTAAACAAACTCAAACGACACAGGAAAAAATGCACAGAGCGAAAAACATAAAAGTGCAATCGTTAATGAGTAATTAAATCTAATAGAATTGAAACAATATGGGAACAAATTATGAAAATGCAAATACTAGGAGCAACGCAGCACTATTAAAGCCCTTCACATAGGCGTGTTGGAATAAAACTGTCTTCATCTGCTGGTGGAAGGAAAATGAGGGAGCCATTCTGGCATTTATAGGGTGGCATTTGCAGAATTTGGGAGTAGCCTAGCAAGGAAATCTCTGCTGCCTACAACTATCCCCGCTCAATAATTGGCTGCAGTTCTTTGAGGCAGCCCAAACTGGATGTAACTTAAGTCATATAGGTAAAGGGACCCCTGACCATTAGGTCCAGTCGTGGCCGACTCTGGGGTTGCGGCGCTCATCTCGCTTTATTGGCTGAGGGAGCCGGCGTTTGTCCGCAGATATCTTCCGGGTCATGCGGCCAGCATGGCTAAGCCGCTTCTGGCAAACCAGAGCAGCGCACGGGAACGCCGTTTACCTTCCTGCCGCAGCTGTACCTATTAGATTATCTACTTGCACTTTGATGTCCTTTCGAACTGCTAGGTTGGCAGGAGCAGGGACTGAGCAACGGGAGCTCATCCCGTCGCGGGGATTCGAACTGCCGACCTGGTTGGCAAGTCCTAGGCTCAGTGGTTTAGACCACAGCACCACCCGCGTCCCTTAACTTATAACTTAAGTCATATAGTAACTGTGTAATAAAGCTCAGCCCCAGAGGGTGGCTGCTTCTGCCGGCTGCTTCAGCAAGGATGGTTTAGGGCTCTCTGATCTGAGCTAGAAGCACTTTCTTGTGCAAAGGCCTCTCTCAGAAGGGAGGAAATTACATCACTAGCCACAGGCCAGCGCTGAATGTCGGGGTGGTTGAGCGAGTGCTGCAAAATCGAGCCGCGAAGGGTGCAAGCATCTCTTTCAAAATGGGCAAAGCAAGGGAGAGGTTGTCTCGTCTCATCGGTCGTCCTGCTAGGGCACTGTCCCTAAAAGTCTTTAATTGCTCCATCGCCTGCCTGGTTCAAAATGGAGAAGAGACAAAAATGGCACAAGGGATTGGAGGAAATGCTCTTGGGGAGATGGGGACGAAAATGGGGTTTTTAGGGTCAGTTGGGGTGGGAATAAGAAACGTCCCTATTTTCATCGGGGGAAACTTGGAGGACATGTAAATGTGTGACTGTTCCATTTCAGAACTTGCTGGCCAGGGGACACGGGTGGTGCTGTGGGTTAAAGCACAGAGCCTAGGACTTGGCGATCAGAAGGTCGGCGGTTTGAATCCCCGCGATGGGGTGAGCTCCCATTGCTCGGTCCCTGCTCCTGCCAACCTAGCAGTTCGAAAGCACGTCAAAGTAGAAGTAGTAGATAAATAGGTACCGCTCCGGCGGGAAGGTAAACGGCATTTCCATGCACTGCTGTGGTTCGCCAGAAGCGGCTTAGTCATGTTGGCCACGTGACCCGGAAGCTGTACGCTGGCTCCCTTGGCCAATAAAGCGAGATGAGCGCCGCAACCCCAGAGTCAGCCACAACTGGACCTAACGGTCAGGGGTCCCTTTACCTTCACCTATTGCAAGAAAGGGGTGAAATAACATGTCTCTCTTTCTCCACGCAAAGTCCCTTTGTTATAAACCTCTGGTGGCTTTTTACCATATGTGGGAAATGTAGAGAAATTAAAAAATTCTGGGAAATGATATATAATGAGTTGAAGAAAATGTTTAAATTAACATTTGTAAAACAAAAACAACAACAAAAAAACCAGAAGCATTTCTGTTTAGGGATTGTAGGAAAAGACCTGCCAAGGAAAATAAAGATCTTATTCATGCATGCGACAACAGCGGCAAGAGTCTTAATAGCACAAGGATGGAAAAATGAAGAAACCCCGACAAAAGGACAGCGGCAAGAGAAATCGATGGGTTATGCAGAATTGGCGAAATTGACATGATGCAAACCATGAGACAAGGACAACTGTGACTTTAAAGAAGAATGGGAATTCTTTACAAATTATGGTGGACGCTCGGGTTGTGCATGTGATCTGTGCGGGAGGCACGTCCGCAACCCGCAGCGTCCGCAACCCGCAGCGCTGCGATTCGGTGCTTCTGCGCATGCGCCGAAACCCGGAAGTAACCCGTTCCAGTACTTCCGGGTTTCAGCGCGTCTGTAACCCGAAAACGGGCAACCTGAAGCGTCTGTAACCCGAGGTATGACTGTACTTAAAAAACCGAACAAAATGAATTAGACTCCTTGGCAGGCTTTGAATAAACATACACAAATTTATTGATGGTTGACATAATAGATAGATAAGGATCTTTACAATTTTACACTATGCAGAGAATAACATGTGTTGGAAAATCAGAGAGAGGAGCTGAGGGAAGTCTCAGGGTGAGGTTTTCTTCTAGGGAGGGGGGAGCGGGGAAAATGAAGATGATATGTTGTGATAATTTGTTATGTAAAATTCTTAATAAAACTATTTTTAAAAAATTAAAAATAAAAATAAACCTCTGGTGGCACCCCCTCTCCTTAGTCATCCTTCGTGTGAGTTTGGTCTATGGGTTTGCAAGGGCGCAATTCTTTTTTCATGCACGATGACACCCAAGCGAGCGGAAACGCAAGTGTCTCAAAAGTCCCAGCTAACCACAGGTCTCCACCCTCGCCTCTCTGAAGGAAGCGCCGACTTGAGTCATTTGCTTTCGGTCTGCCAGTGGTGGGATCCAGCGGTCCCACAAGCCTCTCTCTTTCTCTCTCTCTCCCCATCTCTGCACCCTTCACGCGGCGGATCATGGCCGAGCAAGAAAGCCTGGAGTTTGGGAAGGCTGATTTCGTCCTCCTAGACCAGGTCACCATGGAAGACTTCATGGAGAACCTGAAGCTGAGGTAACTACCTGGAAGTCCCGAGGGTTGCGAAAGATGGCGGGGCCGGGGGGTCAGTTGTGTGGGGCCTGTGGGACTCTCCGCCTCAGGATATGGCTAGGGAGGGTCGCTGGCAAGAGACTGAAGAGGAGACTCAGGAAGAGAGCTGCTGGATCAGGTCCAAGGCTGGCTTCCCATTTCCCAGAGTGGCCAGCCACAGCCATTTAGCTGCGACTGCTGCGTTGCAGGCGGGTCAGGCTAGATGACCACTGCTGTCCCCTCCAGCTCCATAGCTCTTTGATTTCCCACAGCTGACGGGTAATCTACCTCTCCTTTAAATCAGAACCAGTGAAGGTGGTGAAGGTCCTGTGTGAGTGCCTGGAGGTGGTTGGAGGATGGATGGTGGCTAACAGATTGAGGTTGAATCCTGGCAAGACAGAAGTACTGTTTTTGGGGGACAGGAGGCGGGCGGGTGTGGGGGATTCCCTGGTCCTGAATGGGGCAACTGTGCCCCTGAAGGACCAGGTGCGCAGCCTAGGACTCATTCTGGACTCACAGCTGTCCATGGAGGCACAGGCCGATTCTGTGTCCAGGGCAGCTATCTACCAGCTCCATCTGGTACGCAGAATGAGACCCTACCTTTCCGCAGACTGTCTCGCCAGAGTGGTGCATGCTCTGGTTATCTCCCGCTTGGACTACTGCAATGCGCTCTACATGGGGCTACCTTTGAAGGTGACCCAGAAACTGCAATTAATACAGAATGCGGCAGCTAGACTGGTGACTGGGAGTGGCTGCCGGGACCATATAACATTGGTCCTGAGAGATCTTCATTGGCTCCCAGTATGTTTCCGAGCACAATTCAAAGTGTTGGTGCTGACCTTGAAAGCCCTAAACGGCCTTGGCCCAGTATACCTGAAGGAGCGTCTCCACCCTCATTGTTTAGCCCAGACACTGAGGTCCAGCTCCAAGGGCCTTCTGGCAGTTCCCTCGCTGCGAGAAATAAAGCTACAGGGAATCAGGCAGAGGGCCTTCTCGGTGGTGGCACCCGCCCTGTGGAACGCCCTCCCTTCAGATGTGAAGGAAATAAGCAACTATCCCATCTTTAAAAGACATCTGAAAGCAGCCCTGTTCAGGGAAGTTTTTAATATCTAACGCTGTACTATTTTTAACACTTGATTGGGAGCCGCCCCGAGTGGCTGGGGAAACTCAGCCAGATGGGCGGGGTATAAATAATAGATTATTATTATTATTATTATTATTATTATTATTATGTTTTATCGAATACTCCATCTTTCCTGCAATGAACTCAGCTTGTGCTATGAGGTTCTGTCAACCTTCTCCTGTTTTATTTTTACAACAACGCGGCGAGGTAGGCCTGGCAGAGATATGATGACTGGCCCAAGGCTGGCCACTGAACTTCAAGCAGGGATTTGAACCTGGTTCAAATTTAGTGCTGTCATCACCTCCGAATCTAAATATGATTTCCATATAGCTACCATCGTTGCTACCAGCCACTGATAGGACAGCCCACACATTTGTGGCTTAGGGCCCTCGTATTTACAGGACCGCCTCTCCTGGTCTGCCCCGCAGTGGACCTTAAGGTCCATGAATAATCATAGTTTAGAGGTCCCGGGCCCTAAGGAAGTCAGACTATCCTCCACCAGGGCCAGGGCCTTATCAGTGGTGGCTCCGATCTGGTGGAATGCTCTGTCCCAGGAGACCAGGGCCCTGCAGGATTTAACCTCCTTCTGCAGGGCCTGTAAGACAGAGCTATTCCGCCTGGTTTTCAATTTGAACTTAGCCTGATCTCTTATTCCCCTTTCTCCCCTCCCCCTCCTCTTTTTATGAAGATTACCCGCTCTGGGATCCCACAGCTAATTCTCCCCTGGTCTCCTTGCTGGCCCAAATACGACTAATCATCTGATGTTTATTGGATGGATTTCCCCCCTAAACTGATTTTTGAATTCTGAATTTATTGATATTCATGTTTTATACTGTATTTTATGCTGTTTTTTGTTGCACCAATTAAGTGTTTTAAATTTGTTGTTAGCCGCCCTGAGCCTGGTTTTCTGAACCGGGAAGGGCGGGGTATAAATAAAAAATTATTATTATTATTATTATTATTATTATTATTATTATTATTTGTCTCATTCTTTCAAGTCACCTGAGCCGGTGGCTGTTGCCACATCTTGTGGCAGTGAGTTCCAAAGGTTAAGGGTGCATTTTGGGAGCCAAAGAAGGAATGCCCGGTACATACACTCACACAGGTGGTGGTGGTGACTTCAGGTTCCCAAACGAAACTGGCAACAAAAAGCGAGGCAGAAACACAAAGAAACTGGGTAGGAACTGAAGAGTTTTGGACGCAGAGCAGACCCTCCCTGTCACACGTGATATTGCTGAGCAGCTTGTGGAAATGAGAAACTCAAAGCAGTTTGCTGCTTCTCTCCCTCCCTGGTCAGAAGACGGAAGGAGCGATGGATGAAAAGGCAGAGGAAGATTGGAGGGTGGTTGGTTTTTTGAGTGGGTGGAAGCAAAGGCTTTGCGGTTGGGAATTCAGGACTTTGCGTGACAAAGTGAGAAGCCGTGATGGCTTAAAGGTTTGCGTGAAGGTTCCGGCGTTTTCGTGGCAATTGGAGACTGTGCTCTCAGCATCCTTAGTCATTTAGTCGTGTCCGACTCTTCATGACCCCCTGGACCAGAGCACGCCAGGCCCTCCTGTCTTCCACTGCCTCCCACAGTTTGGTCAAACGCATGCTGGTAGCTTCCAGAACACTATCCAACCGTCTCGTCCTCTGCCGTCCCCTTCTCCTTGTGCCCTCCATCTTTCCCAACATCAGGGTCTTGTCCAGGGAGTCTTCTCTTCTCATGAGGTGGCCAAAGTCTTGGAGCCTCAGCTTCAGGATCTGTCCTTCCAGTGAGCACTCAGGGCTGATTTCCTTAAGAATGGATAGGTTGCATCTTTTTGCAGTCCATGGGACTCTCAAGAGTCTCCTCCAGCACCATAATTCAAAAGCATCCATTCTTCGGCGATCAGCCTTCTTGATGGTCCAGCTCTCACTTCCATACATCACTACTGGGAAAACCAGAGTTTTAACTAGCAAACTGCAACTCTCAGAATTCTTTAGGGAAAGCCATGGCGATTTAAAGTGGCCCTAGCCACTCTGGGCAGCTTCCAACAGATATAAAAAGGTAACAAAACATTAAATATTACAAAACATCCCTATGCAGGGCTGCCTTCAGATGTCTTCTAAAGGTTGTAAACTTCCTTATCTCCTTGTCTTGGGGGTCGCATAACCGTCCAACATTTCTCCAATGAAAATAGGGACATCCTATGGAAAAGTGGGACATTGCCGGATAAAATCAGAAACCGGGACAGCTTCTGTAAATCCGGGACTGTCCCTCGAAAATAGGGACACTTAGAAGGTCTTGCATTTGGAGGCAACAAAGCTTCTGAATACGAGTTTCTGGAAATCACATGTTGGGCGAGTTCTCTTGCATTCAAATGCTGCTGGCGGGTTTCCCATGATATCTCTACCCCCATCGTTCTGCCCGGACACTGAGGTCCAGCTCCGAGGGCCTTCTGGCGGTTCCCTCATTGCAAGAAATGAGGTTACAGGGAACCAGGCAGAGGGCCTTCTCGGTGGTGGCACCCGCCCTGTGGAACGCCCTCCCAGCAGATGTCAAGGAAATAAGTGGCTATCTTATATCTATTTTTATTTTTAAAATATTTTTTATTAGGGATTTCAACATAACAATTTATCATAAATACATCATCCACATTCCCCCCCGTTTTCCCCCTCCCCCCTAAAAAAGAAAAATAAACCACCCACCCACCCCCAGACTTCCCTCAGCTCCTCTCTCTGATTTCTCAGCACGTTATTCTCTGCATGCTTTAAAATTGTAAAGATCCTTAATTTATATATCTATATCTATATCTATATCTATATCATCTATATCTATATCTATATCATCTATATCTATATCTATCTCTATCTCTATCTCTATCTCTATCTCTATCTCTATCTATATCTATATCTATATCTATATCTATCTATCTATCTATATGTTACCAGTAAAAAGTTTGTGTATGTTTATTCAAAACCTGCCAAGGAGTCCAGTTCATTTTGTTGTTTCTTTAAGTACTTTGTGAAAGGTTCCCATTCTTCTTTAAAGTCACAGTTGTGGGACGCACATGTTGGCCACATTAGCACATCTGAGCCTGGCTTGTGTCCTTGTTTTTATTGCACAACGGTTGTGTACGCCGGAGAAGAGCTGTCACTCTAAGGCCTTGCATCGCAGGAGGCGGATGAGGCAAAGAGGGCTCTGCCCATCTTCTGTCCTCCAACCTGGCCTCTGTGGTTAGTCCCCCTTCCTCTTCTCGGTTTGACGCACCCTGGGAGTTTCCTGCAAGCCGCCCTTCTTCCTGTGTTTACAGGAAGGCGTTGGTTTCTCAACTTCAGAGCAGACTTTTGCCCTTGACAGACAGGGGAGCAGACTTTTGTTTCTGTAGCCCCTGCAGGCAGCTAGTGCCCAGGGGTGCCCAGCGGGCAGAGACAGGGCAAAGGGACCCGTTGTAGGTGGCACCGTGTTGGGGGCGGACAGAGGAAAGGCAGAGAGTGGCCACTTCCGGACTGTCACTCTTTGGCAGGTGGGATCCAGTCGCATTCTTGCAAATTCAGCTTGCAGAATTAGAGCGGGTTTGGCACTCTGTGGGGGCACACCCGGTGCCGGATTTACGTATAAGCTAAACAAGCTATAGCTCAGGGCCCCACTCTCTTGGTGGCCCCCCAAAAATTTAATGGGAAAAATTCTGGATACATATTTTCAAAATACAGTCATACCTCAGGTTACAGATGCTTCAGGTTGTGTGTTTTTTGGGGGGGGTTATGGACCCGCTGAAACCCAGAAGTACCGGAACGGGTTACTACCGGGTTTCGGCGGCCGCACATGCGCAGAAGCCCTAAATCGCAACCCACGCATGCGCAGATGCGGCGCTGCGGGTTGCGAATGTGCCTCCCGCACGGATCACGTTCGCAACCCGAGCGTCCACTGTATAAGATAAAAAACAAATACTGTATTTTTCCGTGTAGAAGACTATATTTCCCCCCAATTTTTTTAAGTTTAAAATTGGGGGTCGTCTTATACACGGAATGTTGCAATTAAGAATACGGTGAAATAAAACCTACATACAGCAACAGTGTATGGTGTTTTGTAGGCTCCTATGAGGTATGTCATGGGCCCCGCCTGCTTGCCTGCTCCCTAAAAATAACGGGTTTGCTCCTTTCTATATGTAGGGTGCCTACATTCTGCATGGACTGGTTGCATGGCAACATGTGCAAATGGCTTGAGATACATATGAGGTCCAAAAATTACCTTTCGGGCTGCTTGCTCTTTCTCCTCCACTGCCGCCACCACCAGGTTTGTGGTGTGGTGAACCGGCTTATACTCGAGTCAATAGGTTTTCCCAGTTTTTTGTCCTAAAATTAGGTACCTTGGCTTATACTCGGGTCGGCTTATACTCAAGTATATACGGTATATTATGACCAATATCTCCTCTTCTTCCTCTTCTTCTTCTTCTTCTTCAGCAATCCCTTGTAGCCGAGTAAGATTGTCTTCCATAAACATGGTTTTAACAATGAGTCTGTAAGTGACTGTGGAGGCCAATTCTGGATCCACACGTCCTTCCACACTGGGGACATTGGTTTCCGGGCGGGAGTTGATCACAGTGTGGATTTGCCAAGCGTGCCTTCCTCTTAACACATTTCTCCCTTGCGTCCTGAGTTCAAGCGTCTTCAAAGCCCATGACACCTTTGGTCAAGGCTGTTCTCCAACTGGAGCGCTCGCAGGCCAGTGTTTCCCCGTTGTAAGTGTTTATACTACATTTTTTTAGATTTGCCTTGAGTCAGTCTTTAAACCTCTTTTGCTGACCACCAGCATGACGCTTTCCATTTTAAAGTTCGGAATAGAGTAGTTGCTTTGGAAGACGATCATCAGGCATCCGCACAACAAGACCAGTCCAATGAAGTTGATGTTGAAGAATTGTTGCTTCAACACTGGTGATCTTTGCTTCTTCCAGTACACTGACATTAGTTCGCCTATCTTCCCAAGTGATGTGTGAAATTTTTCGGAGACGCCGTTCCTTACTATATGCTTGTGAAACATGGACCACTTATAAATGCCATCTCCAACTCCTCAATTGGCCTTGAGAGAGTCTTTAAACCTCTTTTGTTGACCACTAGCATTACGCTTTCCATTTTTAAGTTGGAAAGAGAGTAGTTGCTTTGGAAAGAAGGATCTTTTTATCACATGTGGTGGGAATGTAAGAAAGAGAAAAGCTTCTGGGAAATGATTTATGATGAGATGAAAAAGATGTTGAAATATACATTTATTTTTTAAAAAACCAGAAGCATTTCTACTTGGCATTGTAGGGGAGGATATTAACAGACCGGATAGTAAATTGTTTTTATATGCAGCAATGGCAGCAAGAGTATTATTGGGACAGAAATGGCAACAAGACGAATGGCAGACGAAATTAATGGACTATGTAGAATTAGATAAGATGACAGGAAGGATCCAAAACCTGCGGGACCAGAGATTTGCAGAGGACTGGAGTAAATATTTGAACTATTTGAAAAGCATTTGTAATGAACAGATTACGCTAGTGGGACTGCAATAAGTTTTGTAAGGAGGACTATGCAAAATATTGTAGAGAAGATTATGAAGAGAGTTATTCGTTCAGGACAATTAAAAGTAATAGGGAAATCAAGAAATGTAGATTAAGTGATAAAGATTGAAAAATCTTCAGATGCGGTCGATGGAAGCCCAAAACATTGTATGAGATAAGAAAATATGTTACATGGTTGTTGGGAATGATATGTAAAAAATTCATATATATAAAATTATATATATATATATATATATATAAAATTATATATGTATAAAAAAAGAGAGTAGTTGCTCTGGAAGATGATAATCAGGCATGCCCTCCTAACTTTGCTCCTCTGTCCTCTTCAAGGTTCGAGAAAGGGAGGATCTACACGTACATCGGCGAGGTGGTGGTCTCCGTGAACCCCTACAAGCAAACGGCGCTTTACGGGAAAGATGTGATTGAGCAGTATCGTGGCCGCGAGCTCTACGAGAGGCCGCCCCACCTCTTTGCGGTGGCCGACGCAGCTTACAAGGCCATGAAGCGCCGGGCAAAGGACACCTGCATTGTCATCTCAGGTGTGGCAGGGGAGAGGTCTCTTGCTGCTCAAATCCTCTTTGTGGGCTCCCCCGTATAAACTGTTATAAGAAAAAACTGCTCCTCTTCCCTTATGGGCCACCCAAGAGCTCTTATAGAGTCCTTATCTAGGTTCTCTATTGGTAGGAGAAAATAACAGAGGCCAACCAGAGAATATTGAGAAGCAAAGCAGCTAGGAAGCCTGATCTTTATTGATCTGTTGCAACAGGGTGTTCACACACAAACACACCCCCACGCAGGAGGGAGGAGGAACCCAGAACAAAGGTGTGCAAGCCCTTATATAGATTTTTGAAATTGCCACCCTGTAGCTCAAGCCCACTGAACCTAGGGCTTGCTGATCGAAGGGTCGGCGGTTCGAATCCCCGTGACAGGGTGAGCTCCTGTTGCTCGGTCCCTGCTCCTGCCAACCTAGCAGTTCGAAAGCACGTCCAAGTGCAAGTAGATAAATAGGTACCACTCCGGTGGGAAGGTAAACGGTGTTTCCATGCGCTGCTCTGGTTCGCCAGAAGCGGCTTAGTCATGCTGGCCACATGACGCGGAAGCTGTACGCCGGCTCCCTCGGCCAGTACAGCGAGATGAGCGCCGCAACCCCAGAGTCGGCCACGACTGGACCTAGCGGTCAGGGGTCCCTTTACCTTTACCTATCTCAATATCACCCCCAAATACATCACAGAAGAGGCGGTCTACAGCAGAATCCTGTCCGGCAGGAAACCTGTTGATGGGTTTACCTAGACAGCCTGACCATTCTTTTGTGATGATAAATACTTAATTCCTGAGTCCAGGTCACAGGCTCACCCTATTCATACCCAAATGTGCCCTTAAGGCAGGATTTGTGAGCGCAGAGACAATGGGGAGGCTTTTCCCATTTCCATCCAAACTGCAGAGGAATATTTGAGGTCACTGAAAGAGTCAAAATGGCTTTAGGACTGTTTTCCTGTACTGTTTTCCGACGTGTGGTTTATATATCCATATATGTGTTTGCCTGGTACATTTATGAACAATTATTTTATATCTTAGGGCGACCTTACAATTCTCATAACAAAACCATCACATCGCCACCCTGCAGTCTGAAGTGGGACCTGTCCTTATCCCTATTATTGGAGGAAGCATGCACCACCTCCACTGCTTTCCTCAACGTCTTGTTCTACTTCTTCTTCTTTTATATTTTGAAAGTTCTTTGTCTGTTCTCTATGCTTTAAAAAAAATAATTAACAATTTCAACATAACAATTTCATTATTCCCCCTCCCCAACAAACCCTCCCCCCAGACATCCCTCAGCTCCTCCCTCTGATTTCTCAACTCATGTTGTTCTCTGCATATTGTAAAATTGTATACATCCTTGTATTATCTATCTGCTATATTAACCCTCAATAAATTTGTGTATGTTTATTCAAAACCTGCCAAGGAGTACAGTTCATTTTATTGTTTCTTTCAGTACTTTGTAGAAAGGTCCCCATTCTTCTTTAAAGTCACAGTTGTCCTTGTCACGTAGTTCGTGTGTCAGTTTCGCTGGTTCTGCATAGTTCATCAGTTTCTCTTGCCACTGTACTTTTGTCGGGGTTTCCTCATTCTTCCATCCTCATGTTATCAAGACTCTTGCCGCTGCTGTAGCATACATAAATAAGTTATTTATTTTCCTTGGCAGGTCTTGTCCGACAATCCCTAACAAAAATGCTTCTGGTTTTTTTGTTTTTTTACAAATGTCATTTTAAACATTTTCTTCAACTCATTGTATATCATTTCCCAATTTTTTAAAATTTCTCTACATTCCCAAACGTCTTGTTCTTCTTTATAGGGGAAAGTGGTGCTGGAAAGACAGAGGCGAGCAAGTATATTATGCAGTATATTGCGGCTATCACAAACCCCACCCAGAGGGCAGAGGTGGAAAGGTAAGCTACTTTGTGGGTGCTCTTCCTGAAATTGTAGTCTAGAGTGTGTGGTTGTTTTTGGCTACTAGCCAGAGCAACAACTCGTAACGAAAGTGTGGAGGTGCCACACCTGGAAGCAGTCTGTCCCCAAGTACCTGTGTTAACGGAGAAATCTGAGGGCTCCCTTTGACAAAAAAAACAAGGACACCAGCCAGGAATACCAGAGCAACACAGCAGCCAGTCAGCTTGGTTTTTATTAAAGACTGTCGCGACAGGACTCCCACCTGCCACAAGGTGGAACAAGATGGAAGCCCCGCACAAAAGAGCCCCCAAACTTTTATTAGCTGCTAATCCCCATGTTTAGTGATGTATGGAAGTGAGAGCTGGACCATAAAGAAGGCTGATCGCCGAAGAATGGATGCTTTTGAATTCTGGTGCTGGAGGAGACTCTTGAGAGTCCCATGGACTGCAAGAAGATCAAACCGATCCATTCTGAAGGAAATCAGCCCTGAGTGCTCACTGGAAGGACAGATCCTGAAGCTGAGGCTCCAAGACTTTGGCCACCTCATGAGAAGAGAAGACTCCCTGGAAAAGACCCTGATGTTGGGAAAGATGGAGGGCGCAAGGAGAAGGGGACGGCAGAGGACGAGATGGTTGGACAGTGTTCTCGAAGCGACCAACATGAGGGAGGCAGTGGAAGACAGGAGGGCCTGGTGTGCTCTGGTCCAGGGGGTCACGAAGAGGCGGACACGACTAAACGACTAAACAACAACAACTATCCCCATGTTACACCCCCCATGTTACATGGTAAAAAATTACCTTTTAGAACAGTTGATGTGCTTAGAGCCTTGTTACAACAAGAGCATAAATTAATATCCCGACTGGGGACCATGTTTCCAAAAGGATTGAATACTGAATTTGATCTTGGATGTTATATATGAACTCAGATTAATGTCTTCGTTTGTGCTGCAATAGCAGAGAAGTGTAGCTGTACCTTTAATTATCTGTGATGATTGATTTTATACACCTGTGATGTTGGTGTGGTTTAGTAGCCTAAGAATTTTTTTAAGCAATGTTCAGGATTCGGGGGGGGGGTGAACCCAAGTCCCACAAGCCTGCAGTGTGTTGCACTGAAAAGTCGCTCCAAATCCAGCAAATTTTGCAGGGCTGAGCTTAGGATTTTAACCTGGGTCTCTCCACTCGGAGACCAGCCCAGCAATCGCTACATCCCCCTGGCCCTGATTCTTCCCTCTCTGTCTTCCTTCCTCTCTGCTTTCCTTCAGGGTGAAGAATGTCCTGCTAAAGTCCAACTGCGTCCTGGAAGCTTTTGGCAACGCCAAAACCAACCGCAACGACAACTCCAGCCGGTTTGGCAAATACATGGACATCAATTTTGACTTCAAAGGGGACCCCACGGGGGGCCACATCAACAACTACCTCCTGGAGAAGGTACTGGGTGTGGGTGAAGGTGGGGTGGCCCAAATGAATCATTCTGTTATAAGAAAAAAACCCTGCTCCTTTTCCCTTTTTACGGAGAAATCTGAGGGCTCTCTTGGACAAAAAAACAAGGACACCAGCCAGGAATACCAGAGCAAAACAGCAGCCATTAGGCTTGGTCTTTATTGAAGACTGTCGCGACAGGACTCCCACCTGCCATAAGGTGGAACAAGATGGAAGCCCTGAACAAAAGAGCCCCCAAACTTTTATTAGCTGCTAATCCCCATGTTACAACCCCCAAACTACATCACTTATACATCACGGTTACATCATGAAAGGGGAGGTCTGGTGGCAGTAATCTGAGCATCCTGGACCCTGCCCCATGGTTCCCCTTGCCCTCCACCAAACACCCATCAAGTGTAAAAAAGGAGATCTTTACATTTCCCTGTTTCCCAGCCAAGTTAATCACACCCTTTTGTCTTCATCTGGGTTTGTTATTTCTGGAATGGCTACCTGTCTGGCACTCAGGTATCAGGATGCCAGGGATTATCACTCAGGCAGAGGGGCTGCTGAGGAGCTGAGCTCACATGTCTATATGAATTTCTGAAGTTTTCCCAGTGAGCCAGTACTGAGATACATCTATCAGTGAATTGCCACATTTGGTATCATGCAGCAAAGGCCCTTTGAATAGATAGGAAGAAACTGTGATGAAGTGTTTTGTGGGGACAAATCACAAAAGTCACAAAAGTGATTGTGCTGATTTTGGTAGTGGGCTGCATGTGCATGATATCTGCTGGAGGGGCAACCCCCCCCAACCTATACATAAATTCCTGCAACACCCTTATGGGGTATCCAAGAGCCCATATAGAGTCCATAAGGGGGTTCCCTATTGGTAGGAGAAAATAACAGAGGCTAACCAGAGTAAATTGAGAAGCAAAGCGGCTAGTAAGCCTGATCTTTATTCAAGGAACTGAATTTCCGGCGCCGCAAAAGCGAGTCCCCAGGCTGTGCTGGTTTAGCGCAGCGCGCGGGGACTCGCCGAATGGGCGGCTTGGTTTGGGGGCAGCTTGGGGGCCGGTAAAACAACCGCCATGGGCTGCTTGTGGCCCATGGGCCTTAGCTTGCTGACCCCTGAATTAAACTTAAGCGTATTGGTTATGCTTAAGGGACGCTGGTGGTGCTGTGGGTTAAACCACAGAGCCTAGGACTTGCCGATCAGAAGGTCGGTGGTTCGAATCCCCGCGACGGGGTGAGCTCCTGTTGCTCGGTCCCAGCTCCTGCCCACCTAGCAGTTCGAAAGCACGTCAAAGTGCAAGTAGATAAATAGGTACCGCTCCGGCGGGAAGGTAACCAGCGTTTCCGTGCGCTGCTCTGGTTCGCCAGAAGCGGCTTAGTCATGCTGGCCACATGACGTGGAAGCTGTACGCCGGCTCCCTCAGCCAGTAAAGCGAGATGAGCGCCACAACCCCAGAGTCGGCCACGACTGGACCTAACGGTCAGGGGTCCCTTTACCTTTGTATTGGTTATATGAGGCTGGTTATCCCACAGTTCAAAGATGTATTCTGAGTTTTCCCTTCCCTTGCAGTCTCGCATCCTCAAACAGCAGCCGGGCGAGAGGAATTTCCACACCTTCTACCAGGTGAGCAAACCTCTAGAAGAGGACCCACCCTTTCCCCTTCCTGCTGGGATTTCTCCCCATTCCTGATCTGCTTCTCCGTACTCAGATTGTGTGTTGATGTTGCTCCCTTATCCCTCAAGATCTCAAAGCGACGTATGCCATCAGCTATATATTTTGGAAAGTGGTTTTCCGTCCATTTGTCCCCTAAAGGTTTGGAAGCCTCTTGAGATATCGTTGCCAAACTTGACTCAAGGGTTCCCAAGGGTGAAGGCCGTGGTTTTCATCAATGTTTGACCGCCATTTTGAATCAAGAAGTCACTTTGGCCTGGCTTTGCCCGTTTTTGGCGTAGGTTCAGCTGTCGCTCGAAATACTGTCGCTAAACATACCCTAAGGTGGGGGTAGCAGTCTTTGCCAATGTTTGGACGCAGGGCATCATTTTGATTCAGTACGGCAGGTGGAAACAAGACCATGGTGTGACTGCGCCTGCTTTTTGTCATAGGTTTGGCCACCTCCTAAGATGCTGTTGCCAAACTTGGTACTCTTTGTCAATGTTTGGTTTCCAGGCGCCATTTTGAATCAATATGGCGTACCAAAATGCGTTGTAACTTCACCTGATTTTTGGAGTAGCAGGCTCAAATTCACAAATTACACAATTCATTTGAAAATCAATATTATTATTTTTTTGTTTTCTAAAAATTCCCGGGCAGCACCGAGCACTCCTTACTACCACGTGTAAATATTAAAAGTATAAGTCATGGGTAGGCAAACTAAGGCCGCGGACGGTCTGGGAATCAACGTGTTTTTAAATTAGTAGAATGTGTCCTTTTATTTAAAATGCATCCCCCCCCAAATTTTTTTATTCATTTTATAACACAAATAAAAAACACAAACAGAAAAGACAAACAATACGAACAAATTCTTGTCATATCCTTATTTTTCTAAACATTGTTAAGTGGGCTTCCCCAAGTCCCACCTATCTGATTTTCATTTTACTTCATCTTTAGCAGTTTACATATATCATAATTTCTAAACATCTTTTTTTTTTAATCACACTTAAAATAACTTCACATTTTAGCACTTACAAATAACACTGTTTTAAAATACCCTATCTTCTACTTCTAACCCTACAGCCTATATCCACTTCCAAAGCTATTCTAAGGCATCTCTGGGTTATTTGTGGGGCATAGGAATTCGTTCATTTTTTCCCTTTCAAAATATAGTCCGGCCCCCCACAAGGTCTGAGGGACAGTGGACCGGCCCCCTGCTGAAAAAGTTTGCTGACCCCTGGTATAAGTGCTGACTGCTGCAGGGCCTCGTAGGGCAGGAGGCCAGGAAGCCAACAGTAGATGGCGCCAGAGGCATCGACAGACAGAGTCAACTCTTTCCAGCTCTGTCCTCTTCCAGCCGTCATGAGTTCTAGTAACTTGCTGGCTTTTAAAGAAGGTAATGGTAAAGGGACCCCTGACCATTAGGTCCAGTCGTGGCCGACTCTGGGGTTGTGGCGCTCATCTCGCTTTACTGGCTGAGGGAGCCGGCGTACAGCTTCCGGGTCATGTGGCCAGCATGACTAAGCCGCTTCTGGCAAACCAGAGCAGCGCACGGAAACGCCGTTTACCTTCCCGCTGGAGCGGTACCTATTTATCTACTTGCACTTTGACGTGCTTTCGAACTGCTAGGTTGGCAGGAGCAGGGACCGAGCAACGGGAGCTCACCCCGTCGCGGGGATTCGAACCGCCGACCTTCTGATCAGCAAGACCTAGGCTCTGTGGTTTAACCCACAGCGCAAAGAAACAAAACAGCAAATGCACAATCGGATTTAGCATTTCAGGCCACAATTTTATATCGCTCCCTTGCACGCATGCCTCCCTCCTTCTGCATGTCGCATTTTTGTCCAGTGACACAGCTTTCAGAATCTGGCTGCTCAGACTTGGGTTCGGAAGCTGCTGTGCTGGGCTGTTTACGAGAGAGTTCTTCTTTCTTGCAGTTGCTGCTTGGAGCCTCGGACGCTTTGCTGGAGTCCCTCCACCTCAGCAGGGATCCGGCAGCCTACAGGTTCACCAGAGAAGGTGCCAACAACCACGTAAGTTTCCCTGGGGTTTCATTTCCCCCCAAAAAAACCTTTTAAAAAGCTTCCGACCAATTCCAGCTTTTCCCAGACTAATTAATCTGCACACATCTTCTCCCCCGCCCCCCGTCTCTCCTTGTTTATTATAATTAAACATGTAAAGGTTAATAAACTGACACACTCCAGAGTTAGTAGGTTGGTATTATAACATTTATTAAAATAATGCTATGGGTTAATAGAAACAGCAAAGAACCAAAGAATTAAAATGCAAGCTCTGTAAAAACCCAACTAAAACCCAGATATGTCTAATGTATTCAATCCAGTAGCTAACTAAAAGCCCAAAGACAACACTCCCAATATAATAATAAAGTACTGCAAAACAAGTGGCAATTTTCAGCTATCAAAACTGTGGGTTTTGCATTTTTGTATCCTTTTCTCAATCAGGAAAAAAAAATCTTCTGAATGTTATATAACATACATATAAAACAAGATAGAAAAATACATTATAAACTTGTAACACATCTGATCTATCAGCAGGTATCTTGGCGCATCAAGTAACATAAGAATCTGCCTTTAATAATAATAATAAGCCTCTTCAGCAGAGAGGAAATAAAAAAGCACATGACACCTCAAGTTTCATATCCACCAAATTCCAAATCAATGGGTTATTTTGGTACAAAACGAAACAAAACAAAAAAACCTTCCCTTACCCTGGGATCCAAGGTATGTTTTTAATTTTAGGATCCAAGTATAGCGTTTTTCTTGTTGAATGGGGTGGCAGGATTTGGGTTACTGCAAGAGCAGAGACCCCAAACCGCCACTGGGGGGCACTGATCTTTCATTCCCCACTGAAAGCTTTCCATTCCCAGCTTGCCTTGGAGGCAATAAATGTGCTTTTTTTCCTGGGGGTACGCATACCCCTAAGCATTTTGTGAATCTCAGTTTGGCCTCCTTGAGGGGCATTATTTCAGTAGGAGTAGGATAATGAGAGTACCCCAAACATATTTTTTTAAAAGAAAAAAGCACTGAATAAATGGAATTTAAAGAGGCAAATCCGAAAGAGTTCATCTAGCTCTGTGGTCTAGCTCTGTGGGGACCTTTGGTGCCACAAACTCACCCCATTGCCCACTATCCTACCCTATAAAATGCATTCTTCAGGATACCTCTCTGCACAAGTGAGATAATTACACAACAAGGTTCAAAGCAAGGACAATGAATTGCACATTTATCCAAAATCCCATCCGTTCATGTTTAAGTCCTTCAACAAAATTGATGAACTAGATTAACAGAGGCAATTAGAGATCACAATAGACAAGAATTTCAAAAAGCTTGGGGGAAATGCAGAGAATACTTCACAAAACAGTGCCCTAAAAATTTATACCTGGACTTGTTTCGATTAATGTCTGCAGGAGACTTTGTGGATATTTAAGTTATAATTTGAAAAATCTTAATAATTATTCATAAAGGAAACAGCTTATAAGGAGTAAAGAAGGAGACCAGATACAGGATAAAGGAAGTCTTCTATTTGGTTGTTTGTATTGTTGTATGTTATGCTTATTGTTTGTTATGTTTGCATTTAATGAGGGTGGATTTCTGTATTGGGGTGGGGTGTGGGGTTTATGTTATGTTGTAAGTAAAATTCCCAATAAAAACAGTAAAATAACAAATGGGGGGGGGGGATTGATGAACTGGATCCAGGGATGCCCACTTTTCAAAGTCCTTATTTAGTCCACCGTCCTTATTTAGCTCTTCTAAATATGTCTTGTGATAAACATCCAGGCAGCTAACAAAAATAATAGAATCAATACTTTTTGCCCATCCCATAATAATACTAGTGAAGAGATTGCCATCGGTTCTTGTTTCGTTATTAAACTAATTTATACAAACCAGAAAGCTTGCCAGTTGGATGACATTTGCAGGCAGCAGAAAAAATCTTCCTGGTCGTGCTTAAGCATCATTATTTTTATTTTCCCCTCTTTTCTTTCTCCTGATTCATTCCTTTCTGGTCTCCCCGGCATCCCCTTGCAACCCTAGTCCTCAGGGAGCGAGAAATCCAGCCACCGGGCCGTTGCAGACGCCATGACCGTGATCGGTTTCACTTCGGAAGAGATCGACTCCGTCTACAAGATCCTGGCGGCCATTTTGCACTTGGTAAATGAAGGGGGGCATTGCTTGCTGGTGCCGGGAAGGCGTACGCAGACGGAATAAATATTCAAGTTAGAAAGGAAACAGCCACACGGGTTTGTCCTCTGTGCTTTTGGTATGTGAGGAGAAATCCTGGGTACCCTCTTCTGCCTGGAAATGTATTAAGATGTGGTAAAAAAAACTGTTCAAAACTCCTTTACAGGGAACATACGGCTCTGGGGGCCGGTTATGGCACCACAATGTGGCCCTTGAGACTCTTCCACGCCCCCTTTCCTAGGCCACTCCCCCTCACGCTTTCCTCAACGGCTTTTCAGCCTGGCTGAAATGTTTATCCCATTTGGGATAAGGACTTTCGCCTGCCTGGGTAGAGGTTAGAGAGACAGGTGTTTGTAGAAACCCTTTGGTTTCGGTCAGACCCAAAGCTTTGCCCACAGTCATAGCTGCCAACTTACAGATTTGAAAATAAGGGACCAGCAGCCTCGAAAATAAGGGATCAGCAGCCAAAATTTTAGTCAACCAGCTGCAAAGTTAAAAGGGACCAGATTTTTAGCCCTTTCTTTCCAGAGGTTGCTGCTCAAGACACCAGCCGATGAAACCCTGCAATTAAATAACTACAAGCAGCAAAACGAAGTCCAAATTACGAAGATGCTGCTGCAGTTCTGTATCTTTTCTCTCGTGCTCCATCTTCAGCTCTCAGTTCTATCAATCGGGGGGGGGGGGGGAGGAACGGGGGGGGGAATAGCGCCCGAAGTAAAGCCGCAGAGGAGCATGGAATATGGCCGCCATTCTGGAACTGGCTTCCTGTTGGCTTCATGGTTGCTTCCATACCCTCCAACATCTGGGTGATCCAAATCGGGACGTTCGTTTTTGGGGTCGCAGGAGCAAGATGACTCACATCAGAATGCAAAACCAAAAAAGAGCGTATTTTTGTCCGGTGCTTTGGTGCAAAACCAGCTGACTTGCGCCGAATCCCAAACTGGAATGTTCCAATAACCTGCAGTTACATAAGAGTATACAGTGGTACTTCTGGATGCAAACGGGATCCGTTCCGGAGCCCCGTTCACATCCTGAAGAGAATGCAACCTGCGTCTGCGCGTGCGCAGGTCACTGTTTCTGCGCATGTGCGTGACGTCATTTTGAGCGTCTGTGCATGCGCGAGCGGCAAAACCCGGAAGTAATGCATTCTGTTACTTCCAGGTTGCCACGGAGCGCAACCCGAAAATGCTCAACCTGAAGCAACTTTAACCCGAGGTATGACTGTATATTTAAAGAAGATAAATACAGTGGTACCTCGGAAGTTGAACATAATCCGTTCTGGAAGGGCGTTCGACTTCCGAAATGTTTGATTTCCGAGGCACGGCTTCTGATTGGCTCTTGCAATCGGAAGAGCCAATCGGAAGCTGATTGTCTGCCACATCGGATGTTCGGCTTCCGAAAAACGTTCGAAAACCGGAACACGTACTTCCAGGGTTTCGACGTTTGGGAACCGAAACGTTCGGTGACGGAGATGATCGAAAACCGAGGTTTGACTGTAAATGAGTAAGTTAGGTGAATTTGGATATGCAGAAGATATTAAAAATAAACTTAAGGAACCGCAGAAAGAGGGGAAAGGACATCAAGTTTTAAAATGTCAAGATGATTGTAAAATCAGTGAAATGTATATCTCTGAAATGTATATATATGTATACCTGAAATGTTCCATGATCCAATCAGAAGCCAGGATGGCTTCTGTAATTCCGGGATGTCCTGCTTAAATTGGGACGATTCAGTGATATGTGCTTCTGTTTGATTGCTCTTCTCTGACCGGACTTTCCAGGGCAACGTGTGCTTTGTCGCCATGGGGGACGACGTGGAGGTAGAGAACGCCGAACTGGTGCCCTACCTGGCGGAGCTGACCTCCACAGAGCCGGAAAGTCTCCTCAACACGCTCCTCTATCGGACAGTGGCCACCGGGGGCGGGGAAGTCATCCAAAAGGGCCACAGCGTCAACGAGGCCAACTACGCGAGGGATGCTTGTGCCAAGGTAGTAGCTATGGCAAGGTGTGGAAATGTTCAAGGAGGCAGGAGAGAGAATATATTGTTTAATCATAGCCTTCCAAACTTGCGTTAGCAGGTCCCTTTACTTAGCAGAGTGCATTCCCCTTTTAAACACACAGTGCAAGCTTGTTTAAGCTTCTCAATATAGGATTCCTGGTAATCCCCTTTTCTCCCCCTTAAAAGGAATAGACAAGACACAATCTTGTGTAAAGTATTATAAAAGAAGTTTACTCACACATTCAGTTCACAGATGGATCCCTGAAGGCAGACTTAGGTTACAAAGTAACGTATTTTTCCGTGTATAGGTTTTCCCCCTAAAAAATAATGTCCAAAATTTGGGGGCATCTTATGCACGGATAGATCTTCCCCCATTTTCTTAAATCAGAGTCCCCCAAAATAGGGGGCGAGAAGTGATGGCATGAGACAGGAGTTGGTAATGCAGGTGAGCTGTCCAGAAGCACGCTGGCAAGTATGCTCCAAGCAAGCTGCTGGCTAGCTCTACAGAGGCTCCTTTTATTAGCAGAAGTCAATAATTGGAAACAGTAGTGAAACCACCCTGAACTTAATGGATTTCCATCTACGCACATTTCCAGCGTTAGCAAATACAAGTGTCAGAAGGTGCTTCCCTCAAATGTTCCCCCCGATACTTGATTACGTCTGCGTCCCCCGTCATGCTCCAGCCAAGCGATATGTCTGGCAAACAAAATGTGAAAGGACAAAAGGTTAGGGGGAAACCCTGTATTCTAGCCAAGAAGGCAAAAGGCCAGGAAAAGCAGGCATATCGCTCCTTGACATACTGTTGCACGTATGGTGCAAGGTTTGCCTTCGCAAAGCGGAGAGTTACCTCTACAGGGGCGTATAGATGCACAAATACGGTATATACACATGGAACTACCCCATATGAGAGTTAGTCCCAGGGACTGCAGACAGGCAGTCACTGCTACTCACACGGCGAAAGCAAGATGGAGAAGAGAGAGAGTGGTTTCTGCCTTGCCCCTTTTGATACCTGGGCAGGTAAGGTTACGCCCACCTCTAGTCACATGCAGAGGAAGTTTGTCCCAGCTTAGGAGGAAACAGGAAGTTTTCTACTGAGTGGAGCAAACATCCTCTTTCATGTCCACTCTAGGAATGTTGTAAAGGTAAAGGTACCCCTGACCGTTAGGTCCAGTCGCGGACGACTCTGGGGTTGTGCGCTCATCTCGCTCTATAGGCTGTGGGAGCCAGCGTACAGCTTCTGGGTCATGTGGCCAGCATGACTAAACCACTTCTGGTGAACCAGTGCAGCGCATGGAAACGCCGTTTACCTTTCCGCCGGAGCGGTACCTATTTATCTACTTGCACTTTGCGTGCTTTTGAACTGCTAGGTGGGCAGGAGCAGGGACCGAGCAACGGGAGCTCACCCCGTCGCGGGGATTCGAACCGCCGACCTTCTGATCAGCAAGTTCTAGGCTCTGTGGTTTAGACCACAGTGCCACCCGTGTCCCAGGAATGTTGTAATTTACTGCTATCTATGTGTCACATCCCATAGAAGGTAGGAGGTGCGGACCCCCCTCTCGTTCACACAAGGCGTTTGGGCTTCGTAGGCCAAATTCTGAAGGAGAGGGCCACCTATCTCCTCAAGGTGGAAGGACAGATTCATACTCATCCACGAAAAGAGAGATCTTTGCAATGCTGGGAAGCCAAGGCCAGTTGGCTGCCAAGTACCGTATTTTTCGCTCCATAAGACGCACCTTTTCCCTCCTAAAAAGTAAGGGGAAATGTCTGCGCGTCTTATGGAGCGAATGTGTAGTTGGTTGCTGGCTCCCTTGCCCCGGCCTCCATTGTTGAATGTTCTGCAGACGGAGGCTGTTTGTTTCCCCAGCGACATGTGACTGGCTGGTTAGATTATCTGTCTGGAAACTGTAGAAACAGCTCCTTTCCTTTCCTAAAGAAGCTGCAGAACTGTGAGTTGAACCCCATAAAAACAGGATTTTTTCCCTTTGCAAAGTAAGCTCAACAACTTTGAGCTGATTTTCAAAAAACCGGGGCTTTCCCCCATGGCAAAAGAAGCTGTACAACTTTGAGCTGATTTCCCCAAAAATGGGGATTTCCCCCTTTCCTCCTCTAAAAACTAGGTGCGTCTTATGGTCGGGTGCGTCTTATGGAGCGAAGTATACGGTAGCTAAGTTCAAGGTGTAGAAAGCCCTACACAGCTTGAGACCAGTAGAGTCGCCATATTTGTAGAAGTAAAATTCAGTTGTTGAACTTTTTTGTGTGAAATGAACCTCAAAATCGTTGAGGGTTTTTGTTTTTGTTTTTAAAGGAAACTCAAAGTTCTTGAGGTTTCTTTTTAGGCAGTCAACTTCAAAATCCCAAACGTGTCAACAATTATTCGAAGTTCTCACCCTGGACACCATTTTTGCTGGACGTATGGCAACCAATAACCAGGATACCTGATGTACCGTCTCACTCCTTATTTATTTATTTAATCCATTTACTCGTTGTGTTTATGTTCCGCCTTTTCCTCCAAGGAGCTCAAAGTGGTTCTCTCCCTCCCCATTTAAGCCCCACAACAACCCCGGGGATGTACCGTATTTTTTGCTCTATAGGACGCACCGGACCATAGGAGGGGGAGAACAGGGGAAAAAAAATATTATCCCCCTCTCTGCTCAGCGTCCCTTCAGCGAAGCGGCAGGAGAAACGGAGCCCCTTCCATTTCTCCTCCCGCTTGGCTGAAGGGGCGCTGCACAGCTCTCCCTCTCTGCTGAAGCCAGGAGAGTCTGGCTCTCCCGACTTCAGCGATAGCCACGCGAAGCCTCCGAAGTGCATAGGGAGCGCTCCCTCTGCGCTCCAAAGGCTTCAGGCGGCTATCCCTGAAGCCTGGAGAGTGAGAGGGGTCGGTGCGCACCAACCCCTCTCGCTCTCCAGGCTTCAGCAAAAGCAACGCGAAGCCTCCAGAGCGCAGAGGGAGCGCTCCCTCTGTGCTTCGGAGGCTTCGCGTTGCTATCGCTGAAGCCAAGGAGCCTGCATTCGCTCCATAGGACGCACACACATTTCCCCTTAATTTTTGGAGGGGAAAAAGTGCGTCCTATAGAGCGAAAAATACGGTAGGTTCAGCTGAGAGGCAGTGACTGGCGTTCCAGGAGTAAGAAACCAATGCAAAAAAGCCGGTTCTTGTGTTGCCACCCTCCAGACCTCTTGCAAAGGAGGCTCACGGTGGTCTCACGATAGTCTCCTGAGGCATTTAAAGCCGCTGAAATCTGAAAACTCTGTTCAACCGAAAGATGACACGGCCATCACCCTGTTTTCACCTACAGGCCTTCTATGAGCGTCTATTCTGCTGGATCGTGGCCCGCATCAACACGGTCATTGAGGTCAAGAACTACGATGCCCGAATCCATGGCAAGAATACGGTGATTGGAGTCCTGGACATCTATGGTTTCGAGATCTTCGACAACAATAGGTTGGTATCTTTCACCTAGGGGAGACCGAGACAAATGAAATACAGTTCTGCACCCGCTTCTGCGCTAAACATTTAAAGCAGTGTGATAACTATTTAAACAGTCGTCCCAGAACTACATTTCCCTTTTAATGTTTAATAGGTTATTGTATTTTAGTGTTTTGTTGGAAGCTGCCCAGAGTGACTTGGGAAACCCAGCCAGATGGGTGGGGTATAAATAATAAATTATTATTATTATTATTATTATACCACTGACCGTCTTCCTGGCCCTGCTCTGAACCTCTTCCAATCTGCCTACGCTCTTTCCGAAAGTGTGATGTCCAGAATTAGGCCTGCTCAAATTTGGGTTCCCTGATCCTAAAATGACATCGATGGACAGGCATTTCAGGGCCAACAAACGAAAGCCCACTCTGCCCTGCAAAAATGCGACATTAACTTATGGAACTCACTGTCACAAGATGCGACAATAGCCACTGTCTCAGGTGACTTGTAAAGAAAATTAGACAAATGCGTAGGCTGTCTGATCAATAACTTGTAGCCGTGACAGCTATATAGAAATATTATTTAGATCCAGAGGCATTATGGCATTAAAAGTGAACCCAGGTTCAAATCTCCAGCGTGAAGCTCACGGGCTCACCTTCCATAGTAATTAAATAAGTCTGGACTCTGCCACTGAGTTATGGTTTTGCCCTGGGGTGCAGAATCCCCTTTGCTCTGTGGGGTGCGGATTGGGGTCCTGAGTCTTGCCTGCTCCCTCTCCCTTTCAGCTTTGAACAGTTCTGCATTAACTACTGCAACGAGAAGCTGCAGCAGCTGTTCATCGAGCTGATCTTGCAGCAGGAGCAGGAGGAGTACCAGCGCGAGGGGATCGAGTGGCAACACGTGAGTCGCGGTGGCCGGTGGGGAGGAAGGTGTGGGGTTTTTTGGTTGCATATTTTGTGGTTTTATGTGGTGAACTGCCCTGTGATCTTTGGATGAAGGGCGGTACAGTGGTACCTCGGGTTACAGACACTTCAGGTTACATACGCTTCAGGTTACAGACTCTACTAACCCAGAAATAGTACCTCAGGTTAAGAACTTTGCTTCAGAATGAGAACAGAAATCGCGGTGGTGGCAGCGGGAGGCCCCATTGGCTAAAGTGGTACCTCAGGTTAAGAACGGTTTCAGGTTAAGAATGGACCTCTGGAACGAATTAACTCTAATCTTGAGGACTTCCCTAAAACTTAGTCCACGTGGACAAATCTGATCATCAGCCTTGGTGAAATTTGGCATTTCTTCTAAAAGTTTTGATTTGATTCTACTATGAAAGTAGAATGCATTTAATATTGTATTTTGTCTGTTTTTTGTTCATATTTATCAATTGTTTTTATACAGTGTCTTTACTAAAGCTGAGCTTAGCTGGGGAGACAGGATATTAAATAAATTTATTATTCCTTATTATGTAAGTACCACTGAATATAATTCAATAAAAATAACAACCACAAGTCTCTCTCTCAGTTTCTCACAGGAAACTTATGAGTCTTATTCTACACACTTAGTGAATTTATTGCACAACATTGTGCTTCCCCACTACTAGACTGTGTAGCGTGGGTTGTGTCAGCACCCGGGGGCAAGGCCAAGTAATTTAGCCCCCTAACCCTAACCTGCTGCCGCTGCCAGCTTCTTCTTGCTGCTGCCTGGTCTGGTCAGTGGGTCTCTCGCGCTCAGCCTCACAGCTAGCGCCGCTGCTACTATCCCTCCCCAGATGATCCGCCAGCTCTCTCCCCTCCCCTTCTGCCTTCTGCTTCCACCCCCTCCACAGTTTGGGCGCGATAGCGCTGATTCTCACAGCCAGCACTGCAGTGAGAGAAGTGATATTGAGGCTGAGTGCAGGCTGCGTGGCCCAGATATTGCGCCACGGTGTGGCTTCCCCCTGCACCCCCACTCATGCAGTCTGGATAGCTGACCTTGGTGAAGATTTGACGTTTTCATCCCCAAAAAGTTTTTGATTTGAGTTTCTACTGAAATGAGGCTACATTTTAATGTTGCATTTTAATCTTGTTTTTAAGTTGTATTTCAATCAATTGTTTTTATACTTGGTGTTAGCCACCCTGAGCCCGGTTTTGGCTAGGGAGGGCGGGGTATAAATAAAATTTATCATTATTATTATTAACCCGAGGTACCACTGTATATCAATTTAATAAAAAATCACAACCACAGAATCTCCTCTCTGGGATTTCACAGGGGAACTGAGTGAGTCTTAAACCTTTGCTTATCTAGCAACACATGGAATTTTATTTTGGTTACAATACTATTTCCTATTCTACCCCTGAGTCACAGTCCTTCCGAAAGGTCTCCCGGAGACTTTGTTTTCACCGTTTTCCCGCCTCGCCCTTGACAGATTGAATATTTCAACAACCAAATCATTGTGGACCTGGTGGAGGAGCCGCACAAGGGCATCATCGCTGTGCTGGATGAGGCCTGCCTGACTGGGGGGAAAGTCACCGACACCTTGTTCCTGGAGTCCATGAATGCCAGGCTTGGCAAACACCCACACTATACCAGCAGGAAGGTAAGGTAAAGGTAAAGGGACCCCTGACCGTTAGGTCCAGTCGTGGACGACTCTGGGGTTGCGGCGCTCATCTCGCTTTATTGGCCGAGGGAGCTGGTGTACAGCTTCCGGGTCATGTGGCCAGCATGACTAAGCCGCTTCTGGAGAACCAGAGCAGCGCACGGAAATGCCATTTACCTTCCCGCTGGAGTGGTACCTATTTATCTACTTGCACTTTGACGTGCTTACGAACTGCTAGGTTGGCAGGAGCAGGGACCGAACAACGGGAGCTCACCCCGTCGCGGGGATTGGAACCGCCGACCTTCTGATCGGCAAGTCCTAGGCTCTGTGGTTTAACACACAGCGCTACCCGCGTCCCTAAGGAGGGGATATCTCGAAGCAAAACGGAGGCAGCTCCCCACTCCAGAATTAATCTGAGCCTTGAAAAGCACATAGAGCTGGAAGGAAAAGAGCACCATTCTTCCAACTTCCTCCATTGACTCTATGGCTGGTTCAGCGCCGGATTTAGGTTTGATGAGGCCCTAAGCTACTGAAGGTAATGGGGCCCTTGAGATGTCCAGCTGTCCTTTGTCAACAACAAATTGTCGCTGTTTTTGTGTGTGTTACGTATATGCTATATGGTTATTTATGGACTTCATAGGTATCTAAAGCCTTTTGCACATGCAGAATGTAGGCACCCTATATATGTTGTTGTTGTTTAGTCGTTTAGTCGTGTCCGCCTCTTCGTGACCCCCTGGACCAGAGCATGCCAGGCACTCCTGTCTTCCACTGCCTCCCGCAGTTTGGTCAAACTCATGTTGATAGTGTCCCACCATCTCGTCCTCTGTTGTCCCCTTCTCCTTGCGCCCTCCATCTTTCCCAGCATCAGGATCTTTTCCAGGGAGTCTTCTCTTCTCATGAGGTGGTCAAAGTATTGGAGCCTCAGCTTCAGGATCTGTCCTTCCAGTGAGCACTCAGGGCTGATTTCCTTCAGAATGGATATGTTTGATCTTCTTGCAGTCCATGGGACTCTCAAGAGTCTCCTCCAGCACCAGAATTCAAAAGCATCCATTCTCCGGCGATCAGCATTCTTTAAGGTCCAGCTCTCACTTCCATACATCACTACTGGGAAAACCATAGCTTGAACTATACAGACCTTTGTGAGCAAACCAGTGATATTTTAGGGAGTAGGCGAGCAGGTCGGGCCCATGACTAGGTGCCTACACAACACAAAACGCTGCTGCTGTATGTAGGTTTGGTTTTATTTGTTTTTTATCTTATATTTTGGAAATGTACATCCAGGTTTTTTCCTCATTAATTTTTTTTGGGGGCCCCCAAGAGAGTGTGGGGCCCTAAGCTATAGCTTGTTTAGCTTATACGTAAATCCGGCACTGTTTAAGGGAGAGAAAGGCAATTTCCAGGGGAGCAGAGTTTAGCACCTTCTGAGGTAGCCTGTTCCACTGTTGAGGAATTCTTTCCGTCTATTTATTTCGATCTTTTCTATAGCCGTTTATGTGGTGTGGTTTTTTTAAAAAAATCTGAGTCGTTTACGGCAATACCTTAACACGGATAGAACATTGATAGAGCATTGCAAAAGAAAATCAAACAAAAAGTAACGCACATTGGAAGCTGCATCCTTGGCAGCAAAATAAAGATGTTCTTCAACATAAAGAAGTCGCAATCCAATGCAGAAATACAATGGAAAAACCCATGTGTTAGAAAGCATTGTTAGCAGCTGAGCAAAATCGCTGTGATCCAAGCGGCGCCCACACTCCACACCCCCCAACAGTGACTTCTCTAAACACAAACTCAGCGGCCTCCCACATACAGACGTCACTTTCCACCCTCCCAGCCATTGATACCCATATTAACAGAGCTACCTCCTCCAGAAGGAACCAAGAAGACCTAAACTTCAATAAAGAATGGGGAATTTTTAATAATTTATCTAGATCACTGTGAACCAAGCACCCCCAAACTCGGCCCTCCAGATGTTTTGGGACTACAACTCCCATCGTCCCTAGCTAATAATAATAATAATAATAAATTTTATTTATATCCCGCCCTCCCCAGCCAGAGCTGGGCTCAGGGCGGCTAACACCAGTAAAAACATAATAGGGGAAAAAGAGAGAGAGAGAGGAAAAACCCCAATTTAAAATACAGGTTAAAATGCAATTTAAAATGCAGCCTCATTTTAAAATAGCCGATAAATCAAGACCATAAGGGGAGGGAAACATGAGGGTCAGACTGAGTCCAAACCAAAGGCCAGGCAGAACAGCTCTGTCTTGCAGGCCCTGCAGAAAGATGTCAAGTCCCGCAGGGCCCTGGTCTCTTGTGACAGAGCGTTCCACCAAGTCGGGGCCAGTACTGAAAAGGCCCTGGCCCTAGTTGAGACCAGTCTAACCACCTTGTGACTTGGGACCATTATTATTAATTGTGAGGCTCAAAGCCCTTCAGCAGAAAACCAACAACAATTCCATTCCTTATTCTCTCTGTCTATATATAACATAGGGAGAAAGAGTCATTCTGCTGTTTCCATAGTTAAAACAAGGAGGAGTCATAAATTCTTGCTGGTGTTTTTCAAATCAACCGGCGATCTAGTAGATGCTGATCAACCTTTGCCCACCACCGCTGTAGACAAAAACCCCAGAATTAATAAGAATCACAAACGCCTCCACCCACCCCTTCGCTCTTGCCTTATGTGAATCTCTTTGTATATAAGAAACTAATAAGAGCCCTGCTGGATCAAGCCAGTGGCTCATAGAGTTCAGCATCCTGTGTCAGGTCATAGCTGTCAACATTTCCCTTTTTTTAAGGGAAATTCCCTTATTCCGAACAGGGTTCCTCGCAAGAAAAGGGAAAAGTTGACAGCTATGTGTCAGGTGTGTGTGCAGGAGCCAGGCCCTGTGACCAGTAGGGCTTTGCAGGACTGGGGCCTTCCTAAGTTTGTTCTGAAGAGGCAAGGCACAGGTGAGTCCGATTGGTAACTCACATCACCTGGTGGCAAGAGCTGGGAAGGGATTTAAGGACAGCATTTCCCTTTGGCTCTTTGCCACAGCAACACGTTCCTTGTCTTGCTGTGTTTGACTCCTTGCTTCTTGATCCTTGGATCCTCAGCTTCCTGACTCCTTGCTTCTTGATCCTCGGACCCCTGACTTCGTGACTCCTTGCTTCTTGATCCTCGGACCCCTGACTTCGTGACTCCTTGCTTCTTGATCCTCGGACCCCTGACTTCGTGACTCCTTGCTTCTTGATCCTCGGACCCCTGACTTTGTGCCTCCTTACTTCCTGACCCTCGGACCCTTGACTTCTTGACTCCTTGCTTCTTGATCCTCGGACCCTTGGCTTCTTGACTCCTGGCTCTCTGACCCTCGGACTCTTGGCTTCCTGACTTCTGGCTGCTGGACCCCCGTTCCTGCTCCCACCCCGCCATCTTGCCCCCAGTCCCGACATCCCCTCCCGGGACTTTGATCTCCCATGAACCGGACCGTGACACAAAGCAGAGACACCCGTGCTAGTAGCCATCAACAGCCTGATCTCATCCACGAATTTGTCCAATTGCTATTCAAGCCATTTTAAAGTTGGTGGCCATCACTGTGTCCTGTGGCAGGGAGTTCCGTAGATGAACCATGCTCTCTGTGGAGAAGTCCTTCCTATTTTCGCCTGCCAGTGTGAGAGCCAGTGTGGTGTAGTGGTTAAGTACGATAGACTCGTAATCTGGGGAACCGGAGTTCCGTTGTGAATGCAGCTGAATCATCTTTGCAGTGATATGTTTCAGTTTCATGTTGTGAATTGCCCTGTGATCTACAGTTATAGGGCGGTCAAATGAATGAATGAATGAATGTCTACTTCTTTCCTCTTGCCTGCAGCTCAATCCTGCTGACAAGTCCATGGATTTCGGACGCGATTTCCGCATTAAGCACTACGCAGGAGATGTCACGTGAGTTTTGCTCTGGCTTGAAGTTATACTCCATTATTTGTGGAAGGGGGCATGGGGTTTGTAATAATAATAATAATAATAATAATTATAATAATAATTATAATAATAATAAATAAATTATTATTTATACCCCGCCCATCTGGCTGGGTTTCCCCAGCCACTCTGGGCGGGTTCCAACAAAGTATTAAAATACAGTGGTCTGTTAAACATTAAAAGCTTCCCTAAACAGGGCTGCCTGCAGATGTATTCTAAAAGTCTGGTACAGTCATACCTCGGGTTGAAGTTGCTTCAGGCTGAGCGTTTTCGGGTTGCGCTCCACGGCAACCTGGAAGTAATGGAACGCGCTACTTCCTGGTTTCGCCGCTCGTGCATGCGCAGACACTCAAAATGACGTCACGCGCATGCGCAGAAGTGGTGAATCGCGACCCGCCCATGCGCAGATGCGGGTTGCGTTCGCTTCAGGATGCAAACAGGGCTCTGGAACGGATCCCATTTGCATCCAGAGGTACCACTGTAGTTGTTCTTCTCTTTGACATCTGCTGGGAGGGTGTTCCACAGGGCGGGCGCCACCACCGAGAAGGCCCTCTGCCTGGTTCCCTGTAACCTCACTTCTCGCAATGAGGGAAGCGCCAGAAGGCCCTCGGCGCTGGACCTCAGTGTCCGGGCAGAACGATGGGGGTGGAGACGCTCCTTCAGGTATACTGGACCAAGGCTGTATACCTGCGGTAGGGTAGGGTAGGGTAGGGTAGGGTAAGCCCGTGTATTGGTTAGAATGTCAAACTAGTGCCTGGGAGAGACCAGGGTTCGAATCCCCACTCAGTGTCAAGTCAGGGACTGGTTAGACATGGAGGAGTGGTGCGAGGAACCAGCCGGGGAACCGCCAAGGGAAGAGGGTTCAAATCCCGGGGAGCGGTGGTGGGACAGTCATGAGTGGTCAGAGGGAGAAAAGGGGGAAGACTGGAAGGAGGAGGCGTCACAAGCATGGGAAGCTACACAGCAAGCAAACCAGCAGGGTTTTTACAAGCCTCTACGGATCTGTGTTTCAGGTACTCCGTGGAGGGATTTCTGGACAAGAACAAGGACACGCTTTTCCAGGACTTCAAGCGGTTGATGTACAACAGGTATGTCAGCCTGAGCCAGGTGACGCTTCCAGAATGACCTTGATCAAACGGCAATATATATCAGGTCAGAACATTTGTCCGCTGTGCCTTCCCCGACCAAAGGGAGAGAGTTCACTCTTTATTGTCGGAGATAACACTTGCTTCTGCAGTTCCGGATACTGACAAACCTTTTAGAATATTCCTTTCCACCTTAAGAGGAACAGGCTGTGTGTGTCACATGCCTGTTTACATTCCAGCACAGTTTGCTGGGAACTTCCGTTTGTGTATAGCTTTTGCTTATGCTGCTTGCTTGGACATGAAGGGGAGAAGACATGTTTTTCCCTTTGTCCTGATGCTGAATAAAATGCCTATAAACACAGGTGGCGCTGTGGGTTAAACCACAGAGCCTAGGACTTGCCGATCAGAAGGTCAGCGATTCGAATCCCCGCGACGGGGTGAGCTCCCGTTGCTCGGTCCCTGCTCCTGCCCACCTAGCAGTTCGAAAGCACATCAAAGTGCAAGTAGATAAATAGGTACCACTCCGGCAGGAAGGTAAACGGCGTTTCCATGCGCTGCTCTTGTTCGCCAGAAGCGGCTTCGTCATGCTGGCCACATGACCCGGAAGCTGTACGCCGGCTCCCTCGGCCAATAAAGCGAGATGAGCGCCACAACCCCAGAGTCGGTCACGACTCGACTTAATGGTCAGGGGTCCCTTTACCTTTACCTTCTTCCAGAAGGCCGAAGCTGAAAGAGATCATTTCCGGGGTGGCTTCCAGAACCCACTTGAATTACAGTGGTACCTCGGGATGCGAATGGGATCCGTTCCGGAGCCCCGGTCACATCCTGAAGCGAACACAACCTGCATCCGCGGGTTGCATTTCGCCGCTTCTGTGCATGCACGTGATGTCATTTTGACCATCTGCACATGCGTGTGGTGAAACCCAGAAGTAACGTGCTCCGTTTCCTCCGGGTTGCCGTGGAGCGCAACCCGGAAATACTTAACTTGAAGCACATTTATCCCGAGGTAAGACTGTACCTTCTTAGTGCCTTCTGCACTAAGAAATGCAAACGGACACATCCAGGACAGACTGATGGGAGCTGGAGTTGGGTATGCTTTCTGGGCTGCTGAGAAGCCTTCCCAGTGGTGCACAGCGTTTAACTGGAAATGTTGGGGCTTGAACCCGTGACCACGTGACCCTTAAGCCCCTAGGGTGGATGAGTTGCGCCCTGCAAGTTCTTAGCTCCTCTGCTACCTGTGATGTTCACCCACGCATGGTCACCAGTGGGCCATGCCCAGAGAGGGTGAGGGTTAAGGAACGGTTGGCGCTGGGAGCGGCTTGCACCCCCTCACTCCCGCTCTGTGCTCTTTCCCCAGCGCAGACCCCGTCCTCCAGGACATGTGGCCAGAGGGCCAGCAAAGCATCACCGAGGTCACCAAGAGGCCCCTGACGGCTGCCACCCTCTTCAAAAACTCCATTGTGGCGCTGGTGGAGAACTTGGCGTCGAAGGTAACTTCAGATAACACCCACACACATCCCTGCGCAACACACACTCTGTAATTGAAATTATACTCAGTATTGATCCAGAGCAGATTCCAATGTATATGTGCTGGGCCCGGGGGTAACCCGTGAAACGTGGTCCAGAACCTGTCCAGAATCCATAGGTTCGGCTAGGAGTCAGTCCGACAGGGCCAAGGCAGGACACAAGGCAGGAAACCAGGCAAGGACAGGTACAGGATTTCAGGCAGGATCCAGCATACAGCAATGTTGCTCCTGCAACCTGGGGCGGGGTCCGACAGCCTTTTATCTCTGACGGGGTAGCGGCCGGTCCTGATTCCCCAGCGACTCACCTCCCTGTTCCGCCTGGAGGCGAGCACTCCTCCTGTGAGTACTCAGGTCTCTCCTTCTCTCAGACCTGAGTCTCTGCAGCTCAGGAGACGTCAGTGGGTGACTAGACCCAGGGGCTGCCTCAGCCTCCCCTGACCCAACCGGTAGTGGAGCAGCTGTAAGTGATGGCCCAGCTGGAGGCAACGAGGTCATCCCCGCATCTGGAGCCAGGGCAGGCTCAGGCCCCTGACTCGGCCCAGCTGGTGCTTGTTGCAGGGGAACCTGTGCAGACTGGGGCTCTTCAGGATCAGACCCCAGGCTTGGTTCAGATGATGCCTGAGGCAAAGGATCCGGAGCAGACTGAGACGCCTCTGGTTCCAAGTCTGAGCCTGAGTCCCAGGCCATCACAGTATAATTAGCAGAGTAAAAACTTAATTACGTTGCAGGATTCCCAAAAAATAGACCAGAGTCAATGAATATTTGATCCAGCAGAGCTTTACTGCTACTGAAGGTATATAATGGTCACAAATCCATAAGAAATCCAGTTGCAGCAGACTTAATTTAAAACTTACAATAACTTATAATACAGTGGTACCTCGGGTTAAGTACTTAATTCGTTCCGGAGGTCCGTTCTTAACCTGAAACTCTTCTTAACCTGAAGCACCACTTTAGCTAATGGGGCCTCCTGCTCCCGCCGTGTCGCCAGAGCACGATTTCTGTTCTCATCCTGAAGCAAAGTTCTTAACCTGAAGCACTATTTCTGGGTTAGCGGAGTTTGTAACCTGAAGCGTATGTAACCTGAACTGTATGTAACCTGAGGTACCACTGTAAGTCTAAACCTTAACACTACGTACAGAACACCACACAAGAAAGAAAGAAAGAAAGAAAAAGAAAAAGAAAGAAAGAAAGAAAGAAAGAGAAAGTGAAAGCCAGGCTCCTTCTGTCTTTATTATTATAGACAGCATAACCTTGACAGAAAGAGATAACATCACTAGTTTAAGGCAGCTGTACTCAGCTTCTCTGAAGGAATAACCCAAACATCATGAACCTTCTGCTTGCTGCTTTCACATGCAGCAGCTTTGAGAACCCTCTTGAATTAATTAGAATAGGAAAGATCTCTACACATCAGAGCAGTACTTTCTGAACCAAGAAATGCAAACTGACACACACCCTCCCTGAAGAAGGGAAGGGGTTTGGTTTGGTTAATGGGGAATCTTCCCAATCCGCACTTCCCAAAACAGCTTGCAACCCGAAAAACAGCCATCCTTCTAAATTTGCCCTCCTCTGAATTTTGCAATGCGCTTCTCCGGCTGATTAACATGTACAAAAGCGCCTGGACGAGGGCTGCTAGCCGGGACGGCTCTGTCCTGCCGCCGCAGCTGGAGGCTGCAATGTTTCTGATTACCAGTTGTTGGAAACCACCACAGGGGAGAAACACACTTGCGCCTGGGTCCTTGTTGGTTTCCCCACAGACATTTGGTTGGCCACTGTGAGAACAGGATGCTGGACTCAATGGGCTCCCACTGGCCTGATCCAGCCGGGTTCGTCTTATGTTCTTACATGCTTTGTTTTCTTATCAATAAATACATGTAAGCCAAAAGGAACAGAAAAATAACTGAGCTTCTGCACTGAAGTACCGGCTTCATGGGGAGGAGGCAACAAACCCCTCTTCACAGCCTAGGACCCTCGTACCTACGGGACCGCCTCTCCCAGTATGCCCTGCAGAGGACCTTAAGGTCCATAAATAGCAATACCCTAGGGACGCGGGTGGCGCTGTGGGTTAAACCACTAGCCTAGGGCTTGCCGATCAGAAGGTCGGCGATTCGAATCCCTGCGGCGGGGTGAGCTCCTGTTGCTCGGTCCCTGCTCCTGCCAACCTAGCAGTTCGAAAGCACCTCAAAGTGCAAGTAGATAAATAGGTACCGCTCTGGCGGGAAGGTAAATGGCGTTTCTGTGCGCTGCTCTGGTTCTCCAGAAGCGGCTTAGTTATGCTGGCCACATGACCCGGAAGCTGTATGCCGGCTCCCTCGGCCAGTAAAGCAAGAAGAGCGCCGCAACCCCAGAGTCAGCCACGACTGGACCTAATGGTCAGGGGTCCCTTTACCTTTACCTTTTAGAGGTCCCGGGCCCTAAGGAAGTCAGTTTGCCTCAACCAGAGCCCAGGGCCTTTTCAACACTGGCTCCGGCCTGGTGGAACGCTCTGTCTCATGAGACCAGGGCCCTGCAGGATCTGATTTCTTTCCACAGGGCCTGTAAGACAGAGTTGTTCCGCCTGGCCTTTGGCTTGGAATCAACTTGATTCCCTCTTTCCTCTTTCCTTTCTCCTTCTGTGATGGAACTCCTATTTGGGGACTTCCCTGGCCTTTTTCTGGACCACGTAGGACCAGTCTGGATAGTTGGCCTTGGTGAAGATTTGACGTTTTCATCCCCCAAAAAGTTTTTGATTTGAGTTTCTACCGAAATGAGGCTGCATTTTAATGTAGTATCTTTTTTTTTAGTCAATTGTTTTTATACCTGGTGTTATCTGCCCAGAGCCCGGCCTTGGCTGGGGAGGGCTGGGTATAAATATTATTATTATTATTATTATTATTATTATTATTATTATTATTAGGGCCACCTCCCCATCTCCATTTGCACTCTCTGTCCCTCAATTCCTGCAACAGCCGGTCCTGAGAAGGCGCTGGCAAGAGCAGGCCGCCGGGGGTCCTCAGCTGCCATGGTAACCGTTGGCAGGCACCAAGGCTCCCCCTGCTTTCCTTGGCTCCCGTCTCCCTCGCCGGAAACCAAAATTAGATGCCTCTGGGAGAGGAATCGGAGCGCCGTGGAGAGACAGGAGAGCCCAGATGGTCCCCCTTTGCGTGCCACCGGGGCTCTATAAATAAGCCTGTTGTGATTATCGATCGCATTTCCAGCTTCTGCTCCTCCAGGGAACCCTCCTCCATTTTCGAACACTCCTCGGAAGTCCGACAGCTTCCATTGTGTTTTTCTCAATTGAATTTGCAGACCGCCCTTTGCGCCTTGGTTTTTGAATGTTTTGGAACTCAAAACGGTCTTCCAGAACGGATTATGTTTGAAAACCTCGGATTGCAAACTTAATTCATTCCGGAGGTCCGTTCTTAACCTGAAACCGTTCTTAACCTGAGGTGCGCTTTCGCTAATGGGGCCTCTCATTGCCGCCGCGCCGTCAGCACGCAATTTCTGTTCTCATCCTGGGGCAAAGTTCTTAACCCGAGGTACTACTTCCGGGTTAGCGGAGTTTGTAACCCGAAGCGTCTGTAATCTGAGGTGTTTGTAACCCGAGCCTCTGGATACGAACGGGATCCGTTCCGGAGCCCCATTCGCATCCTGAAGTAAACATAAGACGTGACTGTGCGCCTGCGCGTGCGTGGGTCACCTTTCGCCGCTTCTGCGCATGCACGTGACGTCATTTTGAGCGTCTGCGCATACGCACATACCATGGCTGCTTCTTGCCCCTTTTTACCCATGCAACTACTCTGTCTGCTAGGCAGAGAGAGGGGGGGAGAGACGGCCAACTGGCTGGGGATGTGGGCTCAGAATATAAGAAGAACCTGTGCACAGAATTCCAGGTGTGGCACTGATCTACGTTCTGCCCTGCCCAAGAGCCTAGATATTGCTGCGTTCCAAATCCACTTGTTTTTGTTCTCCACCAGCTATATATTTATCTGTCTCCTTTATACCCCACAACGTCCAACACCGTCCAGGTGGCGTACGTGGTTCTTCTCCCTCCCCTCCTTTACCCAACCCCCCAAAACAACAACCTTGCAAGGCAGGCTAGGCCGAGGGCGCGCTTTGCGATGACCGAGCACACATATCATTTCCAACAGTCATTTAACATATTTTCTTATCTTATACAATGTTTTTGGACTTCCATCAACCTCACCTGAAGATTTTTCAGTCTTTATCACAGTCTACATTTCTTAATTTCTCTATTACTTGTAATTGTCCTTAACTAATAGCTCTCTTCGTAGTCTTCATTGCAATATTTCGCATAGCCCTCCTCACAAAACTTCTTGCAGTCCTACTAGCGTAATCTGTTTATGACAGTTGCTTTTCAAATAATTCAAATATTTACGCCAGTCCTCTAAGAATATCTGATCCCGCAGGTTTCGAATCCTTCCTGTCATCTTATCTAATTCTGCATAGTCCATTAATTTCATTTGCCACTCTTCTTTCGTCAGAATTTCTTCTTGTTTCCATTATTGTGCCAGTAATATTCTTGCTGCTGTTGTTGCATATAAAAACAATTTATTGCCTTGTCTATTAATGTCCTCCCCTACAATGCTTCTGGTTTTTTAAATAAATGTATATTTCAGCATCTTTTTCATTTCATTATATATCATTTCCCAGAAGCTTTTCGTTTTCTTACATTCGCACCACATGTGATAAAAAGATCCTTCTTTTTCTTTACATTTCCAACATTTATTACTTACTTTATACATTTTGGCTAATTTCACTGGTGTAATATACCATCTATACATCATTTTCATCACATTTTCTTTCAAAGCATTGCAAGCTGTAAATTTTAATCCTTCCACAATTTTTCCTAATCTTTTAACTGTATATTATACCCAAAATCCTTGGCCCAATGTATCATAACCGATTTTACCTCTTCATCTTTCAAATGCCACTCCAGCAGCAATTTATACATTTTAGACAATATTTTACAATCATTGTTCAATACTTCTATTTCAAATTTTGATTTATTATAAGCAAATCCATCCTAATCCAACACTCTAACTGTAGCACCCTGCTTGTGGTTAATGCTTAGCTGGAATGAAATATTCAACGCAGCAATAGAGAAATTAAAATAATAATTTATTTGTCAGACAAATAAATGAGAGACACAGTGGTATATGGATACCAAAGCTCTGCCCACTCCAGCCCTGATGGCCAGCACTTATATTTCCTCAGCCCAGCCCCCTTGCTCCTCCTTTGGCTGCCTCTGTCCAATCAGCCTGGTTGAAATTCCTATTGGCTGTTTGCTAGAACCAATCATAAAAGATACACCCATTTCCTATTACCTTTTATGGGAGACAAAGAGCTATATTTCCTTCTATCCATAAATGGCAGACAAGTAGCCATATATCTTACATTTGCCTCGACAAGGCACCTTAATTACCAGATCACCTTTTGCCCCTGCATTCCAAAACAAATGGCTAAAACAAATGGCTCATGGTATTAAATTCTATCTAAACAGAGATCTTGGGTTCACATTCTCACACACCATCAATGAAATAAGAATCTAACATAAGAATCTAACATTTCTTACTTTCTAAATCCTTTGCATAATTACATTAAGCCAACAAATCTCATACATAACATAGATAGCTTTTTAGAAGAAAAGGCCTTTGCAAAGTAAAAAAGGAACTCAGTAAAAACAGCTTCAAAAGAAGCCTCTTCAGTTTACACCCCCCTTTCCCAGCCAGCTGCTTTTCCCATTAGCTCTTCCCAAAATTTATTGCCCTTTAACTCTCTCAGTATACCTTAAACCTTAGGAAAATATGGCTAGAGTCTGATGGGAGGCACATGGTATTATTTTCTGTTAAACAATAAATCTTACTATTTACCAACTCTTAATTAGTGTTTTTGCAGCTTGATTGTATTCTGTAATATGTAGGGTCAGTGTAACCTTTGCTCCCAGCCTGTAATTCCCTTTTACAACTTTGAGAAACTTTTCTCCTGCTACTGCTATAAATCAGGGGGGGCCCTTGTTCAGGAGAGCAGGAAGATAAACAACTGCCAAAGTACCTAGCCAGCTGGTTTCTGCCTGGCATGAAACATACAAACATTTGCAAATATATCTTTAAGCTTATTTTAAAATACAGGCCTTGATCAGATGCCTCATAACCACTGTGCCACGCTGCCTCTCCAGGAGACAGAAATCCTCAGTGAGTTGCTGGCTCTCTGCAAGCATTTGGGAAGGGGGGGAGTGTCGCCGAACCTCACCCATTCTTCTTTGATTCCTTTCCTGCCTCTTCCGAACAGGAGCCGTATTACGTCCGTTGCATCAAGCCAAACGACCAGAAGTCGCCCTTGCTCTTTGACGCGGAGCGCTGCCGTCATCAGGTGTCGTATTTGGGACTACTTGAGAACGTGCGTGTCCGGAGGGCAGGATTCGCCTACAGGCAGCCTTACGACCGCTTCCTCCTCCGGTAAGCACCACCGCCAGGCCTTCGGTACAATCAGAGCACCGCAAATTTTCCAAAGGTGGCAAAATTTTCCTTCCCCGCTAGCCCCCTGGGCCTGGCCCGATACACTCAATGGCAAAAATCAGTGGAAGTAGTTTCTCAAGGTAGGAATATTGGGGCGTGGTAAGTAAGGAAAAGGGACGCGGTTAGCACTGTGGTCTAAACCACAGAGCCTAGGGCTTGCCGATCAGAAGGTCAGCGATTCGAATCCCCGCGACGGGGTGAGCTCCCGTTGCTCGGTCCCTGCTCCTGCCAACATAGCAGTTTGAAAGCACGTCAAAGCGCAAGTAGATAAATAGGTACTGCTCCGGCGGTAAGATAAACGGCGTTTCCGTGCACTGCTCTGGTTCGCCAGAAGCGGCTTAGTCATGCTGGCCACATTTTTTTAAATAAGTTTTTTTATTCAAAATTAAAACGAAACATATCATCCTTGTTTCCCCCCCATTTTTCCTCCCTCCCCCCACCCTCCCACACAAAACCCACCCACCCCAACCCCCCGACTTCCCTCAGTTCCAGTCTTTGGTTTCTCTGAGACTGCTGTTTTCTGCATGTTACAAAGTTGTATAGATCCTCAAACTATTTAGCTGATTATTATCAATAAAAAGTTTGTGAATGTTTATTCAAAACCTGCCAAGGAGTCCAGTTCACTTTGTTGTGTCTTCAAATACTTTGTAAATGGTTCCCATTCATCTTTAAAGTCACAGTTATCCTAGTCCCGTAGCTTATATGTCAGTTTTGCCAGTTCTGCATAGTCCATCCATTTTTCTTGCCATGATTCTTTAGTTGGGGTTTCTTCAGTCTTCCATCCTTGTGCTACCAGAACTCTCGCGGCCGTTGTATTCATGCTGGCCACATGACCCGGAAGCTGTACGCCGGCTCCCTCGGCCAATAAAGCGAGATGAGCGCCGCAACCCCAGAATCGGCCACGACTGGACCTTATGGTCAGGGGTCCCTTTACCTTTAAGTAATCAAAATATAATGAGACCTGGGAGAGGGGCCCCAATTTCCTCTCCCAGAATGAGGTGGCGCAGTCCCGAAGTGGCAGCTTTCCCATTTTTGCAATGAACTCCCCTGCAAAGAAACCAATAACAATGATCCATGCAAGCAGAAAGCTAGCACGGCGGTTAGTGGCCTGAGCTACTACCTTTCTCCTTGCGTGGAGTGTCAGTTTTGCCTGCAGCTCTGCGAAAAGGCTTTTGGGATGGTGCTCTCCCATCCCGCAGCCAGCATTTCCTTGACTCTTATCTCAAGCCAGGCCAGTCACCGGTAAATTCCTCCCTTCCCAGGTATAAGATGACCTGTGAGTACACATGGCCCAACCACCTCATGGCTACCGACCGGGAGGCCACGCAGGCCTTGATGGAGCAGCACGGCTTCCAGGAAGACGTGGCCTACGGACACACCAAGATCTTTATCCGCACGCCCCAGACGCTTTTCACCCTGGAGCAAGAACGAGCCCAGCTGATCCCCATCATTGTGCTGCTACTGCAAAAGGTACCCGTGTTTCCGTTTACACCGGTTGCAAGTATGGACAGGAGGAATGTGGGGCCCGATTCCACACCTGAAGGGGCTGCTGTACCTCCAGGTCAATAGTATCCGAGGCAACACGATGACCAAATACAATGATACGGTATCAATATACACTCTTTATATAATATGAAATACTGTATTTTTTGCTCTATAAGACTCACTTTTTCCGTCCTAAAAAGTAAGGGGAAATGTGTGTGCGTCTTATGGAGCGAATGCAGGCTGCACAGCTATCCCAGAAGCCAGAACAGCAAGAGGGATTGCTGCTTTCACTGCTCAGCGATCCCTCTTGCTGTTCTGGCTTCTGAGATTCAGAATATTTTTTTTCTTGTTTTCCTCCTCCCAAAACTAGATGTGTCTTGTGGTCTGGTGTGTCTTATAGAGCGAAAAATACGGTATATGAAATCACGTAAACAGAAAACTTACGAATCTCTGAAAGTCACAAAATATGCACTCTTAATGGATTCTCTTGAAACAAAAAACCAAAGTTTTATAAGTCTCTGAAAGTCTTTGAAGACTATGCAAGTCTCTGAAAGAAGCAATGAATCAGATTCTTATCTGGGGGAAACAGGCTGTAAAGCTTTGTTTATGGAGTCCAACGCTGCCGAAGTCGTTCGCAAACAGACATAGTGAACGGTGATTCCGGATATTCTCACTGTTTCGTGGAATTCTTCTTCAGCACAGCAGAAGGATACAGAAATTCTTCAAAAACCCATCTATAGGGTGAATGGGAAAGTATGAACAACAATTGCTATGGAGCAGTGGTCATAAAGGTATGTATATAAAGAGTGTATATTGATATTGTATCATTTTATTTGGTCATCATGTTGCCTTGGATATTACTGACTATTGTTTGCAACACAGGGGTTAAATTGTTTGGTACCTCCTGGTCAAAACAGGGCAACGGAGTCTTGAACCTGGGACCTTTTGCCTGCAAGGCAGACACTCTGCCATTGAGCTACTCCCCTGATGGGTTCCTTAGAGGGAGTTTTCCCTGCCCTCCATCAAGGATGGAGCCTGGGAAGCTTCTGCATGCAAGGCAAGGCTGTTCTGCCCCTGAAATCTGGACATAGGTGGCGCTGTGGTCTAAACCACTGAGCCTCTTGGGCTTGCTGATCAGAAGGTCGGCGGTTCAAATTATTATTATTATTTATTCAACTTATACACCACCCTATAACCGGAGGTGGTATGCGGGTGGCGCTGTGGGTTAAACCACAGAGCCTAGGGCTTGCCGATCAGAAGGTTGGCTGTTCGAATCCCCGCGACGGGGTGAGCTCCCATTGCTCGGTCCCTGCTCCTGCCAACCTAGCAGTTCGAAACACGTCAAAGTGCAAGTAGATGAATAGCTACCACTCCGGCGGGAAAGTAAACGGCGTTTCCGTGTGCTGCTCTGGTTCACCAGAAGTGGCTTAGTCATGCTGGCCACATGACCCGGAAGCTGTACGCCGGCTCCCTCGGCCAATAAAGCGAGATGAGCGCCGCAACCCCAGAGTCGGTCACGACTGGACCTAATGGTCCCTTTACCCTTTACCTTTATACCCGGAGGTCTCAGGGCAGTTCACAACAAGATCACAACCTAGTAAATGAAACCAAAAGCAATAACCCAATAACTCTCACGCACCTCCAAGTCACATTCTAAAAGGGTGTTGGATGTCAATAAGATCAACCAAAGGCCTGGTTAAAAAGGAATGTTTTTGCCTTGCGCCTAAGGGTGTATAGTGAAGGCGCCAGATGAACTTCCCTGGGGAGTTCCCTGGGGAGTTCCATAGGCGGGGAACCACTGCAGAGAAGGCCCGTTCGAATCCCCGCAACGGGGTGAGCTCCCGCTGTTCTGTCCCAGCTCCTGCCAACCTAGCAGTTCAAAGCACACCAGTGCAAGTAGATAAATAGGTACCACCGCGGCAGGAAGGTAAATGGCATTTCCGTGCGCTCTGGTTTCCGTCACGGTGTCCCGTTGCGTCAGAAACGGTTTGGTCCTGCTGGCCACAGGACCCAGAAAGCTGCCTGTGGACAAACGCCGGCTCCCTCGGCCAGAGAGTGAGATGAGCGCCACACCCCACAGTCGCCTTTGACTGGACTTAACCATCCAGGGTTCCTTTACTTTTTACATTTTTTTCCGGGAGGCCGGGGGCAGGGAGAGTTTGGTGGTGGTGGTGGGGTGGGGTGGTTGCCATGGCTTGGCTGGCCCTGATTTGACTCGTCCGTCCCATGCAGGCCTGGAGGGGCGCCCTGGCCCGCAAGCGCTGCCGTTACCTGCGAGCCACCTACACCATCATGTCTTACTACAAGCGCCACAAGGTGAAGTCTCACCTGCTGGAGCTGGTGGAGAGGTTTCAGGCAGTACGCAGCATGGCGGACTACGGCAAGGGCGTGGAGTGGCCGGAGCCGCCAGCCGTGCTGGCTCAGTTCCAGGAGAACAGCAAGCTCATCTTCCGCAGGTAACAGCAGAGGGCGCCGTGCTGTGCCCAAATACCTTTTCGATTGGCGGAGCCTCTGGCAGATCTTGAGTTCAGATCTGCGGCGGTTCAGACGCAAAGATTATACGCCGCTTGTGTTTTGCTCCGAGAAGGCCCCCTGAAATGATTGGGTATGGCTGACTTGGACCTCTTCGTTTCAGAGCAAAACAGATCTGGATAGCACCCGCCCATGCCGCGTGGGCCAAGCCCAGCCAAGCAGACTCCGGCTGCACCTACACTCACCTTTTAAACATTGTTAGAACGATACTAAACAATATTGTTCCAAAAAACCCAAGACATTTGGTTTCTCTTTCGCTTCCTTTGCCGCATGTCAGTCAGTCAGTCAGTTTTATTCCACATAGCCAAAGGCTGCCGCAATGTACACAGAATCATTCAACAATTAAAAGAAAATATACTGGATTGATACAAAAAAACTTAAAACATTTATATTATCAAGACATTACCTACTCTAAACAGAGCTATAAAAGTACCTTAATATACAAGTTAAGACATTAAACAATAAAATTTATAAGCTAAAATTATCACATGGCCGCTAATATATTAAAAAATTAATGTTAATTAATACAATGTGCAATTATATTCGGAGTTTGGTGATAAAGACAGAATATAGCTTGATGTAGGTAGGGTCAAATAAATTCATCTCCTTTACAGTTGGTGGCTATCTTGGCTATATAATTTGCTCTAATTTTCCTAGCGGCAGTTGCAAAGAGTGCTACACGCCAGGTCACATACTTCTCTGTGTCTGCGAGGAGATATAAAATCATGTCAGAGGGGTCCTGGTCAGGGGTCCTTGTCCTTATAGGTGCTAAAAATCGTTCTCTTGCTTTGTTATATAAGGGGCAGTGCGATCTACCGTATGATCTTTGCCGTATGATCTACCTGGTTTGTGGGGGGAGGGGAGCTCTTGATCACCCCCTGGCGTCACATTTTAATAATGCAGTTTTAACTTTGAAAAAGAATGTCATGTGGCTATACAGTGGAACCTTGGTTCTTGAGCTGAATCCGTTCTGGAAGCCCGTTTGACTCCCAAAACAATTCGAAAACCAAGGCGCGGCTTCCGATTGGCTGCAGGAGCTTCCTGCACTCAACCGGAAGCCGTGGAAACTGCGTCAGACGCCCGGTGTCCAAAAAACATTTGCAAAACTGGAACGGTTAACTTCTGGGTTTTCGCCATTCAGGAGCCCGTTTGTTCGTCAACTAAGCCGTTCGGGAAGCAAGGGTTGGACTGTATAGTTACCAGAACCTTAACTCTTTTTTAGCGTTAAAAACCACATGTGTAGATCCCTCCGCTCTCTCTCTTGTAGAATAAAGTTCTTCCTGATGTTCAGTCGGAACCTCTCTCTCAGCTTCTCCCGGGATCTCTGAGGTTACAGGGAACCAGACAGAGGGCCTTCTCGGTGGTGGCGCCCACCCTGTGGAACGCCCTCCCTTCAGATGTGAAGGAAATAAGCAGCTATCTTCTTTTTAAAAGACATCTGAAGGCAGCCCTGTTTAGGGAAGTTTTTAATATTTAGTGCTGTATTGTTTTTAACACTTGATTGGAAGCCGCCCAGAGTGGCTGGGGAAACTCAGCCAGATGGGCGTGGTATAAATAATAAATTATTATTATTATTATTATTATTATTTCTCCAGGTGGCGAGCCAGACAGATCGTGAAGAACATCCCTCCCTCCGACATGGACCAGATCAAGGCCAAAGTGGCAGCCCTGGATGTCCTGCAAGGCCTGCGGAAGGACTGGGGCTGCTCCAGGAGCTGGGGGAGGAACTACTTGGTCTCGGTAAGTGTTTCCGGAAGTGGAGGCGAGAAGTCGTTGCCCTGCCATGTCTGCATCCTCCTGCGCAGTTGGTGGCTGGTGGCCCTTGGGAATGGCAGAGAGAGAAGGGGGAGAGCCCAACTGTAGGCGGAGCCAGAGTCAGTGACAAGCAGGGCCAGGGCCCAATGACCAGGCAGGGCCAAATGATCCTGCTTTTGTCCCCACCCTCCTCCCCGCTGAGTCGCGCAAGCAGCAGCTGGTGTCGGAAGCGAGCCTGCAATAAATCACACTGAGGAGGCGAAGTTAACCGTTTACTGGAAAATACACATCGAAGCAGTTCATGGCGTTAAAAACCGAAGGAAGGGAAAACCGGGCATCAGTCGATGGTTGTGGAAGGACTGCTGTCTTGCTCGTGAGTTGGGGGCCAAACGAAGCAAACCTCTCCCACCCAGGGCCTTGCAGAGCCAGGCAGAGGCCCGGGCCAGGCAGATAATGTGCCCCCCTTTTTTTACCCTGGGGATAACTGAAGTCTTATAAATAAGTATATAAATAATTTTGTGAATATGCTGACCAAGGCCCCTTTTGGAATAGGAGGCCCGGGCCAAGTGGCCCATATGCGCCCCCCCCTCTGTCTGGGCCTGCTCCCACTTCCCACCCCCACCCCCTTTACACTTTTTGGATGTTGCCTTCCAGTTTCCATAGTAACTGCAGAGCTATTGAAAAAGCCCAACCTCCTCCTCCTCCTCCTCAGCTCATCCATTTCCCCCCACACACACTCTGCAACCCCCCCCCCCGTGATAAAACCTCTCTTCCCTTCTCCTCTACAACCCCTGCCTCACCTGAATCAGCGCCCCCTCCTCCCAAATTCAGAAGAACCTTACGATTCAGCATTTTACTAGCCTTGGGGGAATAACAGAATCATAGAATTGGAACGGACCCCCAGGGGCCATCTATTCCAACCCCCTGCAATGCAGGAATTGCAACCCAAGAATCCCCCACAGATGGCCACCTGACCTCTGCTTTACTCTTCCTAAAAGTTGCTGAGAGACCCCCTGTTTCACTCACAAAGCTACAATTCCCAGAGTGGTCTCCCAAGCAAATCCCTCTTCTCAGAGGACTCTGGGAACTGTAGTCTCCTCACAACTATCAGCACCCTTTTAACAAACTACAGTTCCCAGCATTCTTTGGTCTTGGTGGGGGGGAAGCCAAGGCTGTTTAAAGTGGCGTCATACTGCTTTAACAATATGGTGTAGGGCTTGTTTTTGGCTGCAATCTCTACCTGCAGTTGTATTCTCGGCCGCCGAGACCATATAACACCGGTTTTGAAAGACCTACACTGGCTCCCAGTACGTTTCCGAGCACAATTCAAAGTGTTGGTGCTGACCTTGAAAGCCCTAAACGGCCTCGGTCCAGTATATCTGAAGGAGCGTCTCCACCCCCATCGTTCAGCCCGGACACTGAGGTCCAGCGCTGAGGGCCTTCTGGCGGTTCCCTCCCTGCAAGAAGCCAAGTTACAGGGAACCAGGCAGAGGGCCTTCTCGGTGGTGGCGCCCGCCCTGTGGAACGCCCTCCCAGCAGATGTCAAAGAGAAAAATAACTACCGAACTTTTAGACGACATCTGAAGGCAGCCCTGTTTAGGAAAGCTTTTAATGTTTAATATGTTATTGTATTTTAATATTCCATTGGAAGCCGCCCAGAGTGGCTGGGGAAACGCAGCCAGATGGGCGGCGTATAAATGATAAATTATTATTATTATTATTATTATTATTATTCTCTAGTATTTGGTGCAAGAGCATCGTGATTGGAACAGGGAAAGCTAGCAAAAATCAGCTGAGGGAGGGAAGCTCTAGATTTGTGGTTCCCAAGTTTTCTGGATCCATAAACTCTTTTCCCGATGCCCCTTACCCTACCATATAAAAAGCGTTATTGAGGTAGCTCAGTTGGTAGAGCATATGAGACTTTTTATCTGAGGGCCACGAGTTCGAGTCCACGTTGGGTGAAGTTCCAGCGTTGCGGGGAGTTGGACCAGATGAGGCTTTTGGTGCCTATGGGATGATTCCTCTCTGAATTAGGGGTTTGTGTGACCCGCTAAGGAAGGTAATGACAAAGGAAAATTCAAAACAGGAGCAATTAATTGCACGTTTATTCAAAACCCAATTAGAACTCTTCAGTTTAATTCATTCAACAAAACTGACAGACTTGATCCAGGCATACCAGACTTTTCAAAGGCTGAGGGTCAGTTATACCTCCAGTATATACCCCCCCTCGGATGCTGGTGGCGCTGTGGGTTAAACCACAGAGCCTAGGACTTGCCGATCAGAAGGTCGGTGGTTCGAATCCCCGCAGCGGGGTGAGCTCCCGTTACTCGGTCCCAGCTCCTGCCAACCTAGCAGTTCGAAAGCACACCAAAAAGTGCAAGTAGATAAATAGGTACCACTCTGGCGGGAAGGTAAACGGCGTTTCCGTGCACTGCTCTGGTTCGCCAGAAGCCGCTTAGACCGTGCTGGCCAGATGACCCGGGCTGCCACGCCTGGCGCTCCGGCCAATAAAGCTGCAAGCGTTTGCCTGGCCCTTTAGGTGGGCTCTGGTTCGCCAGAAGCCGCTTAGTCATGCTGGCCACATGACCCGGAAGCTGTACGCCGGCTCCTCCGGCCAATAAAGCAAGATGAGCGCTGCAACCCCAGAGTCGTCTGCGACTGGACCTTATGGTCAGGGGTCCCTTTACCTTTTTATATACCCCCCTGATGCCCCCTTGCCTTTTAGTGGCTCCCCACCCCCGGCCAAAGTATTCCCGCTGACCACTTTGAGAGCCACCGCTCTAACTGATGGGCTTTTTAAGTTTTGAAAAGATGAAGGCGGAGGGAGGAAAGGTGACACGAGGGAATCTGTAAAAACAACAACAACCGAGACACCTCAAATGTGCAAAGAGGGTGAATACAGGGAAATTGTTTATTTATATCCCACGGACGGCGCAAGGCAGTAAACAACAGAACAGAGAGAGATGTGAAAGACTTTGCCATGAAACATTTATCAAAGCAATCCATAGCAGGCTATAAAAAACCCCAGCAGCCGCCTGCCTAAATTGCTGGAACCCTAAAGGAGACATAGAGCATCATTTCACAACTTCCCAGCGTGTCTTTCATCCTCCTTCCTCCAAATCCTGAGGAGAAGGAGGGAAGGTTGGCGGGTTTGTTTGCTGAGAATCTAAAACTGTTATCGGAGCTTCTTTAGCATGTGTGGGGGGAGAGTAGAATCCACAGCTATTATTTTCTCAAAATGCTAGTGTGGATTCAATTAGACCAGAGAGGTGGACGGCCGTTAACTACAGTGGTACCTCGCAAGACGAATGCCTCGCAAGATAAAAAACTCGCTAGACGAAAGGCTTTTTTGTTTTTTGAGCTGCTTCGCAAGACGATTTTCCCTATGGGCTTGCTTCGCAAGATGGAAACGTCTTGCAAGTTTGTTTCCTTTTTCTTAACACCGTTAATACAGTTGCGACTTGACTTCGAGGAGCAACTCATAGAACGCGGTGTGGTAGCCTTTTTTGAGGTTTTTAAAGACTTTGGTATTTTTGAAGCTTTCCCAAAACTTTCCCAACACCGTGCTTCGCAAGACGACAAAACTCGCGGAATGAATTAATTTTGTCTTGCGAGGCACCACTGTATATCAAGTGAGGACTCCCAACCCAAATAGCCATTTTTGTGCATGAAGCTCAGGTAATGGCTATCCTGGGTCACTTCCCTTTCGCTAGGGTTTCATCCTGACCAGTTTGCACAATTTTTTTCAGGGATTTGGTCTGATTTGTTTGCGGGGGAAGTTAGATAACACCATCCATGCTGGGATTCCTGCATTGCAGGGGGAACGGCCAGGTGACCCCAGTGTGTGTGTGTGCTTGCTTCAAACTACAATTTTTTAATTCTATGACCTGTTTAGGGACGCAGGTGGTGCTGTGGGTTAAACCACAGAGCCTAGGACTTGCCGATCAGAAGGTCAGCGGTTCAAATCCCCGCGACGGGGTGAGCTCCTGTTGCTCGGTCCCTGCTCCTGCCAACGTAGTAGTTCGAAAGCACACTAGTGCAAGTAGATAAATAGGTACCACTCTGGCGGGAAGGTAAACGGCGTTTCCGTGCGCTGCTCTGGTTCTCAAGCAGCTTAGTCATGCTGGCCACATGACCCGGAAGCTGTATGCTGGCTCCCTCGGCCAATAAAGCGTGATGAGCACCGCAACCCCAGAGTCGGCCACGACTGGACCTAATGGTCAGGGGTCCCTTTACCTTTACCTTTACTATGACCTGTTTATGGAGCATTTGTCCCTATTGGTCTGTGGGGAGATTGACGTTGCTCCCAGCAATCATTAAACCCACACTTTCCAGTTTGTGTGTTGCTTTCCTCCGCAACTCCCATCTCCTGCGGGGGGCGCAATTAGTGCCAGCACCGTCCGTTAAGAGTTTGGGTGTAATCTTCGACACCTCCCTTTCCATGGAGGCACAGATTGCAGCTATAACAAAGGCAGCATTTTTTCATCTCCGCCAAGCTAAGCAGTTGGTTCCTTACCTCTCTTGCCTTGACGTAGCCACTGTGATCCACGCGATGGTCACCTCCAGACTGGATTATTGTAACTCACTGTACATGGGGCTGCCCTAGAGACTGACCCAGAAACTCCAGCGGGTGCAGAATGCCGCGGTGAGACTCCTTACGGGGTCTTCGCCGCGGGATCACATTCACCCGGTGCTCTACCAGCTGCACTGGCTCCCGGTGGAGTACAGGATCAGGTTTAAGGTGCTGGTTTTAACCTTTAAAGCCCTATACGGCCTAGGATCCTCGTACCTACGGGACCGCCTCTCCTGGTATGTCCCACAGAGGACCTTACGGTCTTCAAACAAAAACATCTTGGAGATCCCAGGCCACAGGGAGGTTAGGCTGGCCTCAACCAGAGCCAGGGCTTTTTCGGCCGTGGCCCGGATCGGGTTGAACGTTCTGTCCCAAGAGACCAGGGCCCTGCGGGACTTGACGTCTTTCCGTGTGGCCTTCAAAACAGAGCTGTTCCGTCAGGCCTTTGGCCAAGGCACAGTCTGACCCCCTCCTTTGGTAATCCTCATAGAACTCTAACCCAATGGTTGCCGTTAATTTGACTCTGAATTGATTTTAGAATGAATTGACCCGGCTTCAGTGGGGAGGGCGGGATGTAATGTTATTTATTTATTTATTTATTTGTTTGTTTGTTTGTTTGTTATTATTTATTACAAATTTGTAGTGGGTTTCTTGACCACTAATTCTGCAACCTGAATTCTGCTGTTGTGCATGTTAGGATATTTCCGTTCCACCTTAAAAGGGAGCAGGCTTTGTGAGTCAGAGTCTGCGTATTTCCTGTTCACAGGATGTTTATGTTTTCTGTTGCTTTCGTTCTCTCTCTGTGTCGCAGACACTAAAGCAGTCAGTCATGTTTTTCTGTGTTCTGATCAACGCTGAATAAACTTGTAAATAATGCTCTCCTGAGTGCAACTTTTGCTGTGCATTATCTGCTGATAGAGCGTGCATGAGCTCTAGAATGTGGCAAGATATTTTCTAGAAACTCATGTCGCTGCGTGCCTACGGGAGGTCGATGGATCGTCCGGCAGACGGCTTGGGGGCCTTGATGGACTTTATCTCCCTGGCAGTATCCCAACAACAGGTTATGGGCCCAGATTCACAGCACTTACAGGAGAGTAAGACTGCGACAGACTGCTGAAAGGTATGTGGAGGAAAAGCGAAAGTAAGGCTTTTCTGTTTGCCGCGGCAAAGTCTCTTTGATGTCCGGCAGGCCTAATTGGATCTGGGAGCCGCGCCAAAGGCCTCAAGATTTATGGCTGCCGAGATAAGACGTCTCTGAAGTGAATAAGACTCAGGCTCAAATAAAAAGCTGGAATGGAGTTTTTCCAAGCTTCTGAGGCTGCTGAGTGCCCAAAGTTAAATCGGCACAACTATCAGACCTGGGCAAAATGGTGTGAGAGCTTGCTGCGTCAGTTTGGAGTGTGGCATACTGTGTGTGAGGCCCCTCCAGTTCCTCTGACAGATAGATGGAAGGCCGAAAATTCGAAGGCGATAGACGTAATCGTCTTGTCCGTCTCTCTGGAGGAAATAAAGACGCTTGCTGGCAATCTGACTGCACGTAAGATGTGGCATGCTTTGAAGATAGCCCATTTGCCAGTCATCCCAGCCCAGAGTTTGACTGCATCGGAGGTCCTGGCTGTTTCCCAGAATGCGAGTGAATGCAGGGATGCCGAGGGCACCGGTTGCAAGCTGCAGGGGAAGCTGACTGTCACGTCATCCCAGGCCGCATTCCAGCCTCCAGGGGAGCCAAGGAGTCGGCAGCTGAGAGCTCTGTTTCTCATGGGAGCCAAGGTCATCGCCTTTGCAGAGGCCGGAAGGGCAAAGGTAAACAGAGGCAGACGCCTGCAGATGGCCAGAAGCAGAGGGAGGGTGAAGAGCCCACGCCAGAGGAAAACAAGGCTTTGTTTGCTGGCACAGCTTCACCAAAGGCTAAAGGCAAGTCTGATGGCCAGGAGCAGGGGGGCAAGCTGCAAAAGCCCACGCCAGTGGAAAACAAGGTTTTGTTTGCTGGCACAGCCTCACCAAAGGCTAAAGGCAAGTCTGATGGCCAGGAGCAGAGGGGCAAGCTGCAAAAGCCCACGCCGGTGGAAAACAAGGTTTTGCTTGCTGCAAAGACTGCTCCAAAGGCCAAGGCCAGGTTTGTTGTTGATTCAGGCTGTACCCGCCATGTCTCAAAGGACCGCCACCTATTTATCTCCTTCAAACCTCAAGAAGGTGAGATCCACCTGGCTGATGGAAAGACGTTGCGAATTGCAGGAGAAGGGACTGTGAAACTGGCAAGTCTGCACACGACCATCAAAGATGTACTATATGTTCCAGGTGCTGCAGACAATTTGCTCAGTGTCCCACAGCTGACTGGGCGTGGTTTTGAGATTTCCTTCAAGAGGAGCGTCTGTGTCATCAGAAAAGGCAAAGAGGACATTTTGCATGCAAAGTTTATGGATGGCTTGTTCTGTATAACTTATGATGACAATGGTGCTGTTGTGTCTAATGTTGATTCTTGTTGTGTTGCACAAACTAACAAAGTTCTTCATGCAGGATGCATTCACGATGCACACAGAAGGTTTTGCCATCTCTCTTGGAAGGCACTGGCCAAGATGCCAGAGATGGTTGAGGGTTTGAACATCAAACCCTGTAAGTTTCACATGAAATGTGTATCTTGTGCAGAGAACAAGGTGAAGGTTGCTCCAAAAGGCAAGGAGTCTAGCAGGCAGGCTTCCAAACCCTACCAGCTAGTGCACGCAGACCTGGTTGGTCCACTTGCGCCCTCTTTGGGTGGAGCAAGGTACTTCATGGTTCTAATTGATTCTTTTTCCAGGTACATTCATGTGTTTATGCTCGAGCAGAAATCGCAAGCGTTTCCTAAGTTCAAGGCATTCTGTGCTTGGTTGGAGAATGTTCACGGTAAACGTATTGGCTGTCTGTTTACTGATCGAGGCGGGAGTTCACTTCTCAGCAGTTTGAAGCTTTCCTGACTGAGAAGGGAATCCAGCATGACTTGTCAACGCCTAGATCGCCATGGATGAATGGGCTTGCGGAGCGAGCAAATCAAACGTTGCTGCAAGGAATGAAAACATTGTTGCATGATGCCAATCTCCCTGATAAGTATTGGGGGGAGGCTCTGTCGAATTTTGCTTACACTTATAATCGCAGATTGTCATCACCTATTGGTTGTACCCCCTATGAGAAGATGTTTGGTAAGAAACCCAACATCAAACACATGAGAATCTTTGGTTCTGACATGTGGGTACACACCCCACAGAGCAACAAGCTTGGGAAGCGTGGGGCACATGGTTTGTTCATGGGGTACGAAAAGGTGCATACAGGGTATGGATGACCAACTCTAAGTCCATTAAGTTCACAAAGAGTGTTGAGTACAATCCTAAGTGGGGGGGAAATGTGGGAATTTTCCAGAGTTACCCAGAGGAGGATGAAGGTGATGTCAAAGAAGCAGCTAAAGCTGAGGAAGCTGCTGAGGATGATGATGATGATGATGATCAGAGTTCGGATTCCAGTTCAGTGGGCGGCGCTGCTGCTGGTGTCAGTGACAGTGATGACACAGCAGACTACAAGAGCGCAAAGGCCTCAGTCAGACCATCTGATGCGTCTGACAATGAACTGGAAGAACCACTGTTCACCATTGGTCACTTTTCTCCTAAGAAGGAGGAGATGAGTCCAGAAGACTTGCGTCTAGTACGCAGATCTGAAAGAGCCACAAAGGGCAGACCTCCAAAGAGATTTGCTGATGAGTTTGCTAAGACAGCAACTGCTGTTCTTAGTAGCTCAGAGAAGGTGTGGGAACCTTCAAGCTTCAAAGAGGTTCAGGAGTTAACCTCTAAAGATGCTGAGCCTTGGCTTAATGCCATGAAGGCTGAAGTTGATTCCTTGAACAGGAACCAAACTTGGGAACTGGTACCGGTAGTCCCAGGAATGAGACTGGTTGGCAGCAAATGGGTCTTCAAGGCCAAGACAGACCAGAATGGCAAGGTTGTCAGACACAAAGCCAGATTGGTTGCCAGAGGTTTTTCACAGGTACCAGGACAGGATTACCACGAGACCTACTCACCCACCGTCAAATATGAGAGCATTCGGCTGATGCTCAAGATAGCTGCAGAGGAGAAACTGCATGTTTCCCATCATGACATTAATACAGCTTTTTGTACGGGATTTTGGGGGAGGAGCTGTTTATGCTTCCACCTGACGGGATGCAGATACAGAAGGGAATGGTCTGTAAACTGCGGAAATCCTTATATGGTCTCAAGCAGAGTGCCAGGTGTTGGAACACAAAACTCACTGAGACATTGCTTTCTCTAGGTTTTCACCAGGGCAAAGCTGATCCATGTGTGTTTGTCAAGGAGGAGGGGCAAAACAAACTGTATTGTTTATGTTTTGTTGATGATCTTCTGATGTTTTGGAAGAATCAGGCTTTGTACCAAAGCACCCTAGCTCAGCTGAAGGAGCACTTTGACATGAAGGATCTTGGTGAGGTATCCAACTATCTTTCTCTGCAGGTGGAGAGGGACCAAGCAGGTAATTTTCTGGTACACCAAACACAGAAAATTGCTGATGTATTAACCAGGTTGAATTTGGTTGATGCAAACCCAGCAGACACACCGATGGTGACAGGTTACCAGGTAGACAGTACTGCTGAAGCGTTTTCTGACACAACGCTGTACAGATGCATTCTAGGCAAGTTGAATTTCATTGCTAGATGCTCAAGACCTGACATAGCTGTAAGCTGTAACCTGCTTAGCAGACATGCCAACAATCCTACTGTTCAGGATTGGAAAGCTCTGAAGCGCATAGCCCGCTATTTGAAAGGGACTTTGCACTACAGGCTGAGGTTCACCAGTCAGAAGACTGGAGGTCTTGAAATCTTTGCAGATGCAAGTTTTGGAAGTGACACCACGGATGGTACAAGCACTTCTGGAGTATGCTACATGTACAACCACTGCCTGTTTGACTGGTTGTGCAAAAAGCAGACGACAGTGAGCCTAAGTTCCTGTGAAGCAGAACTCAATGCTCTGTCATTTTCACTCATGGATTGTGAATGGTTGATGCAACTGTTTAAGGACATCGGAGTTTCTGTGAAATGTCCTGTACAAGTGTATCAAGACAATAGATCGTGTTTGGCTTTGCTGAACTCGGAGAGTTGCAAGCAAAGGACCAAGTACTTGCAGATTAAGCTACATCGTGCAAGGGAGTGTATTCAGAAAGGACTCATTCAGGTGTCCTACATGCCAGGAAATGAAATTCCTGCTGATCTGTTGTCTAAGGTTGTTAACAGAGAACAACTTAAGGTTTACGTACAAAGGTTGCAATTGGGTTGAACCACAGGTACTACAGGTTACACGGAAAGGGGAGGATGTTAGGATATTTCCGTTCCACCTTAAAAGGGAGCAGGCTTTGTGAGTCAGAGTCTGCGTATTTCCTGTTCACAGGATGTTTATGTTTTCTGTTGCTTTCGTTTTCTCTCTGTGTCGCAGACACTAAAGCAGTCAGTCATGTTTTTCTGTGTTCTGATCAACGCTGAATAAACTTGTAAATAATGCTCTCCTGAGTGCAACTTTTGCTGTGCATTATCTGCTGATAGAGCGTGCATGAGCTCTAGAATGTGGCAAGATATTTTCTAGAAACTCATGTCGCTGCGTGCCTACGGGAGGTCGATGGATCGTCCGGCAGACGGCTTGGGGGCCTTGATGGACTTTATCTCCCTGGCAGTATCCCAACAGTGCAGTTGAAATTCCACCCACAGCCCAGTCAGTAGCAGGGGCATAGGAAGAGGGGTGTGGTCTGCCCTGGGTGCCATCATGGGGGGGGGGTGTAACAAAATGCCGGCTGAACTCGATGCTGCCTGTGTAGTGGAACCGAGCGGGGTTGAGTTTCACCGCGACACCGACGCATCCCCTTCCCACTTCTGTGGCCGGGTGCATGCGCGGTTGGCCAGACCCCGCTCTCCCTGCCCGTCCATGTCCCACCCTCGCTTGGGTGCTGTGTGTGTGTCTGTGTGGTCGCAGTCGAAGCTGCAGTGGCGTAGCGTGGGGGTGCAGGGGGGGCTGGCCGCACCGGGCGCAACATCTGGGGGGGGCGCGGAAGAGACTCGAGTGCTAAAATCCACGGGTTAGGGGGTGCAAATTACTTGCCTTGCCCCGGGTGCTGACAACCCACGCTACGCCACTGCGAAGCTGTGCTGCTCACGGGGCAAGGCAGAGTCCTTCTGAAGGCGGCCCTGTTTAGGGAAGTTTTTAATGTCTGAGGCTGTATTATTTTTAATATTCAGTTGGAAGCTGCCCAGAGTGGCTGGGGTATAAATAATAAATATATTATTATTATTATTCGTCAGTGGAGACATTTGAGAACCAAGGTACCACTGTACCACTTAGACTGTACTGTAGCACTGTACAGTGGTACCTCAGGTTAAGTACATAATTTGTTCCAGAGGTCCGTACTTAACCTGAAACTGTTCTTAACCTGAAGCACCACTTTAGCTAAATGGGCCTCCCGCTGCCGCCGCACCGCCGGAGCACGATTTCTGTTCTCATCCTGAAGCAAAGTTCTTAACCTGAAGCCTTATTTCTGGGTTAGCGGAGTCTGTAACCTGAAGCGTATGTAAGCAGAGGTACCACTGCAATACTTTTTGGGGTGATAGAATGCAAATTTTGGTACGGTTCTTTAAAATAAAAATTAAAAACCCTCTCTCGGAATACTGCCTGGACTTAGGAACGAATGAACACGTGTTCGCCTAACATGGATCGATCCATCTGTCCTTAGAGAGGAGGAAAACTGAAATGCAGGAACTGATGAGGAATTGCCAGCCAAATCTTCAGCCGGCAGAGGACTCTCTCTTCGCGAGATGCATCTGTATTCCCAAGCCCAAAGCTGGCTGGCGTGGAAGACTCTAGCTGCCCACGTGTTCCCCACTCGCCGCCTTGGTGGCAGTGTCACCTGCCTTTGTTTATCCCTTGAAACGGGATTCCTGAGTCACCCCAGGCCTGCTGAGTCAGCCCAAGCCCACACACCAGGCCGAACAGATGAGTTTTCACCCACAGCTCAGTCCTGCTGCCTCGTGGGCTCTGGGTGGGGTGGTTTGGGGAGGCTGTCGAAAACCACCCTGATAAAGAAGACAGGTACATCTGTTCCGGGAGCTTGAAGATGCGGCGAGCAGAAAGCTCCGTATGAGGAGGAACTTTACTCATGCACCGTCTCCATGGCGACGTCTCCCCCAAAATCCTCTAAGTCGGGAGCAAGAGGCTGTGTGGGTGGCTGGCTGCCCCTGCAGACGTTTCCGGCACTCGCTAGCTGTGGAATCGTACTGCGTTAATAGGTTAGCCTCCGCGCATGCACACACAGGAGAACGCCCAATTTCTTACAGAGGGAGAATTGTTACCTTGGTTCAGCATCAAGAGATAAACCGGCCGGGGGGGGGGGGAGAGATGTTGCCATCCTCGGATGCCGTTGTCAAAAGCAGCATTCTCCCAAAAGGCGGGGTTGAAAGGAAGGCCTTGTAATAAACAAAAAATCTGCCCTTGTTCCCTTATGGGGGATACAAGAGCCCTTATAGAGTCCTTTGTAGGTTCTCCATCAGTCGGAGAAAATGACAGAGGCCAACCAGAGAATATTGAGAAGCAAAGCAGCTCGTAAGCCTGATCTTTATTGATCTGTTGCAACAGGGTGCTCCCCTCACACGCAGGAAAGGAGAAGGACCCAGAACCAAGGTGGCACGCAAGGCTTTATATAGACATTTGAAATTCCCTGCCCTGGAGCTCATGACCACCCCTTCGTACATCATACATACGTCACAGAAGGGGTGTAACCCAAGACCACCCCCCACAAACGTCATTTGTTGTTGTTGTTTAGTCGTGTCTGACTCTTCGTGACCCCCTGGACCAGAGCACACCAGGCACTACTGTCTTCCACTGCCTCCCGCAGTTTGGTCAAACTCATGCTGGTAGCTTCAAGAACACTGTCCAACCATCTCGTCCTCTGTCGTCCCATTCTCCTTGGGCCCTCCATCTTTCCCAACATCAGGGTCTTTTCCAGGGAGTCTTCTCTTCTCATGAGGTGGCCAAAGTCTTGGAGCCTCAGCTTCAGGATCTGTCCTTCCAGTGAGCACCCAGGGCTGATTTCCTTCAGAATGGATGGGTTTGATCTTCTTGCAGTCCATGGGACTCTCAAGAGTCTCCTCCAGCACCAGAATTCAAAAGCATCCATTCTTCGGCGATCAGCCTTCTTTATGGTCCAGCTCTCACTTCCATACATCACTACTGGGAAAACCAGAGCTTTAATTATATGGACCTTTGTGAGCAAACCAGTGATTTTTTAGGGAGCAGGCTAGCAGGCGGGGCCCATGACTTACATCATAGGAGCCTACACAACACAAAATGCTGTTGCTGTATGTAGGTTTGGTTTTATTTGTTTTTTATCTTATATTTTGGAAATGTACATAACCTTAAAATTCTTATAACAGTGTAGCAGTGGGCACCCTGTTGCAACTGTTAATAAAGATCAGGCTTATAGCTGCTTTGCTTTTGTATATCCTGGTCTGGTCTCTGTTCATTTCCTGACAGGTTTGAGCCTTAAAAGGTACGCTCTCTCCGAAGGTCCAGTCTTCCAAAATAAGCTGAACCCCTTGAAGGGACCCCTCAATATTCTTGTTTCATAATTATTATTTCCCCGCCCTCCAAATGGGAAAATAACAATTGCCAGTAATAAAGGGGGGGGGGACACAATAATTTGTGCCCTTCTCTGCCCTGCTCAGGCCACCCAGCTCACGATCTCTCTTTTAACTCTTCCAGGTGGTGGAAAACCCTACAATGGCCGACCAGTTTGCCAAACGGGTGTCAGCCCTGAAGGAGAAGGTGCACTTCCGTTCCGTGCTGTTCTCGTGCCACGTCCGCAAGGTGAGCAGCTGGCAGAAGCAGAGGCTGCTCCTCTGTCGCTCCCTCCTGACTCAACGCAGAGCATCAAATGCACCGCTGAGCTAAATTGTGTTGAGAGCAATTTCCTTTCAAATCTCAGGGCGTTTCGTACTGCTAATTCAGGTGTGTTGGGGACTTGGCAAAACCACCAGCTCTGTTTTCCCCTCCTGCCTTTCTGGTGGGTCAGTGATCCAGGTGCCATAATAAAGCTGCAGAGATAGCACAGGATAGTGCGCACCCCAGAAATAATCTCTTTCAGCTTCTGCCTTCTGGAAGAAGATACAGGGTTATAAAGACTAGGACCAGCCGCCTGAGAAACAGTTTCTATCCAAATGCAATTTTGGTTTTAAACGCAGTCTCTAAGGGACATGGGTGGCGCTGTGGGTTAAACCACAGAGCCTAGGACTTGCCAATCAGAAGGTCGGCGGTTCGAATCCCCGTGACAGGGTGAGCTCCTGTTGCTCGGTCCCTGCTCCTGCCAACCTAGCAGTTCGAAAGCACGTCAAAGTGCAAGTAGATAAATAAGTACCGCTCCGGCAAGAAGGTAAACGGCGTTTCCATGCGCTGCTCTGGTTTCGCCAGAAGCGGCTTAGTTATGTTGGCCACATGACCCAGAAAAGCTGTTTGTGGACAAACGTGGGCTCCCTCGGCCAGTAAAGCGAGATGAGCGCCGCAACCCCAGAGTCGTCTGTGACTGGACCTAACGGTCAGGGATCCCTTTTTAAGGTGCTAAAGGTAAAGGTAAAGGGACCCCTGACCATTAGGTCCAGTCGCAGATGACTCCGGGGTTGCGGCGCTCATCTGGCTTTATTGGCCGAGGGAGCCGGAGTACAGCTTCCGGGTCATGTGGGTGCTCTTGCCCAGTGTATCGTTACTGATGATGTTCTCTCCTTGCAGATCAACCGCTGTAACAAGAGCACAGACAGAGCCATCCTCATCACAGACCAGCACCTATACAAGTTGGAACCAAGGAAACAGTACAAAGTGATGAAATCGATTCCTCTGAGCATGGTAAGAGGGACCTCTCCTGGCAATGGGCTCGGGGAGGTGGTATGGTGAGGTGCTTTCGTGGTAGTTGAGGTGGTAACGTTTCACAAGGCTGTCACTGTTTCTGCAAACATCTTCTGCAACATGCCATCGGCACAACTATAGCGGTGGATTTTTATAAGGTGGTCCCATCTGTTGGGATGCTGCTAAGGAATCGGGGGCAATTGGCAAGCCCCCAGCTGGCTCCAGCCCACTGGCCAACATGCCAGTCGAACTCCAGTCCTTGGTGCAGCGTGAATCTGTGACCCAGAGCTTCAGAATCTGGGCACGCAACTCAGCAGAGTAAACGCACAACAGAAGTGGCAGGGAGAGGCTGTGTAAAGCATATTCACAAGCAGTTGATTCAGCGCACATTAGGACAAGAGGAAAAACATGTCTTCTCCCCTTTGTGTCCAAGCAAGCAGCATAAGCAAAAGCTATACACACAAACGGAAGTTCCCAGCAAGCTGTGCTGGAGTGTAAACAGACATGGTGTAAGTCCACCGAGAAGGAGTTGCTGTGGTCATTAGGCCTGGCGAAGTCTATGGAGATCGTGTTTTTACTAACAGAGTTAACTCCAACTTTGAACTGTGTGAACTGGCCTTCTCGGTAGTGGCGCCCACCCTGCGGAACGCCCTCCCATCAGATGTCAAGGAAATAAACAACTATCTGACTTTTAGAAAACATCCGAAGGCAGCCCAGTTTAGGGAAGTTTTTCATGTTTGATGTTCTATTGTGCTTTTAATATTCTGTTGGGAGCTGCCCAGAGTGGCTGGGGAAACTCAGCCAGATGGGCGGGGTATAGATAATAAATTCTGAGGTTGAAGAGGCAATATTCTGGTCTTTTGGACACGGCCCTCATCAATCCAGCTGGCCAGACTTGCAATAGTCTCTCTGGTACCCGTCTGGTTGTTAAGTTTAGACCTTGTTTCGTCCTTGCCTTGGCCGCCTAGTTTCCACTTGGAGGGGAGGCGCTGAAACCTTTTTGCGATTTGTCTCTCTCGACAGGTGACCGGGATGAGCGTGACCAGCGGCGTGGATCAGCTGGTCGTCTTCCACACCCAGAACCACGACGGCCTGGTGGTCTGCCTCCACAAAATGAAGCCGGAAAACGATGGCCGTGTCGGGGAGTTGGTTGGCGTGATGGTGGACCACTTCAGAAGGTGGGTGGCTTTTAAAGCAAAATAAATAAATAAAATGGTGTTGATTGATTGCAGCACGGAGTCAGAATACAGCTGCGGTCGCATCTGCACCTTCTGCTGAAAGTACAACCCTGGGAACTGTACAGGTGAAACTCGGAAAATGAGAATATCGTGGGAAAGTTCATTTATTTCAGCAATTCAACTTAAAAGGTGAAACAAATATATGATATAGACTCATGACACGCAAAGCGAGATATGTCAAGCCTTTATTTGTTATAATTGTGATGATCATGGCGTACAGCTGATGAAAACCCCAAATTAACAATCTCAGAAAATTAGAACATTAAATGAAACCAGCAAAACAAGGACTCCAAATAGAGCAATATTTCGTCGTTTAGTCGTGTCTGCCTCTTTGTGACCCCCTGGACCAGAGCACGCCAGGCCCTCCTGTCTTCCACTGCCTCCCGCAGTTTGGTCAAACTCATGTTGGTAGCTTCAAGAACACTGTCCCACCATCTCGTCCTCTGGCGTCCCCTTCTCCTTGTGCCCTCCATCTTTCCCAACATCAGGGTCTTTTCCAGGGAGTCTTCTCTTCTCATGAGGTGGCCAAAGTCTTGGAGCCTCAGCTTCAGGATCTGTCCTTCCAGTGAGCACTTGGGGCTGATTTCCTTAAGAATGGAGAGGTTTGATCTTCCTGCAGTCCATGGGACTCTTAAGAGTCTCCTCCAGCACCAGAAATCAAAAAGGATCCTTCATGGATCACTGCCTTGCCGTGGCGAAGGGGCTTGAATAACTCAGAGAAGCTATGAACTATGCCAAGCAGGGCCACCCAAGATGGACAGGTCATAGTGGAGAGTTTTCACCAAATGTGATCCACCTGGAGCAGGAACCAGCAAGCCACTCCAGTATCCCTGCCAAGAAAACTCCATGGACAAAGACAACAGGCTTCTGATAGGCCCCCTTGAATGACAATCAGTGCCTGCACCAATGGGGGACACTGTCTAAAGCCATCCCCATCCCATTAATCCCCCTTATTAAGCCATTGTGCAAAGGCACTCGGGCCTCTTTCTTTCTTTTTCTTCAAAACTTTTTATTGATTTTCCAAGTTTATAACAAACATAAACGACAAAAAAGAAAAAAACATTACAATATAAAAAACAAACAAGCATACAAACATTAATCCTATCTATTATAATCCCATTTTTGTTACCATTGTTAGATGACTTCCTCAAATCCCTCTAGCTGAGTTTCCTTATGGCTCTTTGTAGCAGTTTTCCAAGACTAATTTCCAATGAAATTAACTTAGTCAATTAACATCTTCCTTTCTTATCATATTCACTTCTATCCATAGTATTATGCAATTCGGAACTTTTAATTCCTAAGCCAATTTGGTACTCACAAATAGTGCTACTTATATTATCTTAGAATATTTTACTAAATAATCCATTCTTCTTGGTACTTCTCCTCTTTCTGTTCGCGGATTCTTCCGGTCAGGTTGGGCAGCTCCAAAAAGTCCATCACCTTCATCTGCCATTCCTCCACTGTTGGTATTTCTTGTGGTTTCCAATATTTGGCTAACAAAATTCTTGCTGCAGTTGTGGCGTACAAAAGGCACGGGGGTCTCTTTCACCCTCCAGCTGTCTGTGGCGCGAACCACAATCCTGTGTCCTTGATAGATGGCCCCCCCTCCCCGTCGGCGGTGGGATTAGAGAGAGCCGCTCTTGACCCAGTGACCCCCGGGGCACCCTAACGCAGATCTGAAGATGGAGGAGGCTCAGTCTGAGCTGGGATTAGGAGTGGCGGTAGGGCTGACCCTGCCACACACCCAGAGCCCCTTCTCTGGGCTCGCACATCGATTCCCGAACGGGGGTCCGAGAGCAGGCTTCTGAGCACACCAGAAGTATGCCTGGCACCATGACTTCGCTTTGGGGGTATGCACATTAATGAAGTACAGTATTTTTTGCTCTATAGGACTCACTTTTCCCCTCCTAAAAAGTAAGGGGAAATGTGCGTGCGTCGTATGGAGTGAATGCAGGCTGCGCAGCTATCCCAGAAGCCAGAACAGCAAGAGGGATTGCTGCTTTCACTGCGCAGCGATCCCTCTTGCTGTTCTGGCTTCTGAGATTCAGAATATTTTTTTTCTTGTTTTCCTCCTCCAAAAACTAGGTGTGTCTTGTGGTTTGGTGCGTCTTATAGAGCGAAAAATACGTAATGGAGACAAAAAAATGAGAAAGTTGGAGGGCAACAGAATGCGTAAAGGTAAAGGTAAAGGGACCCCTGACCATTAGGTCCAGTCGCGGACGACTCTGGGGTTGCGGCGCTCATCTCGCTTTATTGGCCGAGGGAGCCGGCGTACAGCTTCCGGGTCATGTGGCCAGCATGACCAAGCCGCTTCTGGCGAACCAGATCAGCGCACGGAAACGCCGTTTACCTTCCCGCCGGAGCGGTACCTATTTATCTACTTGGACTTTGATGTGCTTTCGAACTGCTAGGTTGGCAAGAGCAGGGACCGAGCAACGGGAGCTTACCCCATCGCAGGGATTCGAACAGCCGACCTTCTAATTGGCAAGCCCTAGGCTCTGTGGTTTAACCCACAGCGCCACCCGCGTTCCTGCCTTGTAAAAACAGTGGGGAAAACAGGTGTTCTGCCCCTGAGCCTCAGCGCTTCCCTCAAATAAGTGATGCTGCCTTATTACCAACTATCTCAGTATTGCCTACACTGGCCGGCAGCAGCTGTGCATGGATTTTAGGGGAAGGGACATTCTCAGGTGCTGAGATTGCATCTATGTGCTCTGCCCCCGAGCCACCTCCCTTGCCTTTAGGGCTGAGCTTCATTTCAATAGAGCATGAACCTCTTAATCTCAGGGTCGTGGGTTTGATCCCCACGTTGGGCAAAATAAGAATAATAATATAATTTATTATTTATTCCCCAGCCACTCTGGGCGGCTTCCAACCGAATATTAAAAACAATACAGCGTCAGACATTAAAATTTTCCCTTAACAGGGCCGCCTTCAGTTGTCTTTTAAAAGTAAAATACAGTGGTACCTCAGGTTACATACGCTTCAGGTTACAGATTCCATTAACCCAGAAATAGTGCTTCAGGTTAAGAACTTTGCTTCAGGATGAGAACAGAAATCGTGCTCCGGTGGCGCGGTGGCAGTGGGAGGCCCCATTAGCTAAAGTGGTGCTTCAGGTTAAGAACAGTTTCAGGTTAAGTACGGACCTCCGGAACGAATTAAGTACTTAACCCGAGGTACCACTGTAAAATAGTTGTTTATTTCCTTGACATCTGACGGAAGGGCGTTCCACAGGGCGGGTGCCACCACCGAGAAGGCCCTCTGCCCTGGTTCCCTGTAACTTCGCTTCTCGCAGTGAGGGAACCGCCAGAAGGCCCTCGGAGCGGGACCTCAGTGTCCAGGCTGGATTCCTGCATTGCAGAGGGTTGAGCTGGATGACCCTGGCAGCCCCTTTGGACTCAGTAGAACACAAACCTCTTAATCCCAAGGTCATGGGTTCAACCCCCACGTGGGGCAAAATAATAATAATAATAATAATAATAATAATAATAAACAACAACAACAACCCCTGTGGGCTCCTCTACGATTCCATGATTTTGAGGACCTTTCAGGGCCCTGGAGCAGCGTGATTTGTAACCACGAAGAACTCCAATAATCAACCACCCGTATTGGCAGAGAGAGGGGAAGGGAAGCCGGGTGAATGCAAGCCTGGGTCCTTCGCCGTTGCAGCAGGTGACAGATGGGATCCTTCTCTGGGAAACCCCCCATCCTTGCAGGGTCGAGCCATTGCCATCTGTTGCGGCAGCTGCAGGCACGCGCCGGGACACTGACCAGGTGCAGGAGAAGAAAGGAGCGATGGGGAAAGGGGAGGGAGGGCTGGAAGGAAGGAAAGGGGACTTGACTGTTTGCTGTGCGTCTCCCCGGAGCTTCACAAAGGGGATTGCGAGAAATTACTGCACAGGGCTGGCAGGTTGGCAGCGATGGACTGCAAGGCAGCTGTCAGGGCTGGGCTGGATTACCAGTGGATTTCTGGCTTGGTCTACACATCCGAAGGCAGCAACACTGAGACACCAGTTGCTGGAAAACGCAGCAGGTTGAGAGGGCTCTTGCGTTCGAATCTTGCTTGCGGTTTCCCATGAGGGGCATCCGGTTGGCCACTGTGAAAAGGCTGGACTCGATGGACCGCCTTTGGCCTGAACCGGCCTCCTGCTCTTGTGTTCTGATGTGGATGTGCACAGCAGATTTGAAAGTGGGGCATCTTGTTTATATACCTCATCCCTACTACGGAACTGTGGCCCTTCTCTAACTACCATATTTTTTGCTCTATAAGATGCACCAGACCACAAGACGCACCTACTGTATTTTTCGCCCTATAGGGCACACTGGCCCATAGGACGCACCTCATTTTTTTTGGGGGGGGGGATGAATAAAAAAAATTTATTTCCCCCCCAGCCACGGGGCTGGGGCAGGGGAAGCCCGAGCTTCCCCCGACCCCAGCCCTCAGAACAGGCTGCTATCCGCAAGCCTTGTGAGCCCGGCAGCAACTCCCGCTGGGCTCGCAAGGCTTGCGAACACCTGCGCGAAGCACAGGGCGCACTCCGGAGGGCGCCCCATGCTTCAGGCTGCAGGCTGCTGCCTGCAAGCCTTGCGAGCCCGCGGGAACTCCCACCGGGCTTGCAAGGCTTGCGGATAGCTTCTTGAAGCCTGGAGAGCGAGAGGGATCGGTGCGCACCGACCCCTCTCACTCTCCAGGCTTCAGCGAAAGCCTGCATTCGCCCCATAGGACGCACACACATTTCCCCTTCATTTTTGGAGGGGAAAAAGTGCGTCCTATAGGGTGAAAAATACGGTAGTTTTTGGAAGAGGAAAACAAGGAAAAAAATATTCTGAATCTCAGAAGCCAGAACAGCAAGAGGGATCGCTGCGCAGTGAAAGCAGCAATCCCTCTTGCTGTTCTGGCTTCTGGGATAGCTGCGCAGCCTGCATTCGCTCCATAAGATGCACACACATTTCCCCTTTTTAGGAGGGAAAAAGTGAGTCTTATAGAGCACAAAATACGGTATATCGATTCTTTTGTTCCCTCGAAGCCTGCTTTCCCCTCCATTCTTATGAATCATGACAACAGCAGTTCTTTTTTTAAATAATTTTTATTAGTTTTTCAACATATCATTTTCAACAATAACTAAACATACTTTCATATCTCATACAATTTTTTTTACTTCCATCCATCACATCTGAAATTTTTCCAATCTACTAACTTAATATACATTCCTTACTTCCACTATTAAATTTAAATCTCATAACTAATATCTCTGTTCTTTCTCTACATTGCAATGTTTCATACATTTCTCCTTACAAAACTTCTTGTAGTCCTACTAGCGTAATTTGTTGATTACAGTTGCTCTTCAAATAATTCATATATTTCTTCCAGTCTTCTGTGAATCTCTGGTCCCGCAGGTTTCGAATCCTTCCTGTCATTTTATCTAATTCTGCGTAGTTCATTAATTTTGTCTGCCATTCTTCTTTCGTCAGAAGGCAACAGCAGTTCTTTGCCAGAGATGCCTGAGCTGATCTCTCTCTCCGCGTTAAAGCCTTTAGCCCAGAGCTTTCCAAACTGTGTGTCGTGACGCATGTGCCGGCGGCAGTGTGCAAGTGTGTCCCCTCGTGCTCCTCCTGGGGGTGGAAAGGGGTTAGTTTGACACGGGGGCAAATAGAAGAAGACGCCTTCACCTTGGGATGGTGGTTCCCTTTTACCGCCGTCCCTCAGACCATGTGGGGAAACGGACTATATTTTGAAGGGGGGGGGGGAAATCAACAAATTCCTATGCCCCACAAATAACCCAGAGATGCATTTTAAATAAAAGGGCACATTCTACTCATGTAAAAACACGCTGATTCCTGGAACGTCTGAGGGCCGGATTGAGAAAGCGATTGGGCCACATCCGGCCCCCGGGACTTAGGTTGCCTACCCCTGTCATTGAAGGCTTCTCAGCAGAGGTTGGACAGCCATCTGTCAGGGTTATAGTTGACCCTTGGGGTCCCTGCAAGCTCTACATTTCTACAATTCTGTGCTTCATGGACCTGAAGTCTGTGATCTCCAGCCACCCTTCCCAAAGGAAAAAAAAAGAGGTCTTTGGAGGAGGAGCTGGCCATGGTACTGAATCGTCTTATTTTTCTTCTTTGGCGATCCCTTGTGACTGAGTAAGATTGCCTTCCATGAACATGGTTTTAACAGTGAGTCCGTGAGTGACTGTGGAGGCCAGTTCTGGATCCACACGTCCTTCAACACTGGGGATATTAGTTTCCAGGCGGGAGTTGATCACGGTGTGGATTTGCCAAGCGTGCCTTCCTCTTAGCACGTTTCTCCCTTGCGTCCTGAGTTCGAGTGTCTTCAAAGCCCATGACACCTTTGGTAAAGGCTGTTCTCCAACTGGAGCGCTCGCAGGCCAGTGTTTTCCAATTGTTGGTGTTTATACTACTTTTTTTAGATTTGCCTTGAGAGAGTCTTTAAATCTCTTTTGTTGACCACCAACATTACGCTTTCCATTTTTAAGTTGGGAATAGAGTAGTTGCTTTGGAAGACGATCATCAGGCATCCGCACAACATGACCAGTCCAACGAAGTTGAAGAATCATCTCTTTGACACTGGTGATCTTTGCTTCTTCCAGTACACTGGCATTAGTTCGCCTGTCTTCCCAAGTGATGTGTAAAAATTTTCGGAGACACTCGCTGGCACTGAATAGCAAAGTCCTGACCAACATACATAGGATGTTGTGTTATAACAAGTCAGACCACTGGTCTTTCTTGTCAACTCCTATGGTTTCCAAACTTTTTCGGCCCACTGCCCTTTGGTTCCACAAACTCATCCCTAGTGCTCACTCTAAAAAGCCTTATTCAGAACAGTGGCTTGCGTGACCCACTATGGAAGATAAAGGTAAAGGGACCCCTGACCATTAGGTCCAGTCGTGGTCGACTCTGGGGTTGGGGCGCTCATCTCGCTTTACTGGCCGAGGGAGCCTGCATACAGCTTCCGGGTCATGTGGCCAGCATGACTAAGCCACTTCTGGCGAACCAGAGCAGCGCACGAAAACGCCGTTTACCTTCCCGCCGGAGAGGTACCTATTGATCTACTTGCACTTTGACGTGCTTTTGAACTGCTAGGTTGGCAGGAGCAGGGACCGAGAAACAGCTCACCCCGTCATGGGGATTCGAACCGTCAGCCTTCTGATCGGCTAGTCCTACAAGGCGTCCCTGCCTTGTAAAAACAGTGGAAAAAACAGGTGTTCTGCCCCTGAGCCGCATGGAAGAGCACTTTGACGTACTTGCACTTTGACGTGCTTTCAAACTGCTAGGTTGGCAGGAGCAGGGACCGAGCAATGGGAGCTCACCCCGTTGCGGGGATTCGAACCGCCGACCTTCTGATCGGTAAGTCCTAGGCTCTGTGGTTTAACCCACAGCGCCACCCACGTCCCCACTATGGAAGATAGCAACACAATAAAATTCAAAACAGTAGCAATTAATTGCATGCTTATTCAAAATCCAATTAAAACTATTTAGCTTAATTAATTCCACAAAACTGATGAACTGCATGTCCGAGATCTGCCTTTTCCTGAGCCGAGCTCATGCTCGCGTCGACAGAAGGCCTCCAGAGATAGTGGCAGGTCCCCAGATGAAGTGGACATCACACTTTGTCACGTGCTAGAGCAGCCTCTTTATCTGTAAGGCCAGAAGCTCCTGTGTGTATTTTTAATTATGGCTGGGAATAAATAGTGCATAATTAACGCAAGCCGCATGAAATTTGTGCGAGGAGGCTGGACGTGTCACACTTCCCCCTGCGATGCTGTTTTGCGCCGTTTCCAAGTGCGAGACGCGAAGCGACAGCTCTCTGGAATGCGATCACCTGTTAGCGGAGTCTTTAATTTGCACTTTTTAAGATTTGGCAGCAGAAAACTTGTCCTGACAAAATGAAGGGGCTGCTGTCAAGGAGGGAATTGCCCCCATCTGTGGGGCATGAAGCTCATGCCCATGTATTATTTTTTACTTATAAGATTCCTTCGCCATAAGGGGCAAGGGCGGGTTACAGCAGCACACAGAGAATCGTCGACATGGAAGGGACACCAAAGGACATCTAGTCCAACCCTGGCAATGCAGGAATCACAACCACTGACAGGTGGTCACCCAACCTCTGCTTAGAAACCTCCAAGGAAGAAGAGCCCATCGCCTTCTGAGGCAGTCTGCTCCGCAACCAAGCAGGTCTTACTGTCAGAAAATTATTCTTTTTTTAAAAAAAAAATCATTTTTATTTGATTTTTCTAATACAAAGTTATAAAAATCCAAATGCAACTGTTCTTAACCTGAGGTACCACTTGAGTTAATGGGTCCTCCCTCTACCACCGCACGATTTCTGTTCTCATCCTGAAGCAAAGTTCTTAACCCGAGGTTCTATTTCTGGGTTAGCGGAGCCTGTAACCTGAAGCTTCTGTAACCCGAGGTACCACTGTACAGAGATTTATCGGAATCTCAGGACTTTCCCCCACCACTTCCCCAGAGTCCTGATTTAAATATTTAAAACTGCATCTTCTTCCAAACTCAAACTTTTATGTCCATCCATATTGTCCGTGGTAATTGTTACACTACACGCGAAATCAAAATCCTGCCAATGTTTCAATCTACTAACAGTGGTCTCTTAAATGACTTAGAAATTTTCCCCATTCTTCTGTCAAGTTTTTGTCCTCTTGGTTCCAGAGTTTTCCAGTCAGCTTTGCCATTTTGGCATAGTCCATCATCTTGGCTTGCCATTCCTCTGATAGGGAGTCTTTCTTCTTTCCATCTCTGGGCTTGTAGCATCCATGTGGCTGTTGTTCCATACATAAAAAGTCTTTTCTGGACCTTTGGAATGTCTATACCTGTAATTCCTAATAAAAAAGCTTCTGGTTTTTTTAATCACATTTTTTCCATTTCATTATATATCATCTCCCAGAAGGCTTTTACCACCTTACAGGTCCACCACGTACGTAAAACGGTACTTTCTTTTTCTTACATTTTCAGCAGGTATTTGTACGTGTCTGTCAGAGCTGGCTCCAGGTCCCAGCTCACAGAGGACCAACGCTAGCCGGCAGTAATGTACAAAAGTCTTTATTGAAGTACAGTTTCCATTTTCAAGCCGCAGCGCCCCAGCTCTACGTCTAGGGGTTAGATCGGCGAAGCTCCATCTGAGTCTCCGCCCCTGTACACCAGTTTAAGATTCTAGCCTTACTCCACCTCTTACGTCTCTCCTTTCTCCTCTGGGTCCTGCTACCCCCCGGGGTCCCTTCCTTCCTGGATTCTTCTGACGCTGACCCCCTGACTCCTCCCCTCTTTTCGGCGGGCTTTGGGACCTGGCTCCCTATCCGGGCTGCCAACTGCGCCGCCCTCCTGTACATTTGAACTTGGCGCGCGCGCCAGCCTTCAACCTTCCTCTCGACCGTTCCTCGCTCCCCGATGGAGGCGTGGCCAATCCTGACTCATGTCCTCCCACTGGCAGTGCGCCGCCTGAGTCCCGATGCCTGGGACCCCTCCCCCTACTGCACTCTGGTGTGGACGCTGGTCCTGATTTCCAACTGCTGCTCTCTGAGTCCCCTCTGGCCCCTTCTTCCTGGGGTGTCCCCTCGGCACCCCCTTGCTCTGACCAAGGGAGCCCCTTTCTGTGAATCTTCCGATTCGCTGGAAAGACTCAGAGACCTCGGACCGCTGTCATCGCTAACATTTCCTTCGGACTCCTCCCCCTCGCTCTCTATTTCCTCCCTTTCCTGTGCCTCTGCTCCTGAACCCCTGACAGTGTCCTATACATGTTTGCCAAGTCTGTAGGAGTCAAATACCACTGGTACATCATTTTCATATAATTCTCTTTCAAAATATCAATGCCGTGAACTTCAGGTCTGTTTTCCATAACTTTTCCCAATCTGCCATCTGAATATTATGTCCCAGATCCCTTGCCCAGTGTATCATTACTGACTTGATCTGTTCATCCTTTGTACAGAAATTTTTCTTAATGTGTATTCAGGAATCTCCTTTCTCGCCATTTGAATTCATCGATTGGGGTCCTACTAGGGCTGTCTTTAGCATATGCGCTGCCAGGGTACAAAGATCCGTCCAGTGGTCCCTCCCAATTTAGTTTAGCCCCCAAATTAACTTTTATTATCCTTATGTCAGACACCACGCTTACGCCTTATCTCTTGTTTACGAAAGAAGGGAGGAGAAAGAAAGAAATGTTTTAATTTGTATTTACAATACAATTATACTGACAAGCGCTGCCGTTGTAAATGACAAGTGCCACCGCTAATGTGGTGTGCCTTTGGTAAATGAGCACACAGAGTCGAAAGTCCTTTAGTGAAACAGTAGGTAAACATTTCAGTAATACCTAGGTATATATGTATTTTGTTTTTCTAGCTTGACCAAAATTATTTATTATTTCATAACAGGTAGATACAGTCATACATACTTCAGGGTGCGTTTTTTCGGGTTACAGATGCGCCGAAACCTGGAAGTACAGGAACGGGTTACTTCCAGGTTTCGGTGGTTGCGCATGTGCAGAAGTGCTAAATAGCGCTTTGCATATGCGCAGAAGCGCCGAATCACAACCCGCGCATGCGCAGATGCGACGCTGCAGGTTGCGAACGTGCCTCCCGCATGGATCACGTTCATAACCCAAGCGTCCACTGTAGTTAAGAACTTAGGCGGCTTCAACGGTGGGTGCCTGGCGCCCCCCAGAATTCGGCGCCCGGGTGCCCCGCACCCCTTGCACCCCCGGGTAAAGACGGCCCTGGGTCCTACCCTCTGGAGCAGAAGAAACAAGCTTGCTCCATCTTCCATGTGAGAGCCCTTTAGTTATTCGAAGACGGCTAAGCTTTTCTCCCTCTTCCTCAAAGCTGGAACGTGTGAACATCCCCTGAAGTTGACTCTTGGAAGATTCAGGACAGAGAAAAGATAGGCATTCTTTGCACAGTTAGACTATGGAACTCCCTGCCACATGAGGCATTGATGGCCGCCAACCCGAATGGGTTTAAAAGCGGAAATCCGTGGAAGAAAAGGCTATCAGTGGCTGCTAGTCATGGTTGCCCCATTCTGTCTGGAGAGCCAGTGTGGTGTAGTGGTTAAGAGCGGTAGTCTCGTAATCTGGGGAACCGGGTTCGCGTCTCCGCTCCTCCACATGCAGTTGCTGGGTGACCTTAGGCCGGTCATACTTCTTTGAAGTCTCTCAGCCCCACTCACCTCACAGAGTGTTTGTTGTGGGGGAGGAAGGGAAAGGAGAATGTTAGCCGCTTTGAGACTCCTTAAAGGGAGTGAAAGGCGGGATATCAAATCCAAACTCTTCTTCTTCTTCTTCTGTCTCCACTCAGAGGCAGCATGGGAATCTTGGGTGGGCTGTTGTCCTCCTTGCGTCTCGTTGGCCACTGGGTAGGCCTTTGACTTGATCTCCAGGGCCCTTTGCATATTTAACTCCCCAGTTCTTAACACCTGCTTTCGTTTTGCTGCCCGGTGTTCTGGGGACGCAGCTAGAATTCGAATCCTGCCCTCGTAATCTTTCGCAGCTCCTTTGCGGTTTTGGGTCGCCCGCAAAGATGCGCCTCTTTCTCTCTCTAAAGCCAGAGCAGGAAACCTGATTGCCCCACTTTGCAGATGCCTGGGACACGGTTGCTAGGGAACTGCCAGAAAGCTCATTAACAGCTGAGATTAAGCAGTGAGCCTGGAAGGAAGCAGAAAGAGAAAGAAAGAGAGGTGAAGAAAAGAAAGGAAGGTGTCAAGGTGAGGGAGGGTGAAAGGAGAGAGGGAGAGAAAGAGGAGGGAGGGAGCTCTCACAAGCACTGAAACTGCATTGGGGTCCTAACCAGTGCGATTTTATTTATTTTATTGCATTTATATCAGACCTTTCCCCCCCAAGGAGCTCAAAGTGGCATATATGGAGGTGTTCAGATCCGGCCTGCAGGTTGGCCACTGTGAGAACAGGCCACTGGCATGATGCGCTGGCCTTCTTACGTTCCTCTCTGTGGCATGTGAGATGGCAAGCTGTAAACACCCTCCACGCATTTATGTGAGTGTGCACTCAAGGCCATATGCGTCCGTTCCGCACGCAGAGGTTTTTATTTCCGAGCACAATTCAAAGTATTGGTGTTGACCTTGAAAGCCCTAAACGGCCTCGGCCCAGTATACCTGAAGGAGCGTATCCACCCCCATCAGTCTGCCCAGACATTGAGGTCCAGCGCTGAGGGCCTTCTGGCGGTTCCCTCCCTGTGAGAAGTGAGGTTACAGGAACCAGGCAGAGGGCCTTCTTGGTGGTGGCACCCGCCCTGTGGAACGCCCTCCCACCAGATGTCAAAGAGAACAACAACTACCTGACATTTAGAAGACACCTGAAGGCAGCCCTGTTCAGGGAAGTTTTTAATGTGTGACATTTTAATGCACCGTATTTTTGCTCTATAAGATGCACCAGACCACAAGACGCACCTAGTTTTTGGAGGAGGAAAACAAGAAGAAGAAAAATTCTGAATCTCAGAAGCCAGAACAACAAGAGGGATCACTGCGCAGCAAAAGCAGCGATCCCTCTTGCTGTTCTGGCTTCTGGGATAGCTGCGCAGCCTGCATTTGCTCCATAAGACGCACACACATTTCCCCTTACTTTTTAGGAGGGAAAAAGTGAGTCTTATAGAGCAAAAAATACGGTATTTTCAATCTTTCAATCTCCCAAGATGCTCTGAGGAAGGAGCAGGGCCCAGGAGCACGTGAATCTTTTTTCTTCTTCAGGTGGACCGTGGCTTTTGAGCGAAGCGTTTCCCAAACATCAAACAGGCTGCGCTCTGAACATTAAGCAGCGGGAGGTGGCGATGACTTGGCAAGCCCAGTTTGATCCTCAAAGCTGCTAGAGGATCAAAGTCACAAGGGACTGCCAAGTCATTGCAACTGATTCATCCGAGGGTTTGCTGTTGGCACAGACCAAAAACCTGCAGGTGTAATCTGGGGATGTGGGCAGGCTTGATGCAATTCTCTCACTGCCCTGGCAGGTCGCAGACAGAAGGCCTCCGGAACACGGATTGGTTTTGCCGCGTATCCCTTCAGAATATTTCTGTCCCACCTTTCTGCATCGAAATTTTGAAGAGGGCTCACAAGGGTACAATGAAAATGGCTGCAATGGTACAGTACAGAGACAGTGCGGTGCAGTGGTTAGAGTGCTAGACTATGGCTTGGGAGAGCAGGGTTCGGATTCCTTCTTAGCCGTGAAGCTCACTGGGTGGCAAGCCTAGCTGAGAACGAAAGAAACGCCAAAAGCCAAACCCCTAATAAAACAGCAATAGAACAATTAAAATGATTACTTTCTGGAATAACGTCTTTTTTTAGACAATCAAGCAGAAATATTTCAGGTTCCAAGGGTATATCATCGCCTAACAAGAAATAGTGTTCAACCTTTTATCAAGATTATAATAGCTAATAACTGGTGGGGGGAAGCATATCTCCTACTATATCTGATTGGATTGAGAAAATTTGGTTCATTGTTACTACCACTAAGCTAACTTATTGCAAAATAATTCATATCAACCAGCCTAACGTGCTTATGGGGAAATGGGCATTTTTGGGCAATGTTTTGGAACAACAAGCTCAAGGAAAATGCCCAACCTTAAGTTGTTTCCAATCTGCTGCAATTGTATTTATTAATGTCCTTTTATCTTTTGTTTAAAGGGACGCGGGTGGCGCTGTGGTCTAAACCACTGAGCCTAGGACTTGCCGATCAGAAGGTCAGCGGTTCGAATCCCCGCGACGGGGTGAGCTCCCATTGCTCGGTCCCTGCTCCTGCCAACCTAGCAGTCCGAAAGCACGTCAAAGTGCAAGGAGATAAATAGGTACCGCTCCGGTGGGAAGGTAAACGGCGGGAAGGTAAACGGCGTTTGCGTGCGCTGCTCTGGTTTTGCCAGAAGCGGCTTAGTCATGCTGGCCACATGACCCGGAAGCTGTACACCGGCTCCCTCGGCCAGTAAAGCGAGATGAGCGCCAAAACCCCAGAGTCGTCTGCGACTGGAGCTAACGGTCAGGGGTCCCTTTACCTTTACTTTTCTCTTTGGTTTATGCTGTTTATTAATGAACAAAATAACATAAAATAATTACAGCATCCTCTCCAACATTCCACTGAAGAAAATCAGCACCCATGTCTTTGGGCGCCATGCTCTTGTGCGAGTCGGCTGTCTCGTGTGGGGCCACAATGCCGAAAGCCGCGCAAGCTAGCTGACTTGCACGAGAGCCTTGCACGACCGCAAGCAACCGTTGGCTGCCAGCTCATATTCCTCCCCAAGCTTGGCGGTTGGCGGGATATCCCAGGATCCTTTTGGAAGCTGGGACATTCTTCTGTAATTCCAGGATGTCCTGGGAAAATCGGGACGGTTGCAGGGTATGTTGCAGCAACCATCACGAGCAGAACAGGTTGTCTGCTTTAAGCACGGGTGAGAAAGCTCAGATCTGCAAGGCTGCTGGTGGCTGGTGCTACCAACCATGTCATCTCCTCCAGGTATCTCCAGAGCAAACTTGGTGCTGAGCCTTGAAGTTGTGTTGTATCTCTGCAGCAGCTGCAGAGGGCAGTTTCGTTCTCCCATCCAAAGCCTGCAGGTCTATGAATAGTGCAGTGGATTGCCATAAGGGCCCCTTTGTTCACCCCGGTGGCATGTGAGCTGCCTGGGGCTGCTTGCTCCCAGTAGCATCCTGGATCCTGCAGTTCCTTGATCTGCTGGGCTCCTCTGGAAGCGCCTGCTTCCTTGGACAGGGAGGAGAGAACACAGGTGGGTCCTTGCAGACAGGTAGTAACATAAGGCGGTGAAGGTCTTGTGTGAGTGTCTGGAGGCGGTTGGAGGTTGGATGGCGGCTAACAGACTGAGGTTGAATTCTGACAAGACAGAAGAACTGTTTTGGGGGGACAGGAGGCGGGCGGGTGTGGAGGACTCCCTGGTCCTCAATGGGGTAACTGTGCCCCTGAAGGACCAGGTGCGCAGCCTGGGAGTCATTTTGGACTCACAGCTGTCCATGGAGGCGCAGGTCAGTTCTGTGTCCAGGGCAGCTCCATCTGGTACGCAGGATGAGACCCTCCCTGCCCGCGGACTGCCTCGCCAGAGTGGTGCACTCTCTAGTTATCTCCCGCTTGGACTACTGCAATGCGCTCTACATGGGGCTACCTTTGAAGGTGACCCGGAAACTACAACTGATCCAGAATGCGGCAGCTAGATTGGAGACTGGGAGCGGCCGCCAAGACCACATAGCACCAGTCTTGAAAGACCTACATTGGCTCCCAGTACATTTCCAATCACAATTCAAAGTGTTGGTGCTGACCTTTAAAGCCCTAAACAGCCTCGGTCCAGTTTAGGGGGGAAATCCATCCAATAAACATTAGATGATCCCCAGGGCTAGCTGGCTAAATTAGTCCTATTTGGGCCAGCGAGGAGACCAGGGGAGAATTAGCTGTGGGATCCCAGAGCGGGTAATCTTCATAAAAAGGGGAAAGGAAGGGGAATAAAAGATCAGGCTAAGTTCACATTGAAAGCCAGGTGGAATAGCTCTGTCTTGCAAACCCTGTGGAAGGAAGTTAAATCCTGTAGGGCCCTGGTCTCCTGGGACAGAGCATTCCACCAGGTCGGAGCCATCACTGAGAAGGCCCTGGCCCTCGTGGAGGATAATGTAACTTCCTTAGGGCACTTTGTGGTTGCAATAAGTCGGCGGTGTGGAAAAGGAACTCTTTGCATGCACAGGTGCCCTGTGCTGGCAGGAGTTGGCATTCAAAGAGCTGTAGCTTTTGGAAGGCTGGCCCAGATTAACTCCTTCCTCTCTTAACAGCTTTGGGCTCCATCCATGAACCTATACTTGAACACTTAATGCTCTGAGACCATCTTCTCTCTCTCTCTCTCTCTCTCTCTCTCTCTCTCTCTCTCTCTCTCGTGCTCCCCATCCCATTGAAAACACAAGAGGGGGAGGATTGCAAAAGACAGATGTCGTCGCCCACCGCAGGGCGGAGTGGAGGGAATCGATTACCCAGTCTCTAAAGACTCAGGTCAAGTCTGGGGGCCGTCAGAGGTCGCCTTCCAGATGGCGAGACGTGTGTCTTGAGAAAAGAGGGTCGACTTGCTTTGTAAGGTGATAAGGCAGCTCTCGAAGGAACTCCCCCTTTGAGGCGGCTCAATGAATCAAAGCACCGATCTCACCCAAAACCCCTCGCTCAGAAAAAGGGGCGTCCTACGGAGCTCTATTGTACACTTCCCTGCTTGGGCGCTCTCTGCAGAGCTCAGCAAGCCCACCAGCCCAAAGGTTTACGGCAATGTATATTATCAAGCAGGAAAACAGGACTGAGGGAGAGGGATATGACACGATATTGTCATTGTCCCATACAAAACAGCGAAATTGAAAAAATCTACACCAGACATTCAAAAACCACCAAGCCTGCTATCCCAGCCTGGTTAGCCCCCTAAAAACCCGGATACCCCATAATTAAATACAATATACTCCCATAGAGACTACCTTAAAGGTAAAGGGACCCCTGACCATTAGGTCCAGTCGTGGCCGACTCTGGGGTTGCGGCGCTCATCTCGCTTTATTGGCCGAGGGAGCCGGTGTACAGTGTGGCCAGCATGACTAAGCCTCTTCTGGCAAACCGGAGCAGCGCACGGAAATGCCGTTTCCCTTCCCGCTGGAGTGCTATCTATTCATCTACTTGGACTTTGACGTGCTTTCGAACTGCTAGGTTGGCAGGAGCAGGGACCGAGCAACGGGAGCTCACTCCGTCGTGGGGATTCGAACCGCTGACCTTCTGATCAGCAAGTCCTAGGCTCTGTGGTTTAACCCACAGCGCCACCCACGTCCCTAAAGCATAGTAGTGGTTGCATTAAAGAAAGCATCAAAGGACAAAGGGATGATGTGTAGATTGATCCAATATAAATCCACCGTTACCGTATTTTTCGTCCTATAGGGCGCACCGGCCCATAGGATGCACCTCGTTTTTTGGGGGGAAAATGAATAAAAAAAAATTATTCCCCCCCCCCAGCCGCGGCTGCAGCCCCAAGCCTTGCGCACACCTGCCCGAAGCACGGGGCGCCCTCCGGAGGGCTCCCTGTGCTTCGGGCGGCAGGCTGCCGCCCCAAGCCTCGCACGCCCGGCGGGACCTCCCGCCGGGCGCGCAAGGCTTGAGGATAGCTTCCTGCAGCCTGGAGAGCTAGAGGCATCGGTGTGCACCGACCCCTCTCACTCTCCAGGCTTCCGCGAAAGCCTGCATTCGCCCCATAGGACACACACACATTTCCCCTTCATTTTTGGAGGGGAAAAAGTGTGTCCTATGGGGCGAAAAATACAGTAATTATTGTGTCAATGAAAAATGGCAAAATATGTTCATACGCGCGCACAAAAAAACCCCACCAGCTGGGAGAGACACCCTTGCACTACAGTGCAACAAAGCCTGGACCACACTTCTGTCTCTGCTCCCCAGTGGTGTAATCTTATTCCTTCTGCAGCGGGGTCCCTCTCTCCAGCGCCCTAGAGCAAGCATAGGCAAACTCGGCCCTCCAGATGTTTTGGGACTACAACTCCCATCATCCCTAGCTCACAGGACCAGTCCTCAGGGATGATGGGAGTTGTAGTCCCAAAACATCTGGAGGGCCGGGTTTGGGGGTTCCTGCCCTAGAGTCACTCAAGTCATCACAGAAGGGGAGCTTTTCAGCCATGGTTTGGAGTCAGAGTGCAAGGAGCTGAGTTGGCCACTGGGGACAGGAAGAAGGTGTGAGCTTAAAATGTGAGAGAAGTCATTCCAGACACTCCAAAGCTAAGCGTTTAGGAATCCCGAAAGCACCAGGTGCTTCCGTTTTCAAGGGAATGGGGTTCGAATTCTGCTACGTGCAACGGGACAACTTAACTCGCTCCGAAATAAGATATTAGAGCACTTGAAATCGCTTACCCATGGACGTGCACAGAGAATAGCAGATCCAGCTGAACTCCTGGTAATCTGCGCTGAAGAAGAAGAAGAAGAAGAGTTTGGATTTGATATCCTGCCTTTCACTCCCTTTAAGGAGTCTCAAAGCGGCTAACATTCTCCTTTCCCTTCCTCCCCCACAACAAACACTCTGTGAGGTGAGTGGGGCTGAGAGACTTCAGAGAAGTGTGACTGGCCCAAGGTCACCCAGCAGCTGCATGTGGAGGAGCGGAGACGCGAACCCGGTTCCCCAGATTACGAGACTACCGCTCTTAACCACTACACCACACTGGCTGAGCGTTGCAATGCATCTTAAGTTACGATTGTTGTGTAATTATAAGGTGGTTGCATAATCTCTGCAGGGGTCTGGCTGGGACTGGGCGTCGCTGCAACTAGGATTGTTTATTATGTTTGTTTTATTATGTTGGAAGCCACCCAGAATGGCTGGGGCAAGTGGGCAGGGTACAAATAATAGAATTATTATTATTATTATTATTATTATCCTGCAGCGCTTCTGAATTTGCTTCCAGACTGTTGCTGCCCCCTGAGGCTTCCTCCTCCTTCTCCCCGATCTTGAACCAAGTGGCAATTCACCTCCATCTTTCTATTTCTTTCCTCACCATTAAGGGCCGTTGGTCCACCCTGGTACTTAAAATAATAATAATCATCATCATCATCATCATCATCAACCTGCCTTGAGATGACACTTCCAGGTCCTCGCCTTCCAAGATCCTGCTGCCATATTTGGACAGCAGGAAGAACCATTTGGACCCAGTTGCCATGGTTCTTGCTTAGTGCCCAGTTGCCGTGGCAACCGTTGGCCAGGAAGAGGCGGGTTTAGACGTGGGTTAAAATGATCTGCTCCGTCTGCTGAGGGTGGGGGGGGGGCGGATTCTCCACCGCAAGATACGTTTCGGGATTTTTATATATTTTTAAAATTACATTTATATCACACCTTTTCTCTCTCCAAAGGAGCTCAAGGTGGTGAAAATGGTTCTCTCTCTCTCTCACACACACACCCCCATTTAATTTCCACAACAACCCTGTGAGGTAGGTTAGGCTGAGAGGCAGTGAGCCTCATGGCTGAGTGTGGATTTGGACCCTGGTCTTCTCCCAGGTCCTAGGCCGAGACTCTAACCACTATGCAATACTGTCTGTCTGCTGACTGGTCCTTCTTGGGTACCAACATCATGCTTAAGCAAGTAGTCCAGGGGTCAGCAAACTTTTTCAGCAGGGGGCCGGTCCACTGTCCCTCAGACCTTGTGGGGGGCCGGATTATATTTTGAGGGGGGAAATGAAGAAATTCCTATGCCCCACAAATCACCCAGAGATGCATTTTAAATAAAAGCACACATTCTACTCATGTGAAAACACCAGGCAGGCCCCACAAATAACCCAGAGATGCATTTTAAATAAAAGGGCACATTCTACTCATGTGAAAACATGCTGATTCCCGGGCTGTCCGAGGGCCGGATTGAGAAGGCGATTGGGCCGGATCCGCCCCCGGGCCTTAGGTTAGTCCATGTTGGCATAGATCGACTTGGGACGTCCCAGCTCCACCAGTGCCGCAAAGATGCTGAAACAAATATCCCAATGTTCAGGGCAACAGGCAGTAGGAGATCAGGACCTGTTTACCTGGCTCAGTTGGCAGAGCGTGAGACTCAAGGTCCTGGGTTCGAATCCTTCGTTGGGCAAAAGATTCCTGCATCGCAGGGGGTTGCAGATGACCATTGTGGTCCTTTCCAGCTCCATGATTCTGTGATTTAATATCATTCAAAGCAAGAACCCTGCAGTGCAGACCTCCTTAATATAAACCAGGGTTTCCCAAACTTTTTTTCAGGACAGAAAATTCATCCCCAGTGCCCCCTAGCCTACAAAAATATAGCTGACAGATAAAAAAGTTTTCTTTCTCTTTCTTTTCCTTTCCATCTTTTTTCATTCCCCCCCCCTTTCGCCGCTTAATCTTCTTTCTTTCTTTTCCTCTCTCTCTTTCTGCTCTGTGTTTTTATTTAGATCAGCTTCTCGGTTTTGATAAAAATATATCCAATATTAATCATTGTATTCCCTCCCCCTCCGAATTTCGATAAAATCTGTTCAGAATAGCAGCTGGGGCGACCCACCCAGGAAGGTAATAACACAGCAAAATTTGAACCGGTAACTTTTAATGGCACGTTTATTCAGCATCCAATTAAAATGATTTAGTTTACTTAATTAGAGGAAACTGATGCACTTGAAACAGTGATAGTCTGGTAGTCGTTCACACCCCACAACACTTCCCTGAAACACCCCCTTACCTCTTATGCCACCACCTTAATTGGGAACCACTACTATAGGTGAACAAACTGAGGAGACGAATTACCGTACATTTCCCCAGGCAATAATAACTGGAGCGATTTGGTGCCCTTCACCCTTGTTGAACTCGCTTTTCTGGGGGTGGGTAACCTCCGCAAAACAAACAATTGCCAACAGAGAATATTGTTGTGTTCGGCTCCTAACTTAAGGTTACCAGATTTTTTTCCCCAGTGAACCCGGGGACGCTTTTCAACTTCCATGGATTTTGTATGGGAACTGATTGGTAAATCTGGGGATTGTCCCCGGGAAACGGGGACGTCTGATAACCTTATCCCAGGGGTCAGCAAACTTTTTCAGCAGGGGGCCGGTCCACTGTCCCTCAGACCTTATGGGGGGGCTGGACTATATTTTGGAAAAAAATAATGAACGAATTCCTATGCCCCACAAATCACCCAGAGATGCATTTTAAATAAAAGCACACATTCTGCTCATGTGAAAACACCAGGCAGGCCCCACAAATAACTCAGATATGCGTTTTAAATAAAAGTATAAGTATTGGGTGGGTCAGGAAACGTTTTCAGCAGGGGGCCGGTCCACTCTCCCTCAGACCTTGTGGGGGGGGGGGCGGACTATATTTTGAAAGTAAAGAAAGAGAATTCCTATGTCCCACAAATAACCCAGAAATGCATTTTAAATAAAAGCACACATTCTACTTGTGTAAAAACACCAGGCAGGCCCTACAAATTACCCAGAGATGCATTTTAAATAAAAGGACACATTCTACTCATGTAAAAACATGCTGACCATCCACGGGCCAGATTTAGAAGGGGATTGGGCCAGATCCGGCCCCCGGGCCTTAGTTTGCCTACCCATGCCTTATCCTAACAGGGGATAGACCCATTAGTATCCCACCGCCAGGACCACGTGGAGGTGGGAAGCTCAGGCTGATTTTCTTCAATCTGTTTTGGAGGTTTCGAAGCTGAGAGAGAGAGAGAGCAAATGAACGCCGGTCTGCCTTAACCTCTCCAAAAATAACCTCACAAGGCTCAGATGGGGGTTCCTCCTCCTCCTTGGACTGCTCCTTTGCAATAAGGGGGTCAGCAGGAGCAGAATGGAGGGGGGTGCATCACCCAGAGGAATTTTGTAAATGTGATGTGATCCTCAAAGCCGCTGCGTCTTCCCATCCGATCCCCACCCCAGCACTTTAGGCAGGGCTGTCTTTAGCATATGCGCCGCCGGGGTGCGAAGATCCGCCCGGCACCCCCAAATTTAGTTTAGCCGCCCCCAAAGGTGTCAAAGGTGCCGCTGACCCCGCTGTCACATAGCAGCTCAAGACAATACATAACATAATATTTTGATGGAGGAGTTAATTTTGCGTGCACGGCGCTGTTGAGAATGACAAGCATCACCACTAATGTGGTGCGTCTTTGGTAAATGAGCACACAAAGTCAAAAGTCCTTTAGTGAAACAGTAGGTATATATTTCGGTAATACCTAGGTATATATGCACCATATTTTTCGCTCCATAAGATGCACCTGACAATTAGACGCACCTAATCTTTAGAGGAGGAAAACAAGGAAAAAAATATTCTGAACGAAACAGTAGGTGTATGATTTTTGTGGTTCATTCTGTGGCCACAGACATGATATGTGATTTGACGGTGAGTTTGGGGTAGCCCAGTGCAAAAATCCTGTGGATCCATGTGGATCCGTGCTTTGTAACCACGTTTTTGCGCCATTGCGGCCCCACGAAACAGTGGATGCGTGAATTTTTTGCTGCAGGCTGTAGCCATGGACATGCTATGTGATCTGATGGTGAATTTGGGGTGACCCAATGCAAAAATCCTGAGGATCCATGTGCTTTTACCTCCCCCCTCCCAGGCAGCCTCCTTTATCTCTAGCATCCCTTATCTCTCTCCCGATCCCACCAATCAGCTGCTTCCTTTCAACACCCCCTTCCCTCTTGTTTGCCTTAGTGTCTTTTCCTTAGCTGGAGCAGTTTTTTGCTCCTCCTTTTCTTCTAATTTCTCTCCTCATTGCTTGTTTTGAGTATTCTTGTCTCCTTTCCTTGCAAGTTCACTGTCTTTACCTCCCCACCCTCCCCTGGCAGCCTCCTTTACCAGCAGCCTTATCTCCCTCCTGATCTCTTGCCGATCAACGACTTTGTTTCAACATCCACTTCCCTCTTTCAAAAAAAGAAAAAAAAGGGGGGGAAAGCATGATCTGCTTTTTGCCCCTGGGCAATTCGGCTCCAGGGACCACGCATTTGCTCTATAAGACGCACAGACATTTCCCCTCACTTTTTAGGAGGAAAATACGGTATTTAGTTTTTCTAGCTTGATGAAACTTATTTCTTATTGCATAACAGGTAGATAGTTATGAGCTTAGGCGGTTTCAGCGGGCAGGTGCCTGGCGCCCCCCAGAATTGGGCGCCCAGGTGCCCCGCACCTCTTGCACCCCCGGGTAAAGATGGCCCTGACTTTAGGCCTCATCCTACCAGCTCCCCTATGCAGGAGTGCCAACTTAGCCCCTCAGCTATGGCTGTGGGTGCCATGTGGTGTGCATAGCCTTGGCATCGAAATTTGTGGGTGCCCGGCCCCTTCATGGGGAATTTTGTGGGTGCTTGGGCACCCAGGGCCTCAGGGAGTTGGCACCTTTGGCCTCCGTGCACTCCAAATTTCCCCATTCTTTCTTTTCATTGTCAATTCACACAAACACACACGCCGTAACCCCGACTCCTATCTTCTCTGCACAACGTAAGCTCTCCTGGTTGGGACCATTTTTCACCTGTTTTGTGTGTTGTTGTTGTTGTTGTTGTGCCCTTCACCCTAAGGTGGGTTACGTTAAAACGCAATGCTGAAAACAGTTTGGCGTAAGTACCATCTGATTCTCCGGCGGCAGGATCCGTCTTGTGGTTTGGGCTAACAGGATAATAGTCAATAAAAGTGCTTTTTAAAAGAAACGGTTTGAAGCAACTTACCGTATTTTTCGCTCTATAAGACGCACCAGACCACAAGACGCACCTAGTTTTTGGAGGAGGAAAACAAGAAAAAAAATATTCTGAATCTCAGAAGCCAGAACAGCAAGAGGGATTGCTGCTTTCACTGTGCAGCGATCCCTCTTGCTGTTCTGGCTTCTGGGATAGCTGTGCAGCCTGCATTCGCTCCATAAGACGCACACACATTTCCCCTTACTTTTTAGGAGGGAAAAAGTGAGTCTTATAGAGCAAAAAATACGGTACAACCACAGAAATGAAGCGAGTCTTAAAAAGATTCAGGCTGAAGCAGTGCATCATGCTTTTTAATATCTATATGAAGCCGCTGGGAGAGATCATCAGGGGGTTTGGGCTGGGTGTTCATCAGTATGCGGATGATACCCAGCTCTGCCTCTCTTTTAAAACAGAACCAGTGAAGGCGGTGAAGATCCTGTGTGAGTGCCTGGAGGCAGTTGTATGATGGATGGCGGCTAACCGATTGAGGTTGAATCCTGACAAGAGAGAAGTACTGTTTTGGGGGGGACAGGGGGCGGGCAGGTGTGGGGGATTCCCTGGTCCTGAATGGGGTCACTGTGCCCCTGAAGGACCATCATCAAGGATGATGATTCCCATCATCCCTGACCACTGGTCCTGTTAGCTAGGGATGATGGGGTTGTAGTCCCAAAACATCTGGAGGGCCAAGTTTGGCCATGCCTGACATATGGGGGGAAAATAAGGCCCTCCAGTATGTTTACACTTCCAAAATTTACTTAACGCATTTTTAAACTTCTTAGCCACTTTTTACATTTGTGTTTTAAAGACAGTTAATTTTTTCATATTTTCCGGGAAGCAGTTTGAGCTCCTATCAAGGGTCACCTCGACGCTCAGATTTTTGCTCTTCCTTTCCATGTTTGCAGGACTAAGAGGGATCTCCGGGTTCAGGTCTCGGACTGCATTCAGCTCAGCCTCCACGGGCGGAAAAAATTGGTCTCCGTGGAGACGCGTGCAGAACAGACCACGCCCGACTTCGCCAAGAGCCGTGATGGCTTCGTGCTTCTCTGGCCGAGGAGATAAACACTGGTCAATTTTGGAGGACAGGACTTCATCCCAACAGCCCCTCAACGGAGAGTAAAAATAATCATCATCAAGGCAGCTGTGTTTTAGAATCATGCAGCAAAGCATCGCTGCTTGGACTGCTAGTGTGGAGTAGGAACCCTATCAAACAAAAGGAAAGAAGTACCTAGCCTTAGATTCTTTCCTTCGTTCTCTCTTTCTTTTTTTAATACTTTATTGACAATCTTATACAACAAATATAGTATAAATCTTCTTTAACTGGACATGAGTATAAATCTTACAAACAAAACAACAACCATATACAAGGCATACCCCTTTTGTCAACAAACAATAAACTTAATTTATATTTCTACTATCTCTTGTTTTCTTCTCTGTTTATTAACATGGATTAAAAAAACAAAAAACACATAATGGGACTTCCTATCGTTTCCTTCGTTCTCTATGCTGATCTGCATGGTGAAACTTGAAAGCCTCCTTATCGCCGCATTCACGGGACAGAGCAAGGAAGGTCCCCCAGTTACTCTGACACTCCTCCCGATGGTGACATCATTCCTCCTTGCTCGGGGTGGTGGTGGAGGGAGAATCCTTAAGCCACGCTACCCTGTGTTTTCCCCTTCAGTACGCCATGGGAGAATGAGCCAGAATCTGCAGAGACCAGTGTGATGTGGATCACGAGAAAGGGAAGAGGCCAATCGAGTTGTGTTCCCTGGGGCTGCGTAGCTCAGCCTTCAGTCCAGTATACCTGAAGGAGCATCTCCACCCCCATCGTTCTGCCCAGACACTGAGGTCCAGCGCCGAGGGCCTTCTGGTGGTTCCCTCCCTGCAAGAAGCCAAGTTACAGAGAACCAGGCAGAGGGCCTTCTCGGTGGTGGCACCCGCCCTGTGGAACGCCCTCCCGTCAGATGTCAAAGAGAAGAACAACTACCAGACTTTTAGAAGACATCTGAAGGCAGCCCTGTTTAGGGAAGCTTTTAATGTTTGATGCATTACGGTATTTTAATATTTTGTTGGAAGCCGCCCAGAGTGGCTGGGGAAGCCCAGCCAGATGGGCAGGGTATAAATTAAAAATTATTATTATTATTATTATTATTATTATTATTATTATTATTAAAGTGCTGCGGGAGGCCAGTTTGGGGAAAGCTGCTTTGCAGCGTTGGTTTCTTCTGCAGGCAAAAGCAAACTCTTGCTCTGCTGCAGTGGTTCTCAAAGTGGGTGATAGCAACCCCGGGGGGGGGGACAGCAGGATTACCTGGGGGGGCGCTAAGAGGCAAGAAGGGAGGCATGGAGGTACAAATGACGGTCAGACTTTGAAAACCCGGTCAGTTTTGTTGAGCCAATTAAACAGTTCTAATTGGGTCTTGACTAAATGTGCAATTAATTGTTTCTGTTTTGCATTTTGCTGCATTGTTATCATTCTTAGTGCTTTTTTAATGGGGTAGGAAAGGCAGTGCTGGGGGTGAGTTTGTGGAACCAAGAGGCCTGCGAAAGTTTGGGAACCACTGCTCCGTTGTGTCTCCTAGTAAACGTTGCAAATGTTCTTATAAAAACTACAGAGCTGCAACCAGTTATCTTTGTAATAAACGGTTTGTTTACAAAATGTGTGGCTTGATTGGGCATTATTGGGGGTGTAACAGTAAAGGGACCCCTGACCACTAGGTCCAGTCGTGACCAACTCTGGGGTTGCGGCGCTCATCTTGCTTTATTGGCCGAGGGAGCCGGCGTACAGCTTCCGGGTCATGTGGCCAGCATGACTAAGCCGCTTCTGGCGAGCCAGAGCACCGCACGGAAACGCCGTTTACCTTCCCGCCAGAGTGGTACTTATTTATCTACTTGCACTTTGATGTGCTTTTGAACTGCTAGGTGGGCAGGAGCAGGGACCGAGCAACAGGAGCTCACCCCGTCGCGGGGATTCGAACCGCCGACCTTCTGATCGGCAAGTCCTAGGCTCTGTGTTTTAACCCACAGCACCACCTGCATCCCTTATTGGGGGTGTAAAAGGTAAAGGTAAAGGGACCCCTGACCATTAGGTCTAGTCATGGCCGACTCTGGGGTTGTGGCGCTCATCTCGCTTTACTGGCCGAGGGAGCCGGCGTACAGCTTCCGGGTCATGTGGCTAGCATGACTAACCAGAGCAGCGCACGGAAACGCCGTTTACCTTCCTGCCAGAGTGGTACCTATTTATCTACTTGCACTTTGACGTGTTTTCGAACTGCTAGGTTGGCAGGAGCAAGGACCGAGCAATGGGAGCTCACCCTGTTGCGGGGATTCGAACCGCCGACCTTCCGATCGGCAAGTCCTAGGCTCTGTGGTTTAACCCACAGCGCCACCTGTGTCCCTATATAGTTGGTGTAGAAGCAAGCAAAAAAAAAAACATGAATAAAAGGAGCCGGTCTTTAAGCATAAAAATTGCATATTAAAATACGTGTCAGATTTACACGTCTGGGGAGGTTTATGTAAACAAACTGTTTTGGGGGTGCATCAAAAACAGTACAGTGAACTGCCTGATATCAATTGGCAAGGAGTTCCACAGGGCGGAGTCAGGTGAGCATGAGACTCTTCATCTCAGGGTCATGGATTTGAGCCCCGTTTGGGGCAAAATATTCCTTCATTGGACTAGTTGATCCTCGTGGTGCCTTCAAGCTCTATAGGTCTATGATTCTACTCTCTTGCGTTCAGAAGGGAAGGAGCGAGAAGCAGGCGACAATTTTACTGTGGGTTGTGGGTTGTTGCTTTTAATGTTATAAAGCAGGAGCTCCTAAGAAGTCGAGGCAAAGTGAATCACCGAGAGCTGGAAATTGCCATTAATGACTACGTGAATTTTCTTGCCTTGCTGCAGGGTAGGAAAGGAGCTATTTTGTGGCAAAGCATCTCTGGCTGTGATGGTTGGACACACCTGTTGGCTGATTCCCCACCCCTAGAATGCCCTCCTCCGTAGCAACCTGGTCTCATCAGTCAGAAATGACATGTACTTAGCAAGTGCGTCAGCAGATGACGGAAAGGTATGCGGTGGCTCAGCTCGTCACAGATATGAGTCAATCGAGGTCGCTCGCTCTGGCTGTGAACGGCAACGAGGAAAGTGGGCAGGAAGAAACCCAGGAGCCCACACCTAAGCCACTAAGATGGAGCCCAGTAGGTTTATAGCCAAATGTGATCTACTTAGAGTAAAGGTAAAGGGACCCCTGACCATTAGGTCCAGTCGTGGCCGACTCTGGGGTTGCGATGCTGATCTCGCTTTATTGGCCGAGGGAGCCGGCGTACAGCTTCTGGGTCATGTGGCCAGCATGACTAAGCCGCTTCTGGCAAACTAGAGCAGCGCATTGAAGTGCTGTTTACCTTCCCGCCGGAGCGGTACCTATTTATCTACTTGCACTTTGATGTGCTTTCGAACTGCTAGGTTGGCAGGAGCAGGGACCGAGCAACGGGAGCTCACCCCATCACGGGGATTCGAACCACTGACCTTCTGATCAGCAAGTCCTAGGCTCTGTGGTTTAACCCACACGGTGTTTCCATGTGCTTCTCTGGTTCGCTAGAAGCGGCTCTGTCACGCTGGCCACATGACCCGGAAAAACTGTCTGCGGACAAACGCCGGCTCCCTCGGCCAGTAAACCAAGATGAACGCTGCAGCCCCAGAGTCGTCCGCAACTGGACCTAACGGTCAGGGGTCCCTTTACTTTTACCACAACCTGCTACTCCAGCAACCTTCCAAACCCCCAGTTCACACCACAGGGCAAATGGGGAGGCACAATTCTTTTGCTTTGCCAATGGCCCTCAGTGGCCCGGTATTATTTCTTAATGGCCCTATCTTGTCTTTTTGCCTAGGGTAGCCCAGGAATTCCTCTGCAGCTTCTATTTCTCCCTTCACATCCTGAATAATCAAAATCCTACCAGTTACTAATTTCTAGGGTTTAGGGCAGGGGCCCGGGGGCCAGATCCGGCCCAATCGCCTTCTAAATTTGGTCCGCAGATGGTCCGGGAATCAGCGTGCTTTTATATGAGTAGAATGTGTCCTTTTATTTAAAATGCATCTCTGGGTTATTTGTGGGACATAGGAATTCATTCATATTTTTTTTCCAAAATATAGTCCGGTCCCCCACAAGGTCTGAGGGACAGTGGACCGGCCCCCTGCTGAAAAAGTTTGCTGACCCCTAGTTTATGGGGTGTCTCCCCCCCTCGGAATCTATAACACCGTTAGAGCAGACAAAATTCCTCCTCCATCCTTATCTCTGGGTATACAGTGGAAGTTCTCCTCTTGTTGCTAGGTAACCGCAGCCCACCCAAACGCTTCTGGGATGTGGAGAGATGAGGGCTTATAGCTCCAGAGCGCAGGATTTTGAGGCGTGATGGGCCTCCTGGACTCCAGATTCTCAGATGCCATCCATCATTCCCACGATTGTCCTCCAGAGCCCACTTGTATTCGCTCAGCGAGACGCATCCCGTCAAAACATGCTTGACCTTGGACGGGGAAAATATTAACTTATCAGCAGCGAAAAAATACCCTCCCACTCCTGATGCGTGTGAATATTGCATCCTTGACGGAGACCTGTTCTTGTGGAGTCTATTGTTGGAAATCATATCTCTCAGCCGTCGATCTCTCCGTTTTCCTTCCCCCTCGTCCTCCAGCCTTGGCCCAACACATCCCTGGCAGGGCTTCTAAGGCTGAGTGCATCAGAACCAGGAAGGATGAGGAGACGACTCTGGGTTTGCTGGCCCTAAGAAACAGCAGCCTCATCTGGTCCAGCTAGCACTGACTGGCAGCAGCGCTCCAGGGTTTCTTCCTTTTTAAAAATTTTTAAATTAATTTTCAACATATCATTTTCAACAGTAATTCAACGTACTTTCATTTCTTGCACCATTTTTTTTACTTCCATCAATCACATCTGAAAATTATCCAATCTATTCACCTAATATACATTTCATACTTCCACTATTGCATTTAACTCTCAAAACTAATATCTCTCTTCTTTCTCTGCTTTGCAATGTTTCATATATTTCTCCTTACAAAACTTCTTGCAGTCCTACTAGTGTAATTTGTCGATTACAGTGGCTCTGCAAATAGTTCGTATATTTCTTCCAATCTTCTGTGAATCTCTGGTCCCGCAGGTTTCGAATCCTTTCTGTTATTTTGTCCAATTCTGCATGTAACCCGAGGTACCACCGTACTGGATTTTTTTCTGCCACAGACTCTCCCAGCTCACTAAAACCTGTTATAGTGGTACCTCAGGTTACAGACGCTTCAGGTTACAGACTCTGCTAACTCAGAAATAGTGCTTCAAGTTAAGAACTTTGCTTCAGGATGAGAACAGAAATTGTGCTTTGGCGGCGTGGCAGCAGCAGGAGGCCCCATTAGCTAAAGTGGTGCTTCAGGTTAAGAACAGTTTCAGGTTAAGAACAGACCTCCAGAATGAATTAAGTACCGTATTTTTTGCTCTATAAGACGCACCAGACCACAAGACGCACCTAGTTTTTGGAGGAGGAAAACAAGAAAAAAAATATTCTGAAACTCAGAAGCCAGAACAGCAAGAGGGATCGCTGTGCAGTGAAAGCAGCGATCCCTCTTGCTGTTCTGGCTTCTGGGATAGCTGCGCAGCCTGCATTCACTCCATAAGATGCACACACATTTCCCCTTACTTTTTAGGAGGGAAAAAGTGAGTCTTATAGAGCAAAAAATACGGTACTTAACCCGAGGTACCACTGTACTACTTCAGATTCTGACACCTCCTCTTTCCAGTCTTCTCCCTCTTCTCCTTTTCTCTACTCATCGTTGTCCCGCCACCCCTCCCCAGACTCTGCACCTTCTTCCCTTGGGGGTTCCCCAACCTGTTCCTTCCACCATTCCTCTGTGTCCAACTGGCCCGTGATCCTGCATTGCATAAGGTAGCTTCCTACATTTCCTAAAACAACTACCGCAGGCTGCCCCAAAGCTGGCGCCCCCACCTTTGGACTACAACTCCGATCAGCTGTGGTGGCTGAGGATGCTGGGAGTTGTAGTCCCAAATATGCTGATTGCATTCTGAGTTGCTGAGAGGTCCTCCTCTCCCAGATGGTGGGTAGATCTGACGTTTTGCATTCCAATTGTGATGACCTGGGACTTGGGCTGGGACTTGGAACCGGAGGCATCTCAGTCTGCACTGGATCCTTTGCCTCGGGAATCACCTTAACCAAGTCTGGGGCCTGATCCTGAAGAGCCCCAGTC